GCCCTCTGCCTTTTCTCCTTTCTGGGATCGCTAGGGCCTTCTTTACTGGGTACTCCTCGTCCCCTCTCATTACATGACCGAACCAGCGCATACGTCTTTCCGACAACTTATCTCCTATGGGAGCAACTTTAAAGGAGCCTCTGATGTATTCATTGCGTACCTTATCGAGCCTCGTTACACCAGCCGACCAACGCAACATCTTCATTTCATTTACGTGCAGTTTGTTTTCGTGAGCCTTTTTCATTGCCCAGCATTCAGTGCCATATAGCATGGCGGGTCTGACAGCCGTTTTGTAAACTTTGCCCTTCAGTTTTATTGGCATACTGTTGTCGCAGAGTACTCCTGTTAGGGTTCTCCATCTTAACCATGCAGCATTGACTCTATGGGCTACATCTAAGTCTATTTTAGCGTTCTCAGACAGAATCGATCCAAGATATTTGAAATGGGTCACTTTGGGTAATGGTTGACCATCGATGGAGATATCGGTATCAGGCGCGGTCTCATCGCCAAAACTGCACTTCATGTATTCGGTCTTATTGCGACTTATACGAAGACCGTGGTTTTCTAGCGCTTGTTGCCATTTTTGGAGAGTGATCTGCAGCTGGCTCGCGGACTTATCTATCAGAACAACATCGTCTGCGTACAGCAAGCACCAGGGTAGTGGGGATTGGATGTCCTTTGTTAAGTATTCCATTACTAGGTTGAACAGAAATGGACTAAGTGCCGATCCTTGATGCACCCCCACACTAACTTCAAATGGTTTGCTTAGCCCCGCTGGTCCTCTCACCTGAGTGCTAATGTCCTCATACATGTCCTGTACTAAACCGATATAATGTTCTGGGACTCCTTGCGCTCTCATGGCCTGCCAGACTAATTCCCGCGGTACTCTATCAAAGGCTTTTTCTAGGTCTATGAACACAAGGTGGAGGTCCTCTTTATTGGTTCGGTGTTTTTCCAGTAATATCGTCAAGGTTTGGATTGCGTCTGTTGTGGACTTTCCCGGTGCAAATCCACACTGACTACTAGAAATGGTTGTATGTCTCGCAAGCCGGTTATTAAGTACACGTTCCCAGATTTTGAGAGTATGAGAGGTTAGCTTGACACCTCTGTAATTACTGCAGCTACTTACATCTCCCTTATTTTTATAAAATGGTACCAGGTAGCTATGGCGCCAAGCTTTGGGAATTTTTCTGGACTTGAGTATTGCATTAAAAATCTTTGTCAGCCATCCCACCGCTATTGGTCCCAGTAGCTTCCACAGATCAGCAGGTATGTTATCTGGTCCGACGGCTTTATGATTCTTCATTTTCTTAAGCGCGTCTGCCACCTCTTTAACCTCGATGTTATTCAGCGGTCCAGCTACTTCCGGGATAGCTTGCAAGGGTTGGCTTGGGAATTTCTCGTTTAATAGGTGTTTGTAATACTGGTGCCATCGGTTATTGATCTTATTATCATCAGTTAATAGTTGCCCGTTTTCGTCTTTGATATATTTGTTAATTTTAATATCCAAACTGGTGTTATGACGTTGTTTTGCCAACTTAAATATTTCCCGATCGTTTGTAGCACTTTCAAGCCTATGATAGAAATTTTCCCTTGCATCTCGTCTCTGCTCGGCAACTGTACGTTTGGCGAATTTCTTAGCAGTTTTATACAGCACACGCTCCTCGTCTGACCCTGAGCTCTGCCATCGTCTAAAGCACTCCTTTTTGTCCCTTAGGGAATTCTTAACTTCCTCGTTCCACCACGAGGGGTCTTTGTCAATGTTAAGCTTCCCTTTTGATTTTCCAAGGGTTTCTTCCGCCGCTTTCAGGCATAATTTCTCGAATCTCGACCACGTTTCTTCTGCTGTGCTGTCGCTTTTGTTTTCCATATCTTTTATCAATATGTTCCGCACCTTTTGTATCATTTCGGTTCCTTTTTCAGTGTTTAATAGGTGCCATTTGATTTTTGGTGTTTTTACTGAATTACGTTTTATGGGCTTAGGTAGCCTTATGCAGCAGACCAAAATTCTGTGTTGCGATGTTAGTGAATCGCCCGGTATAACTTTACAATCTCTACAAGTTTTTAGTAGTTTCCTATTAGTAAGTATGAAATCTATTTGTGATTGCTTATTTCCACTTTTGTACGTAATTAGATGTTCCGGCTTTTTTATAAAATATGTATTTACTATTGCCAAATCATGTCGTGCACAGACTTCCAAAATACGCTCGCCATCACTGTTGCCTGACCCATATCCAAAACCCCCATGTATTTCTTTATACGCAGTGCTATGGTCCCCCACGTGACCGTTTAGGTCGCCTCCAATGTATTTAGTTTCCTCTTGAGCCATCGTATTAAGAAGATCTTCAAAGTCGTCCCAGAAACTTTCCTTTTCGGTAATACTACAACCTGATTGTGGCGCATATGCTGAGATTATATTTAAGGGTGGTTGGTTATCCATAGCTATTTTAACTGCCATAAGTCTGTCACTCCTTCTTTCTACATTTATAATTCGGCGCTTCAGTTGTTCGTCGAGTACGATACCGACTCCATTATTTGCGTTAGTCGTCCCATGGTAAAGAAGTTGGTATCCGAGACCCAGGTCCCTGGACTTCGATCCCTTCCATCTGGTCTCTTGCAGGCAGCATATGTTGATATTCCGTACCTGCAATATTTTCACTAGTTCTTGACTTCTTCCAGTGAGGGTGCCCATGTTCCACGTAGCTAGTCTTAATTTAACGTCGCTTACGGGGTACGCCCTAGTATGATTTTCTTTGTTCGTATATTTCACATCTCTAGCACTGACGTCGCTTCCGGGGTACGCCCTAGCTGTATTCACTCTCTTATTTTTGCCTTTTATCATATTTGTTTACGAGGAGAAATGGATTTGACTTTATGTTTTACGGCCGGTTGTCACCTGACGCCAAGGCTGTATCTTACTGTAAGTTGTGGGCGCTGCCGTTGACCCCTTACGTGAGTTCCTCCGCCACCATCCCTTCTGGGTGCTCCAGCCTAAACACCCAGCACTACACAAACCTCGCCTCCGAATAGGTCGGAGAAGCCCTGTGCAGGGCTTTGATTACGGAGTATCCTTCTCCGGCCTGTTGGTCCGCGGGAGCTATTTGATTTCACTCCTACCCTTCAGACGACACTTGCGAGTCGTCTGAAAGGCGTTCCCCTATCCGCCACCTGGGGACGCGTTCTCAAGGGGTGAGGCTCCCCCGAGAACTAAGAAAGAAACATGATTATATGTATATATATTATAAATATTAGTAGGCTTCTTTACGAATCTAAGTAATAAATATTACCAACACACACTAATTAGCCTAGCCCCAAAGTAAGCACTGTAAGGCTTGTGTTATGGCTGACTGGATTCATGACTGGAGTACGAATGCTCGTATTCATCACACAAACATCTGCTCCCACCGGGATTCGAAGCCGGGACCTCTCGAGTCTGCGACACCATGAAACACTTCGTACAAAACACTCACGGAGGTCGTCAAATTTCAAAAATTCAAAAATTAATTTCGATTATATTTTAATAAAACATGCGGTATGTACACCTCATACTAGAGGAGGGTCGTCGACGTATTTTTCGTTGACGAAACGAAACCGTCCACTACCGTCCATCGACTAGTCGATCAACTAGTTGAATTCTTCGACTAGTTGACGTGATAACGGCAGGCTTTAAAGGGGTTTATATCAACTACGCGGTGACTGGTCTGCGGGCGCGACGCAACGACGACGACGGGGTCTTTATTTAGTATTCGCTTTACATTATAGTCATTTAAATGTTTACAAAATAAATTACAAATTAAACTCATAACATAAACATTCAATTTAAACGAACTTTGCACTAAATTCGCATTCACGTGTCCCTTGACCTTGACCTCGCAACACACTAATTTCAAATTTCAATAAACAAAACTGCAACTACTTGAGGAAAACCATTATTATAAACCCGTTCATCCTGCACTGCATCGTTTAGCCAGATCCATCGATGTACTCTTTCACGCAATATAAAAATACTCTTAACTTTTCACTTTAACAACTCTAGTTTAAAAAATGAACAAATATCAACTCCCACGCCATATATTTAAGTTTCAAATTGCTTTATTTCAACGAATGAACGAACGTATGGACTTGTAACGGGTAAACCAGATACGTTTACACGTCGTCTACGCTTTGTGTTGTCAGTAGAAATGAACGCTGTGGACTCTCAGTTTAGCCGTCTATGAATTCAACTAGTTAACGAATTAAATGTAGACCGTCGAAGCGTCGATTGAACGTAGACCGTCTATTTAAACCGTTCGTTAATTCAACGCCCATCATACACAACTGTCAGTGTGACTTGCTCGATGAACGGCGGGTACGCCGACTTTGGTGTAGTATTTGTTGCCGCAATTGACAAGTACGCGAACAGTATCTAGCCGAGTGAAGCGAGCGAGACTAATCATTTATCTATTGGAAAATGTAATAAATGTTTTTTTCATATCTTATGTGAGTTTTCGCTGAACCTTTATCGGTTGTGTATCCTGAAAAGGTAAAGATAATGACAATCAAACAAACATTTCATTGTTTGGTTTATTTTCAACCAACTCGATATTTTTAAATAAGATACCAGTGCTGGTATCGAGAAGACAAAACTACAGTATATTAATAAAATTATTATCTTATGCAATGGTCACCACTGTTGCCCATTTATTGTCCTCTACTTATTAAATAATAAAATGATTTAATAACATGATGCTAAAAAGCTTAAAGCTCACAATAATTAATTTATGTTGGAAAATATTGTTTTAGTAAATAGATTATTTGTCAAACACAGCTAAATCTATTCACAAAAGTTTTTATTTTAATACTTTTACGAGAATGTAACATTGCTGAAATGTAGCATTTACCGAAAACTCTTTACTAGAAAAAGTATAAATATCAAAAATTTTACATAACCGATAAAAGATAAGTGTTATATATTTTACATAATTATCACATTTATTTAAATAAGTAGAAAAGTTCAAGAAGGCTGGTTACGGTAGTATCTAGATACCTAATCTATGTTTTAATACGAATACAATGTAGTATTAAATGCTAACTATAATCATTTTGTAGACTGAAACACTAATATTTGCGATTGACATCTAGTTAAAAAGTACAATCATTATTCAAGTACCTATACATTATCTGTCACAGGCAGGCCAAGTCGTTTTACAATTGAGATCCCTTAAAATGTACCTACCTAGTTACTTAAACTTAACTAAAAATAGTGCCTAATTTTGACATGATATGACACTCTAAACCTAAAACGAAATTTGAGCGTAGCTTATATATAATGAAAATGAATACTGCCCTCAAACTTAGTTTTAAATTAAAAGTCTAATGTTCAAAGTCTACTGAAGTATGTATCAAACATAAATACATATCCATGAACCCTTTTATCACAACATATAACATTGATAACGATAAGGTATAATAATAATAAGTATTACAGATTATTGTCTGAATTCCTCAGAATCCGTGTTCCCAAATGACAAGTGATGTACAAAGTGGTTTTTAACATAGCTTAAATGTAAAGTTCAGTGTTGTCTTCTGTTGCCAATACTGAGCGCTCTCTGATCGTTCAGTTGGCAGGGGCACAGCTACTGGTTCTTGCGACGTCCTGGTAGGCTGCTGTTACGATAAGATTTCCGAAGGAGAAAATTGTCTACCGTCGGCAGAAGTAGGTATCGTTTGTCGGAAGTGTGATAAGGTATTTTAAGAGACCTGAAGTGGTAAAACCGGGGCTTTTCTTTGGGAAACCATCGATTTTTAGTGAATGAATTTATGATGTTCGGCGCAGGAGGTGACGCTACGGACTTGCTGGGGGTCGGGAGGTCGTTGCTTAGCGGTCGGTGGAGGATTCTGCCGGTCGGGTGCGAGTGAGGAGGTATTGGCGGCGACGGTAGGTCGGCGTCGTCTGGATCGACTGCTGACTCAGTTTCGGCACTAGTGATATATTCCCTAGAGACAAATAATCATCTCATTTAAAAGCACGTCATTTGTTGATACGTATGAGTTACTTGATCACCTTACCAAGCAAACTGCTTATTTAATGTAAAATCTTTACTGACTAATCGATGGGAAACTATATAGCTAAAGTTGAGTCAGTGGCAGTGGTTAGCCACGTTATGTCATATCATTATCGTGTATAAAAACTATTTATTTTTAAATTCAAAGCCACAATCTCGAACAAAGTATCAAGCGACACTAACTAAAACAAACATGACTACTACCTGTCGAAGAAACTGCTTATTTTATGTAAAATCTTTACTGACTCATCGATGGGAAACTATATAGCTAAAGTTGAGTCAGTGGCAGTGGTTAGCCACGTTATGTCATATCATTATCGTGTATAAAAACTATTAATTCAAAAACTATTTATTTTTAAATTCAAAGTCACAATCTCGAACAAAGTATCAAGCGACACTAACTAAAACAAACATGACTACTACCTGTCAAAGAAACTGCTTATTTTATGTAAAATCTTTACTGACTCATCGATGGGAAACTATATAGCTAAATGTGAGTCAGTGGCAGTGGTTAGCCACGTTATGTCATATCATTATCGTGTATAAAAACTATTAATTCACAAACTATTTATTTGAAATTCAAAGCCACAATCTCGAACAAAGTATCAAGCGACACTAACTAAAACAAACATGACTACTGAATGCATATTACTATTAGAGTATATTGTGCTCAGTGAATTTCCGTGCACTGCGGTCCGCGGACCAACATCCGAGAGACAGTATTAACTCCTACATTTCTCCACCGTGTGTCAAGGCAACAAACATTATTACAGGGAAAATGTTATTACGCAAGCCTGAACCGGGACGACGCGAATACGGTCTTGGAAACAGAATTAAACTGCTCATTGCCACATGAAAATGTTACGACAATGCCTTTTACGAAAATAATAATAATCATTTAGAACCAAATTTTGCCTAAAATATAAGCTAAGTAATGGTGACCAAAAATAGTTACATCTTAAACTATGTCTAACTATTATTACCTATCTACTATTACACATATCTTTCTTGCATAGAGTTTAAAAACTGGAAAATTAAAAAAAAAAATATCGAATTCTTACCTAATTCCGAAATTCTCGTCAGCGGAATGCTTCCTGAAAAAAAAATAAAGGAATTAAGTTACTACTCTAAAATTATCGTTAAAATTGAATTGTTATGATTGTACAAATTTTAACTATCAGTACACGTTGTATATGATTACTACGGTTTTCAAAAAAAATGTTTCTACCCAGTTTTACCAATAATAACATTTTAATCTACAAGTAAACGACACTTTCCCTGATTCCACTTTGAATTGTGTTTTATCCATTGACACATCAAATCATCACACTATACATAAATTGTAAAGACAAAACAATTACATCAAGTTTTTTTTTTGTATCTTTACCAAGTTTAATGAAAATATAGAGTTTTCCTATCTTTGTAATAAGATATTTTTAAACTTATATGTAAGCTCTATAGTACACACCTAAGCACAAAAAATCAATCGTATATATAAAAGATCTTTTTTTGTATATAAATAATAATATATCACAAGTTCTTTTATATCTTAAATTGTTTAATACGTTCAGCTCTAACAATCATGCGATTAACATTACTATCACTAATCTAAAATAAAACTCTGACAGCTATTTTTTCTGCTACAACATCTTTTCTATTAATGAAATCCTTCAACTCTAAACTCGCAGATCTCGCTAGACATCGAACTTTAACATTTAACATAAATCTGCACTAACACTTATCATGCCTCTAAAAGTTCATTTTACTATGCGTCAACGTTCTTTATGCACGAAAGCGTATTTTCGACTTTATAAATCTACAAATATTCACATCAACAACATTTTTGGCAATCTTTACAAGACCTGTACATTTCTTGGCTAGGCAGAAGCAGTCTAGCTCTGCCAGATCTACTATAACGCCCTCCTGAAAACCTAAATGATGGAAGCAACCCTAATCGAGCCAATGAACCAATATGACGCTTTTCAAAATTATCACGTACGTCCTCATCTTCATCTGGAACATACACAACAAAGTGAAATGTCTATAAAATCTCTCATGATTGTAAAAGTTCTTAAAAACGTGTTAAAATAATTCATAAACTTACCCACGGAACGCTTGTCGTCATTATCCTCGGTGTTTTCTGGTACATTAATATCATTGTGATCCATAACATCCGGCAGGGAAAGAATATATCGTTTTGTTCTTGTATTTGGTTCAGTGAAGACTGGCCTGTAAAGACCTTGAACTGGTAGTCCCACAGAACCTCTCTTAAAAGACCCATTATCGTCCATATCCATTTGATTTATATAAAAGTCATTCATAGGCAAAACATTTCGCTTGTAAACCTGAGATAGTGGTGGAAACATATCTGGATTCACAGATTGTTGTATATCGTACAATTCGTTAATATCAATTGGCCCATCCAATTCAGACAAAGGTGGAATGGGATTCTGATAAAAGGGATAGTAATATTCGTCCCCATTGATTTCATTTTTCTTATGAATCATGCCATTGCGTGCCAATGATGCAATATTACGTTTCTCATTTTGTTGACTATATTGCCCTCTACCGACGCGGTAACCATCTCTAGCAAGAGCTTGAATATTTCGTTTCATGGCAGCGTAGCTCCGAAGTCTTGCAATAGCAGCTACATTTCTTTTCTCATGAGACTCGTCATCATCTGACTCCTGTTTATCAGTTTCGTCGTAGGGAGATCTATAAGTCGGGAGTTGGCCATTTTTAGCAAGAGTTGAAATGCTTCTTTTTAATCCCGCAGCAGCGCTTTTGAGATACCCATCTCTCGCTAGAGCAGCAATATTCCTCCTTGGAAATGTTGGCCATTGATTGGTTACCTCAATCGGCAAACTAACAACCTTAATAAATAAAATATTATTAACTAATATCAAATTTTATTAAATAGTTTGATTTTAATTTTAATAGTATATAGTTAACTTACATGCTGAATGTACGTTGAAAATGCTAACGCAATAGTGACCACTAAAATTAAGTTTCCCCGAAGTCTTCTGTCTGCTTTATACATCTAAAAATGAAAGGTTATCATTATAAGCTACACTCAAGAGCAAGGAATCCGGGTCACATAAACAATCCTAAAAATCTCGCAAACTAAGAATTCAGTTTTTTTTCTTTAAGTAATTTTTTATAAATAAAATGTGTTGATTCATTATTTATTACTTTCATTTAAGGAGTATTTAATTGTCTATTAATTAGAATTTATTTCATTGAGCTTATATTCTTATTTTGCGAGATTTTTAGGATTCTTTAAGTGACACGGATTCATTGCTCTGGAGTGTATATGACGAAGCATTATAAACTATGGTATTAGGTATTAAAATTTTAATCTGACTTGAAATAAGTTTTATATACCTTAAACTGTAGGTATGTATGTGCCTTACTAGTAATGCCAAATATATATGTTATTACTAATCTGTATAATCCGGCATTCTACAGAAAAGTTTAAAAAGTTTTTGTTGCTTAGACTCTTTTGATGAGTATATTTAGGCAATGATAATGTTCTCAATTACTTGAAATAAACGTTATCTTCTATATAATAAAGAGTAGGTTTCAAGGCTTGCAACATAAACACCTTAGAGCTAAACGCTCTAAGACAAAGACCAATAGTGTGATATCCTATATCAACAATTTTGCTAAGTTTCAGGACCATAGTGGCATGGGTGCCGTCCATGAATAATAAAAAGGTCTTTTTAACTTACAAAAGCCGATAATAATATGTCACCTGAACGCACTACGAACTGAAAGTTACTGAACGTTATTAAAGTTGGCAGATTCAATTTTTCAATATTCTAGAAAGTGTATGATGCATACAAAACGTAATATATTAGAAACAAGTAAAAAGGTACTGCTGCTCTAAAAAGCAATAGAATAAAATTACTAAAAATAAAGCTGGCATGTTCGAATTGGACTTGGATGGTTTGGAATCATAAAACTATATAGAACAAAATAAAGTCTTCTATCTGTTTCTGTTCTATATAATATAAATACTAATAATGGTACCCATTGTCACCATACAGAACCCCTTAAATTAAAGTGTAAAAAACTTCATAGTTTTGTACCTATTTAAAGTTTAACTGTCTAATCAATAAGGCCAGCGATCTTAAAATCTACGGAACTGATTTCCATCAGTAAGATAGATTTTCTCGAAATATGTATGTGAAATAATAGCAATGATAACGGGGTAAATTAAACGAAATTATATTTGGTCAAGACGGAATTAAATCTTAGATTATAAATAGGTTACAGGGACCAAAACAGCAACTTAATCCCTAGGGACTAAAAGTGATTTCAATTAGGAATATGGATATTGTTAGTAAAAGTGGGTGTAAGGGGTTCTAAATTCACCTGCAAAAACCCAAGCCCACCTCAATTCACGTGGTGCACCCTGTTGGTCAACAGACGAGGCTCTGGCAAACCGACCGATGGCGGTACCGTACGACGTTCAACGACGTAGGAGAAGGAAATCTCACTGGTGACGGGCAGCAGCGTCATCAGTAAATCAACCTACGTTCTGCGATCGCCAACCCGCCTGCCCAGCGTGGCGATTACGGGCAAAACCTCGTCGGATCCTCTGGATTCGAAACCGGGACCTCTCGCGTTGGCGACATCGTAAAACCCGGCGTACAAACCACTCGGCCACGCAGGTCGTCAAAGCATGCGGAATCTAATACCTATTTTTGAACTATTATCAAGAATATTTGAAATATGTAGATCTCTATCTGTTTGGGGTTCCATTTGTTCTTTAGCTAATTCTGTATAATAATAATTTTTGAATTAAAAATAGCAAAATATGATTGTGATATCACTAAGGAAGGGGGGGGGGGGGGCTCACAAATGGGACCAACTGTGACAAGGACGGAGGAGGAGTGAAAAAATGACGAAATAAGTGTGACATACTTTATGAATGACCCCTTATAACACGAAAAAATACAGTAATCGCCATCAAGCTCCTAAGTTAAGTAATGCAAAAATCAGTCATCGATGTGTTAATTTATTGAGTTAATACCTACTTAATAAACTTACTACATTTGTTTAAATCTTTGTTTATTTCTACGAATACAATCAAATGTAAGAAAGTCTAGTACACATTAATTTGATTCACGTACGTACCTAGTTGCGTACAAGAACATGTCCTTTACTACGAAATAAAACAATGATCATCTTTGTTTTGATTAGTATCCCAAGAAATATATTTGTACCTAAACATTATTGTCGTGTATACGTACGCCTCTTATTCAGTTTCTTTATTCAAACAATGATCAAAGTAAAAGTTACATTGAGTCTAGATAATGAAAAAGAAAGGTAAACAATGTTATTAAATAAATTAGGAAACTCTGGTTTCCTAATTAAAGTAAGATTTGGCCTTAACCTTACTCCGCTATCTGTAGCGGAGTAAGGTTAATGGCCAAATCTTACTTGTTAAAAATATTGAAACCTGCGTAATATTAAATAGGTACTAAAATTTAATTAAAAATTTAATGCTTAATTTAGTTTTAAGGTAAGCTAAGGAGGTAGTCCGAAGATCAAAAGCCGTAAAATCCTAATGTCTTTGAAACGTTTTGAATTTTAGAGAATTCGATTAAGAGCAACCTCAATTTTAAGCACGGATGATATGGGTTTCCTTATACCTATAAGAATAATTATTAAAAAAAATATAATTGTTTGATTAACCCACAGACCTAGATTTAAGAAGACGACGCATGTGCGTCAAATTGTATGAAAACCGAGATTGTCATATTTGATGGCAAATTAAGTGTTGGAAAAGTATGCTCACCGGCAACCTGTTTCTTCTATCGTTTTTATAGCTTATTATGGTACAATTAGACAATTTAAAAAATATATAAGCATCCGTATCGAGAACAGTGATAAAAAGAAATAAAATAGCGGAAAAGGAAGTCACCCGTTTGGCATGTTTTTGGCACGGGAAGTACACAGGTTAGGTAAATTCGTTCTATGAAAACCCCATCTTGTACCTACTTTATTTGCTCCGTGTTCATTTACACTTACTTGAAGTAACCACCACATACTTAAATCAATATAATTGTTGTTTCTTCAAATTCTTTCTTTGAATCGCGTTAACCAGAAACATGCACAGCTACCTAATTAACTGTAACTAATCGTTTATTAAAATATTTATTTAAAGATAACTTAAACGTTATGATATTTAAGTGTCACATTTCACTCGCTACACTTTACACTTATTATTTTGTTAGTTCATTGGAAAATATGTCTGTATGCGTTGTGAATATCGAAAACAGCTTGTATTTTTTTATTAACAGCGCTGCACCTGAGATATAGGGCTCCTAGTTCAGGTGCAGATGTATTTTTATGCGGTTGGATGATTGTTATATTATTGTAAGATTTTATAAATTGTTGTGAACATTTTTATGGTGCCAATAAATTATTATTAAAATTATTATTCTTACATTAAAGAATTGTTTAATGAACACTTTAATGGATAAAGTCAAACTAACAAAGAAAAGTAACAAGAAAAACTTGTTAATCGAAAAATTATGAGTTACCTATAAAAATAACGAATTTACGAATTTAAAAAGTTTTAATTACTTTTTATTGTTGCCAGCCAAAAATAAAAACTCAGAAAATTTCTCGCTTGCGTAGGTGCACCTTGAAAACAAAAAGTTTCCGGCACACTGATCTAAAGCAAACTTTTGGACAAGGCCTTCAGAGATTGAAATATATTTACGAGGAAGTTGAACACCTAATTGAAAATTATTCCTCGAATTTTAATAACATGTACGAGAACTACATGCTTTTTCAATAGGAACAGGATATCTTTGACAGCCGATGGTGGACTTATTAGATCGTCCGTTGGCACCAATTTTTGATAGATAAATTATAAAAAGTTCGGCATTTAATAAACCAGTCGCTTTAAAGTGGAGCAACGCGTTCAATAAATAAAACGATAGTTTAATTTTTCAAACGTTTGGTGCGTTTCGGGAAACTTGTGGTCAACGTAGTCATCTTCGGAAGACACTATTCATCAAATAATGAAATATTTTAAGAGCCGTAGTAGCCACGGAGCGGGCTAGGCTAGGGGCTTCTTTTGGAGAACGAGGTCGGTGCTGCCTTAATTGTGAATTGCTTATCATTAAGTACTGGATCAGAATTCGGTTTATTTTGTCCGCAATATTGAAAGCACTGGATCTGAATGACATTTGGTTTCACCAGGGCAGCGTCACCTATCATATTGCCAGAAAAACAGTCAATTTATTGAAAGAGAAATTCTACGAGTTCCGATCTCAAGATTCTGGATGATCATGTGATTTAATGACGCTTAATCATTTTTTTGGGGGTTATTTTAAATCACTGGGGTTTGCGAACAACCCAAGAACCAGAATCCAGTTCTTGGATTATTGGATTAGCTGAACATAAAGAACCATCATTAACGAGATAGAGGTTGCATTATGTCAAAAAGCGATGAAAATTGGACCTCTCGTTTTCAGGCTACCATACCTAGCCAAGGTGATAATTTAAACGATGTCGTATTCCACACAAAATGCCAAAGAGTAAGCTTCTGAAAAAAGCAAATTTAAGGTAATTTTTAACAATCATCAAAACTCTATACTTATAATAAAAAAAACAGTAAAAAATCACGCCTGTGGTATGGGGTATTCACCCCCCAACCCCCATATTCAGAATTTATTTATTTACTTTATTTGTTCTTTTTTGCATCACTGACATAAATATTATTAGGAACTGGCGAACAAAACGGTATAATTACGCATCTGGTCAAACTACATTTTTTTTAACAGTCCGGAGGTTTCGGGCCCGCTGAATTTGAATCTCAAATAATTTTCAATTAAAACCGCCTAAACCAGTGTTAAAATTACTAAATTTATGAATTAAAAACCATGTCAAAAGCTCACCGTAGCTATGTCATTCAGTTTTATACAGCTCCTGTAAAATTTTATTTTATGTAATTATATCATTTTGCTCGACAGATGTAACAAATATCAACTCGATCGGCCCAGTAGATTCCGACCAAATTGACTGTAACAGACGAAGTAATCGTATAAGGGTTCCGTTCTTGCTGATTGAGATACGGAACCCTAAAAAGTACCCCAACTTACTGAGCTTGTTAAGTGATAGTCGAATTAAACAATTCTGGTAAAAATATTTAAATAAATCACTCTCTAATGCCTATAGAGTATGATTTATTTAATTTTTTTTAGTTTTCTTGACACCCCTTTAAAACTCCCTTACAGATTGCAAATGGGTCGCAAGACTGAACTTATATTGATGTTAGACTAGCAAAATTTTTAAATTAAAATTCGTTTCGATAACAGGAGAACTAGACTCTACCAAAAAAATTGAACTGCGAAACTTAATATTTTGGTAATGAATCTCTAAATCGAAAAATTTATTTCACAAACCCACAATGACCTTAACTTTTTTCCCGCTTTCTTCATAGGGAGGGATACATCTATAATATATATATCATAACACCTATCCCTCGACATCCCATTCACCCCTCACTATGAAGAAAGCGAGAAAAAAGTTGAAGTTATCATCACACACATCAGCACTTGTAAGGAAGTTACGAAAAAAAAATTCAAGAATTAATTTAACCGCTTGGTCTGCGTAGCTAAGACGAACCTAATTCCAATATTAATTTGCAAACGGACATGGAAACGATGAACAACGACGACAAAGATGAAACTATACGGTATAGTTGACTTCGGAACACTAAAACTGAAACTTATTATTATGATAAGAAATAAAAAAAAGAAGAAATAAAAAATGGAATTTCGATTTCTATTTTAACCGATTTCAAAGTAGGAGGAGGTTCTGTGTTCAATTGTGGATCGATTTCCGAAATTCTTTTTTTATTTGAAAAAGTGCACTTCCGGGGTGATCTGATGATGAAATCCGTGGAAATCGAGGAAAACCTTCAAATTTCAAAGGCACGCACGATGTTTTTTTTTATGCATGTTCACCGATTTCTCCGTCAATCGTGGACTGATTTCCTAAATTCTGTTTTTATTCGAAAGAGTGCACTTCCAAGGTAGTCTCATTGGATCCAATTCAGGATCTGATGGTGGAATTCTGCGAAATCGAGGGAAGCCTTATTATAAAAAATATTATTACTTGCACAATGTAATTTTCACGATACTTTGTTTATATGTATACGGATTACTTATAGATTTCTGGTCCAATTTGAGTGAATCTTCTTTTTTTTTAATTGGAGATACTTGCCGGTTACAATAAAAAAATATTTTGTTTGATCCAGTAGTTTTTATTTTATGAGCATTTTTGTTTATTGTTTACTTGGACGATGTAATTTTCACTAAAATGGATGAAATAAAAATGTTTTTAAGCAAAATATAAAACCTACTTCAAAATCGAAAATGGAACTAAAGAGTAAAAAATAATATCTGGTTCATGATTTTGAATTTTCGGGGTCAAGATTGAAACATTAAGTGGATTTTCGTTTCTGATCGGTAATAATACGTCCTTCAATCTTGACCCGCCCGACTTCCAAATCATGAACCAGATATTATTTTTTACTTTTTAGTTCCATTTTCGATTTTGAAGTTGGTTTTATTTTTTGTTTTAGCTCTCTGTTTTAAAGTTTATATTTTATATCGGTCGAATCTCGTTTAATTACCGTATCAAGGAACTTTACTTACTAATACTTAGGAGTAAGCTTTAATAAAAAATCATCTTAAAACTTTTGAATTAGATTCGAAATGCTGACGCACTTACAGTGGAAGACTTTACAGTCTACAAATATATTATTACTGTCATAGGTATCAAGATAGCTTTCTACAACTTTTGCTTTATTCTGAGTTCGTCCCACTGAGCTTTGCCACTAAAAAACAATATATGTATGTCCCATTTTGTATTCTTCGTTTGTCCCAAAAATATGTTTAATTATTTTATTTTCGGTTTAGCCCGATTAATTATTTCGTTACATCTGAAATGGGACTTTTCAAGATTGGCCTATCGACATATTTTTTTTTCAAAGCCAAACCCATTTTATTCTTTACGATTAAGGATTTTTTTTGGCCGCCTAGAGACCACAGAGACATATTCGTGAAACACATAGTTTGAAAATACCAAAACTATTAAATGCTTGTGTGTTCAATTCATTAAATGACTACGATTGCTTTATTCTGAAGACCACCACGAAATTTATACTTGAGAATTATTTTTATAAAGTGCATGCCGGAAAAGATCAAAAATTTACATTTAACTAACAGTTAAATTTTTCATTACATTTTAGTTTTAAGTATTAATTAAACTACTAGGTTTTTTATTAAAGAAAATATTTAAAATTTACTATTATAAGTTCAAATCGGCTCTGATTTCTGTTGCCAAAAAGAAAATAACAGTTTTCAAATTTTCTGTCCCTACATTTTTATGAAATCATACCAGCTTAAATCGATTTTATTAAAAAAAAACTTACGTTTAACCGCTACCGTTTCCGCCACGACGCGCTTTAAAAAAGTTGTAAGCAACTTTCGCAAGCCCGTTATAATTGTTCGGATTTTCGCAGATAACTCCCCGAGAATGCGTGCAGAGTAATACGGTGCGAAGCTTTTATAGCTGAAACTGGGAGCCGCGCATGCGCTCATGGGAACAGGATCTTATTGCACAATGGGTTTTGCATAGCATATCAATTAATGAGCCCTTGACGACCACTGGTCTTTAAAATCCTTAAGAGACGACTCTATAAAATAGGTATGGAGGCTACTGATAAACACTTTAAAATTGAATAGCATATAGGTATTATGCATTTACAGAAAAAATCCAGTCAGTCAAGGTGTACGACAGAATTCGAACCTGCTGCCCGGGACTGGATGGACTAAGCGCTTATCTACAGAGACCTTAATAACCGTGTCAATTTTCTTTCTAGAAAACATTTGACATGATTATTAAGATCACCTCTTAGGCTGCAAGGCCTTAACAAGGGCCTGGCCTTGTCTTTATTAGACTGCAGTTTAATGCTTAAGGGTGAAGCCAAACGAGCGTAATTTTGTGAGCTGTGAGTCGCTTATTTTCGGTCACTTATTTTACGTTCAACTGAATTGAACAACTCATTTTGCGTTGTCGTGTGGCACCAACTGCCTTTTTGTATGAACCCGAATGCAGCAGAATTTCTGCGACCGAAATTCTGCGACTCACCACTCTCAAAATTACGCTCGTTTGGCCTCACCCTAAACTAAAAAAACTACATGCGTAGCTCTAGTGGTATTAAATGTACCTAAGCACGTTTTTCAAGGAGTCGCCCACTCAGAGGTCGCGGTTTCGAATTTTAACCTAAATCATGGGTGTTTATAATGTATTTCTAAATAAAAATATACTTATATGTATCTGTATTGTATTCTATTCGTTACCCTAAAATCCCATAACACAAGCCTAACGGCACCTCAGTGTGCTTACTTTGGGGCTAGGCTAATTACTGTGTTAAAAATATAACATATATATAATGCACGTACATTATAAAACTAAGTAAATTTTAATAATACTTTTATTTATTTTAAATAGATAGTTGAATTTACAGATTCATGTTCCTTGTTCCGTATATAGATCATCTCATTAGCCAATAATTGGGCGCTAAGGGACGTCTCAACTAGCCGTCTTTCAGTGATTTATATCGAACCTATGGGAATCTCTTATGACACTTTTTTCCGTCGTCTACTAACTCAGTACTAACGAAAGTTATTCACGAATTTCGCTATATCATTAGACGTAAATCATGTATCTGACCTTATCGAAAGGTTCTTAAAGAAAAGAAAATTTTGTGCTAATTATGATTGATTAAGTACATCTCATCTCATTTAAATTAAATTGTAAAGTTCATCTGTCTGATTCTCGTTACCGCTTAATTCCTCTGTTCAGTCCTCCTCTTTGATTGATACAAATTGAATAATAATAAAAACTTATTTTAAACTTTACACCTAAAGTTCAATCCTTCAAGTAACGTAACAAATGTACCAATCAGAGGAAATGACTTCACTTGGTCTAAAGAATAAAAACAGTACAAAATATTTATTGAATAATAAATTTTATTACTTAACAATTACAAAGAATCACGTCCATCTTATTTATTTATGCAATTAAATAGAAACTAGAAAAAAATCATAACTTATGTCAGTGTTGAGTTATCCATATGATATTTGACATCGGACTCATCATCCGCACTATGTTGGGGTGCGGTGTGCACGTCGTCCCGCTTACACTTCTCGCCTCGGATGTCGGAACAGACGCCGTTGTAACAGAACGGCCGGCGGCCAGCGCAGATGGCTTTCAGCGCGAAGTTGCCGCCCATGCAGTGCAGCGACTCGCCGCAGCTAAGACAAGTGTATCCTCTCTAAAAAAAAGTTGTTCATCATCATCAAACTGCTGGAGCACAGGCCTTTCTTATGGATGGAATAGGGAGACTGGCCCGTGACTCACCAAACTATGAGTGCTAACGACTGCAGATGCAGCCTGGACCAACGGTTTAACGTGGCCTTCGAAGCACGTGAAGAGCTGGAGATAATAAGTTTTTGGTCATCTATCCAATGACCGGCTAATGCAATAGTTGCTTAACTTTTACTATCGTAGGCCGAATGCGCTAACCACCTGTACCATCGAGCTCCTTGAAAATATTTAATTCATTCGAATTGAAAATTGAATTGAATTGAAAAAATTTACGACCTCCCCGGGCCGAGTGGTTTGTACGCCGGGTTTCATGGTGTCGCCGACTCGAGAGGTCCCAGGTTCGAATCCCGGTGGGGGCAGATGTTTGTGTGATGAATACGAGCATTTGTACTCCAGTCATGGATGTTTAATATGTATTTATATAAATGTACTTATGTATGTACAGTATATGTATTCTATTCGTTACCCTATCATCCCATAACACAAGCCTTATAGTGCTTACTTTGGGGCTATGCTAATTGGTGTGTGTTAGAAAAAAAAACATTTTTGCAACACTTTTGAATGTCAAGAAGCTACTCCTACTACTCTTTCCACAAGCTTGTCGCAGCCCTCTTTACCTAACATGCTTTTGGCTAATCGTGACAGAAAAGTACCTACTCAAAACTTCACTCGCCTTATTTGCATTTGTTACAATTGTATTCTTTCCCGAACATTGATTGGGTAATTGGTTTAAAAGAAGGGTTAGTTGCCAAGCTATCGTATATCGACCGAAAATGCTACCGTTGATAGTCTTTTCTATCTGAATGGAAGATTTTCTGTTACTTCCGATAAAGCATTATAGAATGATAAATTGTGACAATCGTCACTTTTTAGCGTAAAAGCGTTTTTTAATCCTAGAAAAAATATGCAAACAAAGTTTTTACATTTATTACTTTAAATTGAACAGATTTGGCTGAAATGTAGTTCATGCAGTTCAGCAGTGCGGTAAAAAAATCGCAAAATATATTTTGCGATTTTTATAAGATAGTTCTTATCCTGGAAAAAATATCAATACTTGCGACATTCCCAACGAAGTATCGAGTGCCATAAAAGACACTCGACAGAGACAGATTAATAAAAGGCGGTTTTCTATATTGACACAACCGAGAATCCAACTTAGGTGACTAGGGCGACACTACGCCAACTTCGGCAAACAAATGCAAGCAGATTTTTAAAACTACTTATAAATAGGTCCTACAAATCACATGTTCCCACCTAATGTGATGTGACGGTGGATCCCACACGCGAAGATAGCTGGTGCAGCGGTTCTACCTGCCACACTAGCCATCCTCACCTTACCGGCCTCCATATTGATTCTTCATGCCTCTTTTAAAAGCTCTGGGTAGTAGGATCGCAAAGCATTCTATTTGCGCATATTGCGACAAAGAAATTAGTCACCAAATTTCTTTGTTCGCGTTGAAATAGTGGCCACACTAATTCGGTGACAATGTAGGACAGCGCGCGTGGTCCTCTGAAGGAAAGGGAAAGGTGGGATAAGGGAGAAAGACACCTCAGAACACTCGCTGTGGAATAGACGATGGAAGATAATTAATAAATCAATAATCTTACCTCCGCTAAAGAGTCACAGGTGGTAGGTAACCAGTAGACGGCTCTGGCTGTATTGCTCTCCAATTCCTGTTTGATATTCGGGTCCTGGTCATCGCTTATAACATTGGTTCGACCATACATTAAAGCAAATGGGACCTTGCTGTGAATCGCATTCTTTACACCCATAGCGAAAGCACTATTCTGTGACTCTTGTGCCAAATTTAAATATAAACTTATCTGTAAATAGAAACACCTTGCAATAAGAGCGCTGTATAGGGAGATCCCTATTTCCCGGTGGACACTTTGGGCAAGTGCACAGGGCCCCCCTCAGATCTAATACAAAGTCCCTAGTTCCTGTTAGATCACCAAACGATAACCAATATTTATTACCAAAAAACTTATATAATTCGATGAAATCGATCCTAAATGCCTGACTACAATACCAACTTACTAGCTTTTACATAAGCGAAGCTATCCTACTCTCGTCCAAAAATTAGGCTTTCATACTTCAGCATGCTTAGATAAATTATGGTATACTAAGCACATAAACATTTTAAAGAAAAATCATCAGTAGTACACTCATCAGTATGACTTGCTCCATTTCAAGTCATAATCCACATCAGTCATAGCCCCGTTATCCTAATATGCCCAGGGCCTCCAATAGGTTAAAGACGGCCCTGTGTATAGGATTTAAACTAAAAAGCATAAGCTCAAATTAGTCTTAGCTGAAAACTCACACCGCCTTATTTCCAAGACATGAACTAAAATTAAACTTGATTTAAACCTAAAGCTATCTGTTTCCTTTTAAGCAAACAGTCCAAGTTTATCTTAAGTCAATGTTTTGCAATAAGGTGTACAAAATTTTGTTAACATACCAATATAATATTAGTATTACATTGCCACAAATTAGTACGACACAGAAAAATAAATTACCTATTTTTATGATTAATTGGATTTTTTTCTTACCAGATTTATTAACAAGAACAGAAGTATTTTAAAAAACGCCATCTTTTAAAATTAAGAAAGGCAATCACGAAAAATATTTAAACACAACTTCATGCAAGACTTGGATAGTGTTAATGCCATTTTTCACTAACTCGTTCAAGACTTTTATAGCATTGGTTAGAAAATATGTTAATGTTCCAAGTGCAATTGACTTCCTAGGAGACATGGACAACGCAGTCAATAGCAAAGTAAATATAAATGCTCAAAGATTTTCATAGCTAATCGAATACAGTTCTGCCCGTTGTACCGTGAAATTTCGCGTGATAACATAATTTTAGAACAATAAAAAGAATAATATGGATGAAGTTACGAGTGTAACTTCCATAATCAATTCTTTGTGAATAAATTTAATTCTGTCGTCATCTTTTGTAACATTTTCTCAATTTCGGGTTAGTGTAAAATTTATTATTTATTTATTTAGCCCGAGTAAAAAGAAGTTTGGGTACCGCTGATCTAAATACAAGGAAACGATACAGAATTCAACAATATTTCGTCTCTTTAACATATTTTACTCCTTATGTATTATATATATATATATAAAAGAGGAAAATTAATTACAGGCGATTTAAGGTCGGAAAGGGTGCAGTGGTGAGACCTTTTAAGGGGAGAAAACGGTTTATCGAGATTTTTGTAAAAATACTTCTTTCGAAAAAAAGTCAATAGCAAAATTATAGGTACTCAAATGATCTGAAACGTTTTATTCTACACTTTTTCACTTAACCAATTTTGATGACCGAGGAAGCGATGAATTCGGATTCAAAAATTTTAATCATGAACGTTAGCGACGGAATCAAAAGAGCACAAGGTGAAAAATCTTTGCACTCGATTGCAACATGTAACTTTTCATCCCACCTCAGCGAGGAAATTGACTAAACGCAAAAAAACATTAACAATCACAAGATACTTTTATTTCAGGTTAGGTATTAACTACCACAATATGCTAGGTAAGTAAGTATTCCAATATAATATTTAAAACAAGTAATACTTAGTTGATGTAGTTACTTAAGTTGAGTGTAATATTTTTGTTAGGTACTGTAATGTTGTTGTTAATGACTTGTGTACTGTTTTTGGTAACTATTGTACACTACGTTACAAATTCTGACAACCTAAAAGTTTGAATTTTGACGCGAAGGCGCATAGTAGGTTTCAGGAAGTTACAAGATTAAGTACCGCATCTTTAATATCATTGGCTGGTTTTTTACCAGCCGCAACTTCAGTAAATTTCTTTTCGCAATTTTAAATATTCGATTAAAGTTCTGAAATTAATATTTTTTGAGAATACAAACAAAGTCGTTCGAAAGTCGCTTTAGTTTCAGTGTTGCCAGTACCTGCGTCGTGTTTCGGACGATTCGAAATCTGAAAAGGGACGATTTTTAGTCAAAAAGGACGGCCCTACAGAAATATTAAACTAAAGGCTGAACTATATTTATCTTACGTGTTGTGTTGTGGCGCGATCTGGTTCATACATTTAGTACGGTTAGCACTAAGAACTATACAGAAGCAGATCTCTATTAAAAAATTTAGACATATTAAAATTGACAATCCAGATAAGAAATGTGTATTTATTGCTATTTTGGACATTTTGCTTATTTTTCTATTAAAATTTTGACTATTAGTATAATTGACAATGGCTTATCAAATTTATAATTAATTTATAATCTACTTTGACATACATGTAACAATAGACAATTTCAAATTATGTTCATAAATTGTGATTCCAATCATGGGCGTAGCCAGGTACGGGCAGAGGGGGGCAGCTGCCCCCCCCCTAGATCAAGGAGCTTCAGAACCAAAAATTAAATAATAAATAATCAAAAAACTAAATATAAATTTAAAAAAAAATATAGAATCGCACATCGACCTCATTAGTCTCGTTACTAAAGCTTTAAGTTCGATAGGACTACTCGTAAACAGTGAAGTGATTTCGTACGTACCTACGTTAAGCATTTCTTGGACGTAAAATAAGGATTATTAAATTAACTATATAGCCATTTTTGGTTAGATCATTGGTAAGATCGTAATATTTATTTAATTTTATTGTGAGGTATTTTGGAATGTTAGTATGATACAGTAAGCTCTATTAGTACTTTACTTATGTTTGATGTGCCTAAAAAAAGGGGAATACGTCCGGCCTGGATGACGAAACACCAACATCATCTGGTACATTGTAGTGATTTTCATACGTATCTTTTAAAATAGTCTAGTCAGGTTCAGTATCTAGGATTGAAAAAGGCTTGCTTTTCGAGTTAACAGTTGAGCCTTCCTTTATAAAGTTAATTTGTTTTTTATTTGTGGTTAATCCTTTTTGGTCAAAAAAGCATTGTATTTTCTTTGTGCAAGTTCCAAAATAAACTTTGCGGTTAATGATTTTAATAATGTTCCAGAAATAAGAGACACGATTAGCACAATAAAAGATGTCATCAATTTTTTCGTGAATCTTCTCTACGGAGAAAGTACGTGCCAAATATTCCAGCTCTTTGTGAGACACGCTGGTCACAAAAAAACAAAAGTATTGCTATTTTTAACGATCATTATGAGGGCATTCTCAATGGGTTTTTGGCAATTTCTAGAGAAGGTAATGCTGCAGCGAGAAAAAATGCTTACCACTTATATTGTGCTGCTACCAAGTAAGAATTTATTATATCTGCTGGTTTGATAGGAAAATACTCAGGAATATTGGAACCTGTTGCCAATGCCCTATATTCAAAGACAATAGACATGTATATATGAAAGAAGCATCTCAGTAACGCGGACCAGGAATTCCAATATGTCTTCGACACTTCTACGGAAACTGCAGCTGTCATTGGAACCGATTTACATATCCCGCGCATTGCATTTCGCCAACGATATCAGTCCAATCATCCTGCTGAGACTCCTTGCGATTTTTGGAAGCGATCGATCTTCATTCCGTATTTGGATTCCCTTATATCCGCATTGGAACATCGTTTCTTTGATTAACATATGTTTATCAAAGAAACGATGTTCCAGTGCGGATATGTTCCAGTAGGCATATGCCTGCCTTCGGATTGATGATGCTGCATCCTGATGCGATGTTACAAATTTCATTGGCTGAATTCAAACAGAAAACACAAACTTTCAGCAGATACTATGGGTTAGTATACTTTGATAATAAAGCTGAACTGTGATATAAACGATGGAAAGATGAGGTATGCCAAGAGAACACCTTAGAGAGCTGAACTTTGCAGAGTTGTTAGAGAAGGCGGAAACATTCTTTCCTTCAACCAGAAAACCTATACTAATTTCTTTGGCACTGTCTTGCACCACGAGCAATGTAGAGAGGTACTTCTCTACACTGCGGTGTAGTCAAAACGTGGTTGTGGTCGACGATGCTTGATCTTGATCTCTTAACATACATAGGACACATAAATGGCCTGTGTATGTTAAGTGTCCAGTGAAAGATGGTACAACAAAATTTACATGCAATTTCAGGTGAAGTCTTGAAACGGTTCTGCGAAGAACCGAGAAAATTGGTCTTGTTTATTGTATAAAATTTAATTTTTGTAGCGAACATATTAATTTCGCTTGCCTGCCCCCCCCTAAACTAAATCCTGGCTACGCCCTTGATTCCAATGTAAAAATAATAGTACTTCTTTCATAGGTCCTTATCTATTTGTATACCTTAATTAAGGTGGAAATGTAGTGATACTAACAAAAATTATATATACCATGTATACTAACCTATGTTTCACAAATAAAATTCTGAAATTCTGATTCTGATTAATCCTGTGTGTCGCGATGTGTCGACAGCGTTCTCACATTAACCATAATTGTATGAAACAGATAGCTCTCTGATGTGTTACAATACAACACGACAGGTAAGTGTAGTTCTATTATAATGCGGTTAAATGAAAAGAAAAGCGAGTGTGCTTAGGAACACACGACTGGAAGTGAAATTTCTATAGCTCCAATGATCTGTAATTTGATAGAAAAAAACCATCAATCCGCGCTGGGTCCGTTATCACACACCAATCCGTGCTGGGTCCGTTATCACCCACCAATTCGCACTGGGTCTATTGCCACCCACCAACCCGCACTGGGTCCGTTATCATCCACCAATCCGCACTGGGTCCGTTATTATACACCAATCCACACAGGGTCCGTTATCACCCACCAATCCGCGCTGGGGCCATTATCACCCACCAATCCGCACTGGGTCCATTGCCACCCATCAATCCGCGCAGGTCCCGTTATCACCCTAAAATCCACACTGGGTCCATTATCACTCACCAATCCGCGCTGGGACCGTTATCATCCACTAATCCGCTCTGGGTCCGTTTTCACCCACAAATCTGCGTTGGGTCCGTTATTATCCACCAATCCGCTCTGGGTCCGTTTTCACCCACCAATCTGCGCTGGGCCCGTTATCATCCACCAATCCACGCTGGGTCCGTTCCGTTATCATCCACCAATCCGCACTGGGTCCGTTATCACTAGTGTTGCCAGGTCCGATTTGTTTTAAGTCGGTACATGAGGTGAAAAACATCGGGACTTAGGGTTGTAGATCGGGACAGTAAACAAAAAACTAGGGTTTTTTAGTCTGGGTTTATTTTTTGCGATTTAAACCACTAGTGCAAGTATAGTATTATATTAATTACCTAACTTTCATTTTTGATTCATCGGGTTATTTAGCGTCCCGATCAGGTACAAATCAGGACGCGTCCCCACACCCCTGAAAATCGAGACATCCCGCACAAATCGGGACACCTGGCACCACTAGTAATTACCCACCAATCTGCGCTGGGTCCGTTACCATCCACCAATCCGCGCTAGGTCCGTTATCCAGGCCACCTAGCCAAGCACTAGATTTATGTATTTTGTGACAGGTATTGTTCATTGTTTACCGATGAGTCACCGATGACACTAATCGTTACGCGAAATCGTAACTATTCGCCAGTTTACCCCCCAAGTCAAGCGTGCCTAAAGAAGTTTCACTTCAAAAAACATTTTAACAGAGCCATATTAATTATATTTTTTTGGGCACACAATAAACATAAAGAAGAAGTACGGAGGACATAGGTACATCATGGTGGTACGAACGTATCGTACGTATTTACGACTTAACAAAGCAAGCACTTATTTTTAAGTTACCTATTATCTTTATAATTGAAATATAGGTACCTCAACAACAAAAGTTTTATTAGGTAAGATATGGTAGGTTATTGGGTTTGAGCTTTGAGTTGGTATATAGATATAGGTAGGTATTTGTTAAACGTCACCTTCGTAGCGAGCGTTGGATTCGATGTAGTTTACTGGGTGATTTGACGAATAGAGTTGACAATGTACAACGAATAGTGATGGCAATTTAGTGAAATAAATCAATGAGTGAAACGAAACGCATTCGTCTAATGTTGCAGTGAAGCGTTATCGAAAACGGACGGAAAAGGGACGGAATATGTAAAAGGACATCGATGGGACGCTTTGATGAGAAAAGGGACGAAAATCGTCCCTTTTGGGACGTTCTGGCATCACTGTTTAGTTTTGCAAGAAAAGTGTCGGAAAAAGATGGCGCGGACGGCACTTTGTGGCAACAACGTCCAATTGAAATGCAGATTTCGAGCACTTCGCACTTCTAGATGACACTTTTGTTGAGATTGTAAACAGACGCCTTTTTATGAATTGAAGCGCTGTTTGACTGTTCTTTGTGCTTGTCCAAAAAGTTTTAAATTTAGGAAACGCTCAGATATTTGTTTCTATTTCTGAATTTTGTATGCTAAGTGTTAAAAATTAGGAAAACGGAACGTTTCGGAAGGAATATAGAAGTACTGGTAAGGCAACCCCGACCAAGCCTTCAAACCTTGCTTCAAACTTTGTTTCGGGAAAGAATTAGGATAGATAATGTCATGTCTAATCAGTGTTGCCAGATCTCCCGATTTTACAGGAGAACTCCTGTTTTTCTGAAATTTCTCCTGATAGTAGATAGTTTTTCTTAGAATACTATTTTCTTTTTTAAATTAAATGTTATTTTATGAAATTAAAAGTTTTTCTGAGTTCAAGAGCTCAAGTAAGGCTCGAGCCAGGCAAATTTTGAAATCGGGTGAAGGGAAGCAAGCGGCTATATGGGGCTAAACTGTACTTCTAGGGCCCAAGAGGTGATACTTCACACTAGGTTAAGTTAGGTTAGTGTTGTGACCATAGCGCCAGAAAAAAACTATTAAAAAGACCTTTTCTACAAAGACCAGATTAGATATTCAATAATCTCGAGTGAGTCTCGGGACCCATTAGATATTCAACAATACATAATATTTTTCAACAGTGGGTCCCGACTGTTAAAGTAGCTTTGTTCCTTATTAACAGAATTATAGACTACTGGACTTGTTTTTTTCTTTTCAGTTTTTATTTGAAGTATAATTAAGCAGTCGGGTTTTTTGATTTTTTAAATTTACCTTTTTTATTTCACACTTTATAGTTTGTATTTTAAGACGGTATATACCGTAGTCTTGTTACTTTAGTAAGGGAATTAATATCGCGGGAATTATTAAGTACCTTGCGTCGGTCTGAAAGATTGATTTATTAAGACATATAAAGACTTTACCAGCGGGGTCAAGGCTACATAATGGGCCTCAATTTTCGCAAAAATGTGTGAAGTTAAATCAACTCGTTACATAAATATCTCTAATGTACCTATGTAAATTTTATAGTAAACTAACACTTACTCAAAAAGTCATCTTTTGTTTATCCTTTTTTTATAGTTTAGCAGTAAATATAAAATTCATTTACTTTTATTCGTCGACTATTTAAAATTGGCAGTGGCTGCATTGTCATGTCAATGCCGGACGTCTAAGATTGTGATATACACAAATTCAGTGTCAGTCCCTAGTCTCATAATTTGATATACCTACATAATTCACAGAAACCCAATATGTAGATGCCAGAAGTTAACTTCAAATGTTTTTAATCACCCTATATACAATACCAATCAATGACGTTTATGTCGCAGGTTGAAGAAAGCAGTAATTCCCGTCTGTTGTTTTGGACAATGGTGGCAACTGCCTTAGACCACTAAATTAAATAATTATGCAATCACCAAAGCAAAGTTTATAATATTTGATTAAACTAAAGGCGCATAATAAAATTTTCATAACGTTAGGTAGAGCACCATAGCAATCTCATTTATTATCAATTTATAGTTCTCTTTGTAGTTTTCTTTTAAAGCGTTCACTTTTAACAGGTCAAAGACTTTGTGTTTGACCCTTTTTTATTGGTAGTGTAAAGCTAGAATGAAAAGTACTCCCAGTAGTGCAATCATGGCAATTATTTTCCAATTTTTTTTTGTTTAAAAAAATACCGAATAACGAAACTGTTAAGCACAAATGCTAAGTAACTTTTACAAATATAATCAAATAAACCTATTACTTACTTTATTTTTAAATCTTTTTCATCAATTAAATACTTATCTTATCCTAACTATCTATACTAATATTATAAAAAGGCAAGATTTGTATGTTTGTAACAAATAATCTGTCAAACTACTGAACCGGTTTCAAATATTAATTCATCATAAGGTAGCTACGTTATTTATTATAACATTTTTCTTTATTTAAATACATTTTGTCCGAGTGACATAGGCTATATTTTATCCCGATAAATAAATTTCGCCCGTACAATGCCCGGGTGGATCACTAGTAAGTATAATATAATATTATAGATGCGAAAGTGAGTTTGTTTGTTGGGCTTCCGTGCCCTAATAGCTAAATCGAATATAATGAATTCCCATATAGAAATAGATGGGAACTTGGTTCTTAGCTACAACATCGCAATACTTATAGGCGTAGGGTGGTGAAAGGGGTGATTTCCCTATAAAAATCTACATTATTTACTTTGAATTTTACAGAATTATTACAAAACTAGTATTATCGCGAGCTGATTAATAAATACAGGGATTCCAATAAGTATGTACTTACTAGCGAAAAATAGGTTATTTGTCATTATATTAAGTAATTTTTTTTTGTAACATTAAGTAATATCGTTAAAAAAATAAAAAACAGGAAAATTCTGAGTTTTTTATTAAAATTCAATAATCATAAATACCTATTATGATAATATATTTTTCATCATTTAATAAGAAGGAACTGTATCAGTTTTATTGTTAGTACTTCGTATAGGATCAGATACTGCGAATACCCCAATTTTTTTTCTTTTACATAGTACACCGCGCTATCACTTTGTCATCGTTGTAACTTTTTAAATATTTGTCGAAAAAATTGTGTAAAAAGCAAAGTTTATCGTCTTTAAATATCAAAAGCGATAAAAGTATTTGTTTTGATAAAAAATGATTTGTTAATACAAAATGTGCATTTTGGCAATAGATATCAAATAATATTTTAGTTTTGATTCACTATTTTAGCGGTAATGGCTTACACATTAAAAATAGATATATGGTGTCACGGACTTTTTTTTAGAACTAGTTAAGAGATACATTTTCACTCTACATTACATTCATGTAACTTTTATTGTTTTTGCAGTGCAGGCCAAAATGGCTCGCAGATGGGAGATTTTTTTCCGTCTTATGTGACACTTATTGTTAAATATTGGCCAATTCACTCAATAACTACATAAATTATTATATATATGTAATTATCGTATATGAGCTATATTACTGTTAAGTTTCATTAAAATCCATTCAGTATTTTTTAGGTGAAAGAGTAACAAAGATCTATACAAACGTAAGATTGAAATTAAAAGCGTAAGTGGTTAATATACAACTTTAAAGCGTTGTAGATCCTAAACAATCATATAAAATGAAAAATGGTGTTAGGAACCTAAATATGATTTTTGATTATCTAGACAGTGATACCCCACTCGACATATTTTGTCAACTTATTTTTTTTACTTCGTCACAATATGGCACCTAATTTTGCCCATATTGAATTTTGATTACTATCATATCTTTAGTAGCACTGCCATGATTGAAACGAATCGATTGATGTATGAATCATCAAAATCGGTCCAGGCGTTTGGTCTCTAGTGTGCCACAAAGGAACAAACATACATATATAGACTGTTAAACACATAACCCTGTCTGCGCGTCGCGCTTCGCGCTCTTGCATTGCGCAGCCGGGTAAAAACACATTGGCGACCATTACAGAACCATAGAGATCAGAGCAATCATAGACACATTTCATTGCCACTCTCAACAGGTACAACGGAGGTTCTGAAGTTCAAGAAAAGTTGCTATTTCTCGTGGGATACTGCCAATTTTATTAGCACCAGCAGGTTGTCTGACACACTTTTCGTTGCTTGATATTTATCAAAATTTGTTAAGTACCTATACCTTGCGAATGACTAAGTTGCAGTCTCTTTTTTTGTCTTTGTATTAGGTAATTTTTCTCAATGTTTTTTACATTTACACACAGTCTCTTTATAAAGTGGAAGATACCACACCTCCAATGGAAACTCTTGATCGCTTCACAAGGATAAGAACTTCTTTTCTTGCGAAACGAGGTAATCCTTTTTAATAAGAACTGTTAGTATTTAAACTTTAGTAATTTAAGCAAAGCGTCAGGCGACAGTTTGGTTGTTTCAAAATAAACCAACGCCTACGAAACTGAAGCGATCGAGGAGCGCAGAGAAAATTTTGATCGCTAGTTTCTTCACTTTGACGGGGTACCTAATTTCAATTCCACTTCGAGACCAAAGCAACATCAACGCCGAATGGTATAGCACAAAATGCCTGCCAGTAGTTTTTTCTGCAATGAACAACAAGCGACCTAACACCGGGCTCCGAGGGGTCCTTCTTCACCACGACAACGCGCCCGCGCACTCTGCGATCAAAACGAAGGACTTCCTCGACTCAAGGGCGGATCCAGCTTTGGCGCCAGGGGGGGGGTCATATAGTCGTGGTATATTAAATATTGAAAGTACTTAAATAAAATCCCCCTGGGTTTGGTCCATCTGTACCCAGCCCAGGGGGGGGGGGGGGGGTCATGACCCCCATGTGATGGGATCCCCCCCCCCCTGGATCCGCCCTTGCCTCGACTCCACACCAGTCAGAGTTTTGGGACACTCTCCTCACAGTCCTGATTTGGCTCCATGTGACTTCTATGAAAATTGGTTCAGATCAGACGCATGAAACTTTATACAGGGTGTTACAGAATTCCGAAATAAAATTTGTAGGTATGTATTCCAAAATAAAATTTTGTAGGTATCTGAGCGGGACGCAGGGGCGCCTGGGGGAGAGAGAGGGGGGTCTGTTTAGGTAGTAGTAATCGTACGCATTTATAGGGTTGTCATAGGCAGGTGTAAAACGATATTTTTATTAATTTAATTAGAAAATAAAAGTGGTCTGAAAGGCGTCAAACTTTCGTAGGTAATTCTATACAAGGAACACAACCAAACCCTAAAGTTTTATTTCGGACTTTTGTCACACCCTGTATAGAGGCGAGAGTTGGTGGAGAGTTCTTTGAAAAGATTTAATAAAAATATTTTTTTCATAGAAGTTAGTTTTTTAGTTTCTCAAAACTTTCTGAGTGTCCCACGTACTATCTGTAATGACAGTCAGGAGAAGCAAGGAATATAGAAAAAAAAATGCGTTTTTATACAAAATTTATTTGCTTAAACTTACGTGTACATGCCATCAAGGCTAAAAATCCCATCAAAATATTTAAATTGGACGGATTTAAAAAATGCCATTTTCTTCTTAATATGTAAATATCATTGTTCAATGTTTATAAAATGTATATAAAAAGTATAATTTAGATAAAAATATTCAATAGCTGTGCCTTAAAGTTCATTTTTATAAAACACTGCTTTATTAGTCCAACCACATGGTGCATTTGCTTTTATTTCCCTACAAGCTTGTTTCATACTGCGTCTGTATTTTCAAACTGTACAGTTTGCTCTCTACCAAATCTAGATCGCTTATTCTTTCCAAAGTGGTCACATTAGAAGGCTGTGTTACATTAGATATGATCGATGTAGATGCAGTATTGTCCAAAACACGTTTGCTAAAACTTTGGGTGTTCTCTCGACATTGGTTTTTATTTACTGTTATATTTTGCTTCTCTTGGGATGCAGTTGTTGAAATATTATCAGTAATATCATTTAATTGATTCAAGATTGCTGAAACATAAAAAAATATGTATTCATAACTGTTTATTATTTATTTGTACTGAAGCAAATTCAATACAAAACATAACAGAGCTAATAAAATACTAGTAATAGGACTAATAATGACTTTAGTTTTGACTTAAAAATAACCTTAACTTGTATTTGTTTTGAAAATACCAGGGATCTTACGACATTTTCAACTTTGGATAATAAACATATATAAATGATTCGTTAAAGTTGTAATTATTACCTGATATTTGCAAACTTGTCGTTTCGTTCAGAAAACTGTCTTTGCACTTCTTGACTTCAGCTTTTCCGATATCATACGTATTTTCAACTTTTCCAATGTCAAAGGTTTTATTCAAGTTCTTATTGAACGGATGTACACGAGATTGGCAAAACAATTCTCTCCTTAAAGAAATAGCGTCTTTAGAAATAGGCTTACATTCTTTTGCCTCTTCTTCAAACAGTGCGCTAACCTGGGCGGAAAAATTCAACTCGTTTTGAACTCTTCTCTTCACTTTGAGGTGTTTTGTCAATTTTGATAAAAACTCATTTGGCATCGGCACTTTCACAGAAGTAGTTCTAGCGAATATGCTTCTCGTTACGTTAGCTTGTGATTTCCTTTGCGAATGCTCAGTATTAGGCTTCAATATTGTATGCGTTAAATTCTTATTAACATTGTCTGCCTCTTCACATAATTCAAAAAACTGGTCATCATCCTTGGGAACAAACAATTCATGAATTTTTTTCACCAATGAATAGAGGAGTCTTGCACGAATAGAAAGTTTTTGTAATACAACGCCGACTGCTTGGCGATCGCAACTTTTATCTTCATTGTCACATGGTACCTCTTTAGTTAAAATATCAAATACAACCTTGCACTCCCTTTGAACTGTAACAATAAAGCGTTTGTTATTAAGTTTCCGTACCCAAATGATACTAGTACGGTACAAACTAACGACAAAGGGTGAGGAGCACGATGGCGCTGGTGGATAGCGCGTTCGGCAAGCGAAAGTGGAAGTTAAGCAACTTTCACAATCGTCGGTCATTGGATGGGTGACCGAAAATTTATTATCTCGAGCTCCTCCGTGCTTTGAAAGGCACGTTAATCATCCACCAATCAGCACAGGGCCCGCGTAGTAGGCCCAGTCTCCCTATTCCATTCATAGGGAAGGCCTGTGCCCCAGCAGTGGGGACATTAATTGGCTACTTGACACTTTTTGGAAATATGTTTTAAATGGTTAATAATTGTTCCTAGAAACCTACAAAACTTTAATATTAAAATAGATTTTTCATGGACATACAAAAACGCTGTTGGCCATTTTAGTCTATAGATTATCTATGCAATGACGTCAACAAAATCGTAAACAAACATTCGGAAGCACGTAGAAAATAACCTGAATCTAAATTTATATTATAAAACCATAATTTCTAACAGATTTCATGATAAATATAATAATGATCATGATTGTATACGCGAATGTAGAAACACATCGTTAAAGACTCCAGAAAAGTTGTGGTTTAAATTGTCTAGAGAAATACACATGAACACAGTCATGTTTTAAACTTGCTAAATCCTATAATTTTACAGTCTGAAAGTCATTTCTTTCAGCAAATATCATTTTATGTGAGTACTCATTGAATAATATTTAAAGTTTAAAAGTACAATTTTGAAGGTTAAATGTAGCTACTAAGTCAAAGAGTTTTGTCGTTTCTGCTTTCACAAATCCGGCGTCCAGCATTAATTTAGTACAAGATGTAAGAGTTTTTAGATATATTTTAGTCCAACGAAAGACACCACAGTAACAGGACAGGACAATGACGTTTAGTTGTTTACCAACACATTTACTAATTTGTTGACGTGACAATAATGGTTTTAAGTGTTTAAAAAGCATAGACTAAAAAACCATTTTTCAAATTAAATTACTACAGCCATCTTCCAATTTTATGAAGTGAAATCGATGTATTTAGGTTCCTCAAACCAAAAATTATAAGAAATAAACATTTGTATAGTGCAATTTGACATGAGTCAACTAGACTAGCAATGGCAAAAGTACAGAGCGCGCGCAACGTTGTCAGCTCGCATACCATAACGTCACACGCTGTGTCCGCCCGCTCGGTTTGTCAATGCGTAGCTTGCTATCGCAGCTCTGCGTACATAAATATAGCCACATTAAACGGGCGTTTAGTATGATAAACACCATTTCTTGGTGCCTACTCACGCTTGGCAAACAGAAAGGCAAACAGCGAACAGACGTGTATACGGCTACTTGTCTGTTAATGTTGTTTGCAGTTTGTGTTCGCCAATGATCGGCGTCTGTGTCGGTTTTTTGCACAAATCAAAGGATTTTGTTTGCCAAGCCGGTTATACCAGCATGGTCTCCAAGCATGGGGATGCGCGTTTGTGATGCATTTTTGATGTGTAACATCTTTCCTCTCGCTTTCCTGCAATTTGTGGGAGTGATTTCGTTAAACGGGACCGAAGTGTGTAACAGGAAGTTGCGAAAGCGCGCGCTATATGGTTTGATTTGATTTTAGAACATTGTAGTAAGTTTAATTTCTTTTTTCACTAATATAAGGTAAGGTTTCAAATGCTACACATCATACGCGACTACTGTAACGCTCGCTGGTTTTTTTCATTTTACATCATTTGCCAAACACCGCCCACTGCGGCAGAAAACCTCGAGCTGTTTATGAATGAACCCATTACCGCTTGCATTCTGTTTTCATGCCGTTAATATTAAATAAATGCAAATTCAGAGCTTGGTTTCATAGTCCATGCTGTTCGACACAAACGGTAAAACTTGCGGCTGCTTAGTAGCTGTTTTAAACGCGCGGCAAACCATTTCAGAATTTCGCCGCACCGGTTTTAAAACCGCAGCTAGGCTTAAGTCCCGGCTGCATTAACAGTCATTAGCAATCACTATTCCGCAATGGTGTGTCTTTGGGTCCTGGTTCTCTCTAATTCGCGCATAAAGGAAGACTAGTCCACCCAACCCCAGCAATAGACTAATATAGCAAACACTAAAGGGATGAACCACAGCGACATAGTAGTATTCAAATCATTCTGTAGTTTTTGCCGGGTAGAAAAAGCAGTTTAACGTACATGCGTAAAAAGCAAAGCAAAACGCCACTCACACATAAACAATGACACAATATACAGCCTAATCCTCCACACATATCGTTTGTATGCGCAATTCGACAGATGGGAAAGCTGTGCATGCCTACTCCAGTCCTGGCGGGGCGTCGGCCGTGTTGCTCTATTAGTTGACTGGATTGATATCTCTAACCCCTCGTTTACACCAAGGTATAATACATGAGGAGCTGGCGAACAAAACGGTATAATTACACATCTGGTCAAACTACTTTTTTTTACAGTCAGGAGGCTTCAGGCCCGTTGAATTTGAATTTCAAATCATTTTCAATCAAAACCGCCTTAAACAGTGTTAAAATGACTAAATCAATTAATTAAAAACCACGCCAAAAGCTCAGTGGAGGTATGTCATTCAGTTTTATACTACTCCTGTAAAATTTAATTTTATGTAATTATACCGTTTTGTTCGCCAGCTCCTCACATGCATTTCACAAGTTTTATACAATGTTTCATTTTATGTTCACACTTATATACATGTATATATAGTATACCATGATTACATTAAACTTGTTGGATAAACAAAATATGTGAAGTAAATAAGTGCTTTATGCTTGTAAGATACTAGTTAGCTATGCAGTGTAAACGGAAGAATGTTTTAAACATCCACAAGTATTCTATAAGTTTTGTTTAAAACTTGTACATGACTTATTTCTTGGTGGTAACAAGGGGTAATAATATGGCTTTAGCCAAGTTGATGTCCAGAAACAATAAGTGACGTATGGTAGACAGTGATATACTAAATAAATCCAATTATACAGTACCTCGATCCAAATTTTGCAGTAATTTATCCAATTCATTGTTTTGCACCAAAGCATTGGGCTCATATTGCTTATATATGGAAAAGAATGTAAATACAAGTGACCCTACATTTATAACAATAGCCCAAATGTCACGGTTTGCATTAAAATCCTGCTTCTCAAATTCCAATAGTAACTCCTTCATATTGAGTTTACATCGCTGAAATATAATAAATAAACTTATTTTTATCACTTAAGGCACATTAAGAAATAGATTAAAAAAAATAATAAAATTCAAGTTCACTCAAAAAAGATCAGAAAAAGGAAACAAGTATATAGTCAGGAATTCAAAACCAAATAAGTTAGAAATAGATTGTGTTGGTTTTTGTACTCATTGCAAATTTGAGTCACAAAAAAATCCATAGCAGAGGCTACATTATTACAGACTATTCATGTATTGTACTTTGTTGTATCTTATCCTTAGGAATTAAAAAGTATACAGGTTATAGCAAGATAGCCAACGACAATCACGATGATCAGAAGTAAAATTTAAGAGAGTAAATTAAGAGTAAATTTTATACTGTTTAATGCCAATGTAAACATACTGTTTCATTACATGATAAGTATTATATTATTAACAAACCTCTACAAATGCAACTGGGTCAACAATCAAAAACACATTATTCCTGATATCCATGACCTCCTGTTTCCAAAAGCTTATCAAAAGGGTAGTGTGAACAGAATCTGAAGCTGTAGATATAGCTGGCACCAAATGCGGATCTAATGACTCCAGGCTTGAAAGGCCACTTCTCAGTAAAACAATTCCTGAAAATTTTAAGAATTCCTTCAGAGTAAAACAGCACTGTACATTTTCTGTGCAGGATTAATTCATTTTACATGAAACTACTTACTCTTTTGATCTGATGAACAGGACACAGCGAAAAACCCTATCTGCAGAAGCCTTTCATTATGTAAATCAAAACTTTTGACATATTCGCAAGTCTCTATATCTCCACTTTCTATATCAGTAGCACATGGACAAAAGTGGCCATTTCTCAGTGAAAAGTGATCTTTCAATAGATCAACAGGAGAGTTACAATGAGCATAGCAGTGAATTAGTAAACTGAGTAAAGCGGTATTTGTGTTTGTTTCTAAAACATACAAAACATCCTTCAGCACATCTATCAATATATTAACATTTGATGGCATTACTGGTAATTTTAATTTATCAGGTGTAATTTTCACTGATTTAGTAATATCAACAGTGACTAATTCACTAAATAGTGCCTTGGTCTCTCTTAACACCTGTGAAAAAAAAGGTAATTATTTTACAAAAAATTAATCAGTAAGTATTCGTAATTTTGTGTTATTATAATAATTATTAAAAACACATACAACATGGCAACGAGCTTTTAATGCTGGTTGATCTTCATCCAAACAGTACTTGCATAGTGTCATTGCTGACAATAGCAGCTCATCAATGCACATATGCAGATTAGTTATGTGATCAACCATCTGAAATCATGCAAACAAAATGTATATAGAAGTAAAAGCCAAGTATTTCTTGCAGTCCATCTTTACTAGGTAATACAGTGGAATCTCGATAACTCGCATGTCAAGGGAAATGCAAAAAAAAAACGAGTTAACGAGTTTTCGACTTAACAAGAACTTTGAGATACATATGACGTAACTGTCGAAATTTCGACTTACAGAGGTGCAATTTCTAAGTGTATTTTTATTTGTAGATTCGAATTTGAATAACAATTCAACTTACTTTTTATGTATATTTTTTACATATTAAAACAAATTACATATTAATGAAGTAAACTGTACCCTAATAAAAATCCGTTATCATCTTTTGATTTAAACAATTTGCAGATTTTTAATCAATTATTTTTTCAAGCTCAAACAATGAACCGAATACATGATCCTCGATATCATCACAACTTTCAACATAAGTTCGAATTATGTTATAAATTGTACAGTTGTCAATGAAAAGTAATATTTTTAGTTTCTCCTTAATCATTTTCTTATCAAATAATAATGCCAAAATAATACTGACGGACAACAAGAAACTTCGACAAGAAACAAGCATAACACTCACAGCTGTGTAACTTAGAAAGTTTCATGAATGTATTTATTCATTGCACGTGTACAAGACAAAAACAATAGAATAAAAGCCCTGAACCCGAACTTTCATTTTGGATTTTATTGCTATTATTTCGGGGAATTCCAAGTAACACGTCATTATATTTTACTAAGTACAACATACAGAGTCTCCTTTTTGAAATTCGAGTTATAGAGTATAAATATGTATTGTCAATACTTTATTTATATACTTTATTGCAAAACAAACAACAAATGGCTGACATAATGCCATAAGGCATTCTCTACCAGTCGACCAGTAAAAGCGTGAGAAATAAAAATATGGGGGTGCAATAAGGACATATGCTGTAGGGAAACAACATTTTGTTCCAGTTACAATGTCTAAATAATTCGAGATACCGCATATTTAGGGTAGTACTTCAGCGGTAGGGAATGGCAATTTTACGACTTACTGAGGTTCAAGTTATTGAGATTCCACTGTATTATTAATTTTAATGGTCTATTGTATTGAAAATTGTATTACAGTTACAGGCCCCAGGGATTGCACTGACTTATGAATCTTTTTTTTTATTATGTACAATAATAAAAGTAGCAAATAAATTCTGTTTAACTATTTGTCTGAATTGTATTTAGATCCGTGTGTGCATGCAATTTAATCAAAAGTAAGGTTGTTTGTTGGCTTGTTATTTCATTAACTTAGTGCTCCTACAATGAGTATTACCTTTTATTGCATAGTTTATGCATTGTCTACATGTACACACCTTACTTCCACTTAACTTTAAGTGCTCCTACATAATATAGGGAAGACGAGAGGGTAAAGAAAACTAAATTCTAAAGTAGATAATAAAAAATAATGGACACTTATTTTCTTTTGGTAATCAACCAAATAATTACAAATATAGTTTGTGAGTCCCCCACTCCTCATGATAACACTTCTAAGAAAAAAATTATCAAGACATAATCTTATGAGACGTTTCATATTGACATATTTGAGTTTTGATAATGTGAGTAAAGGAAAAATGTGTCCAATACCTTTATATCTACCTAATCCTAATACCTTTATATCGATAATCTACCTGATAGAGAAAGAATAACGTTGTCATTCCTTTTGAATATCTTATTAAAGGCTCTTAGCAAAAATGATGCACAGCAATGTCAGACAGTTTAATAGTTATTATAATATTACAGATTACTTACTAAATTTTTCCACTCTTTGTGAAGTTTTGTATCATCCTTATAGTCAGTTCTATAAATAGTTGAAGACAATTTTGATAGAATATCAAAAGTATAATCAATCCAATTAACAAAATACATTGGAGTCATAAACAAATCTTCATTCATGTCTGTATTGCTGTGATTTGGTAAATGCTTGTTTAGATGCATTGCTACTGTATTCAGTTTGGACATACACCAATTAAGTCTGTCTATTATAAATATCCGACTCTCCTGCAAAATGATATTCAGAAATATTACATCTTTTACTAATATAACAGAAATATTATAGAACTATTTTCATGATACTTATCATAATTAAAAAGACACCAATCATCATCAGCCTATTAATGCACCCACTGCTGGGGCACAGGCCTTCCCTGTGGATGGAATGGGGAGTTTGGGCCATGACCCACCACGGCGGCCCAGTGCGGATTGGTGGGCGCTAACGACTGCAGATGCAGCCGGGACCAATGGCTTAAAGTGCCTTCCGAAGCACGGAGGCGCTCGAGATAGTAAATTTTTGGCCACCCATCCAATGACCGACCACTGCGAAAGTTGCTTAACTTCAATGATCAAAGCCGAACGCGCTAACCACTTGCGCCATCAAGCTCCGCAAATTTAACTTTAGGTTAAGACAGCAAAACATTATTATATCACCTCTAAAACTTGTAATGTACTAACCGTAAGAAAAATCCCATGTTTGGATTCTGTTTTAAATATTTCTAATGAATTAGAAACACATTTAGTGATCTGACTTGAGCTAAGCAAATAAATATCTCGAGTACTTGCTAAGTCTTCATCTGCTGCAGTTCGAAATTTAGTTGCAATATGTTGCAGCATTGGACAAACTGTGTGTAGCAAATAGTCCTGTAATGTAAATAAACCATTTTAAAACTACTTAAATATTATTAACTAAAATAATATGATACAAAGCAGACTTTTCACTCTCAGATATGCTAGAAAGGAGTGCCATAGTCTGGAATTACAACGTTATCATTTGGAGTACAATGATAACGTTGTACTCAGTGCATGGTGCAATATACATCAACAACCGAAACAGTAGGTAAATAAAAAATGAGATCTCACAGAGCACTTATTGGCAATGCAAATTTCTGTCCTGAATGTAGTTATTTAAATTAATATTACTTAACATACCACAATGTATTTTGTAGCCCCTGGAATATCTTTGGGAAAGTCGTGATAATCTAAACTGTAACTCATTTTAAATGAAAAACAATCTACAAAAGTAAAGCCAACTACAGGCTAAAAAAAGGGTCAACTATTAGCAAATTAAAGAAAGTCAATGAAATTACTGTTCAAATTGGTTCAAATGCGGCAAAGCAAAATATAAACAGTGTTGCCAGTACCTGCGTCGTGTTTCGGACGATTCGAAATCTGAAAAGGGACGATTTTTGGTCAAAAAGGACGGCCCTACAGAAATATTAAACTAAAGGCTGAACTATATTTATCTTACGTGTTGTGTTGTGGCGCGATCTGGTTCATACATTTAGTACGGTTAGCACTAAGAACTATACAGAAGCAGATCTCTATTAAAAAATTTAGACATATTAAAATTGACAATCCAGATAAGAAATGTGTATTTATTGCTATTTTGGACATTTTGCTTATTTTTCTATTAAAATTTTGACTATTAGTATAATTGACAATGGCTTATCAAATTTATAATTAATTTATAATCTACTTTGACATACATGTAACAATAGACAATTTCAAATTATGTTCATAAATTGTGATTCCAATCATGGGCGTAGCCAGGTACGGGCAGAGGGGGGCAGCTGCCCCCCCCCTAGATCAAGGAGCTTCAGAACCAAAAATTAAATAATAAATAATCAAAAAACTAAATATAAATTTAAAAAAAAATATAGAATCGCACATCGACCTCATTAGTCTCGTTACTAAAGCTTTAAGTTCGATAGGACTACTCGTAAACAGTGAAGTGATTTCGTACGTACCTACGTTAAGCATTTCTTGGACGTAAAATAAGGATTATTAAATTAACTATATAGCCATTTTTGGTTAGATCATTGGTAAGATCGTAATATTTATTTAATTTTATTGTGAGGTATTTTGGAATGTTAGTATGATACAGTAAGCTCTATTAGTACTTTACTTATGTTTGATGTGCCTAAAAAAAGGGGAATACGTCCGGCCTGGATGACGAAACACCAACATCATCTGGTACATTGTAGTGATTTTCATACGTATCTTTTAAAATAGTCTAGTCAGGTTCAGTATCTAGGATTGAAAAAGGCTTGCTTTTCGAGTTAACAGTTGAGCCTTCCTTTATAAAGTTAATTTGTTTTTTATTTGTGGTTAATCCTTTTTGGTCAAAAAAGCATTGTATTTTCTTTGTGCAAGTTCCAAAATAAACTTTGCGGTTAATGATTTTAATAATGTTCCAGAAATAAGAGACACGATTAGCACAATAAAAGATGTCATCAATTTTTTCGTGAATCTTCTCTACGGAGAAAGTACGTGCCAAATATTCCAGCTCTTTGTGAGACACGCTGGTCACAAAAAAACAAAAGTATTGCTATTTTTAACGATCATTATGAGGGCATTCTCAATGGGTTTTTGGCAATTTCTAGAGAAGGTAATGCTGCAGCGAGAAAAAATGCTTACCACTTATATTGTGCTGCTACCAAGTAAGAATTTATTATATCTGCTGGTTTGATAGGAAAATACTCAGGAATATTGGAACCTGTTGCCAATGCCCTATATTCAAAGACAATAGACATGTATATATGAAAGAAGCATCTCAGTAACGCGGACCAGGAATTCCAATATGTCTTCGACACTTCTACGGAAACTGCAGCTGTCATTGGAACCGATTTACATATCCCGCGCATTGCATTTCGCCAACGATATCAGTCCAATCATCCTGCTGAGACTCCTTGCGATTTTTGGAAGCGATCGATCTTCATTCCGTATTTGGATTCCCTTATATCCGCATTGGAACATCGTTTCTTTGATTAACATATGTTTATCAAAGAAACGATGTTCCAGTGCGGATATGTTCCAGTAGGCATATGCCTGCCTTCGGATTGATGATGCTGCATCCTGATGCGATGTTACAAATTTCATTGGCTGAATTCAAACAGAAAACACAAACTTTCAGCAGATACTATGGGTTAGAATACTTTGATAATAAAGCTGAACTGTGATATAAACGATGGAAAGATGAGGTATGCCAAGAGAACACCTTAGAGAGCTGAACTTTGCAGAGTTGTTAGAGAAGGCGGAAACATTCTTTCCTTCAACCAGAAAACCTATACTAATTTCTTTGGCACTGTCTTGCACCACGAGCAATGTAGAGAGGTACTTCTCTACACTGCGGTGTAGTCAAAACGTGGTTGTGGTCGACGATGCTTGATCTTGATCTCTTAACATACATAGGACACATAAATGGCCTGTGTATGTTAAGTGTCCAGTGAAAGATGGTACAACAAAATTTACATGCAATTTCAGGTGAAGTCTTGAAACGGTTCTGCGAAGAACCGAGAAAATTGGTCTTGTTTATTGTATAAAATTTAATTTTTGTAGCGAACATATTAATTTCGCTTGCCTGCCCCCCCCTAAACTAAATCCTGGCTACGCCCTTGATTCCAATGTAAAAATAATAGTACTTCTTTCATAGGTCCTTATCTATTTGTATACCTTAATTAAGGTGGAAATGTAGTGATACTAACAAAAATTATATATACCATGTATACTAACCTATGTTTCACAAATAAAATTCTGAAATTCTGATTCTGATTAATCCTGTGTGTCGCGATGTGTCGACAGCGTTCTCACATTAACCATAATTGTATGAAACAGATAGCTCTCTGATGTGTTACAATACAACACGACAGGTAAGTGTAGTTCTATTATAATGCGGTTAAATGAAAAGAAAAGCGAGTGTGCTTAGGAACACACGACTGGAAGTGAAATTTCTATAGCTCCAATGATCTGTAATTTGATAGAAAAAAACCATCAATCCGCGCTGGGTCCGTTATCACACACCAATCCGTGCTGGGTCCGTTATCACCCACCAATTCGCACTGGGTCTATTGCCACCCACCAACCCGCACTGGGTCCGTTATCATCCACCAATCCGCACTGGGTCCGTTATTATACACCAATCCACACAGGGTCCGTTATCACCCACCAATCCGCGCTGGGGCCATTATCACCCACCAATCCGCACTGGGTCCATTGCCACCCATCAATCCGCGCAGGTCCCGTTATCACCCTAAAATCCACACTGGGTCCATTATCACTCACCAATCCGCGCTGGGACCGTTATCATCCACTAATCCGCTCTGGGTCCGTTTTCACCCACAAATCTGCGTTGGGTCCGTTATTATCCACCAATCCGCTCTGGGTCCGTTTTCACCCACCAATCTGCGCTGGGCCCGTTATCATCCACCAATCCACGCTGGGTCCGTTCCGTTATCATCCACCAATCCGCACTGGGTCCGTTATCACTAGTGTTGCCAGGTCCGATTTGTTTTAAGTCGGTACATGAGGTGAAAAACATCGGGACTTAGGGTTGTAGATCGGGACAGTAAACAAAAAACTAGGGTTTTTTAGTCTGGGTTTATTTTTTGCGATTTAAACCACTAGTGCAAGTATAGTATTATATTAATTACCTAACTTTCATTTTTGATTCATCGGGTTATTTAGCGTCCCGATCAGGTACAAATCAGGACGCGTCCCCACACCCCTGAAAATCGAGACATCCCGCACAAATCGGGACACCTGGCACCACTAGTAATTACCCACCAATCTGCGCTGGGTCCGTTACCATCCACCAATCCGCGCTAGGTCCGTTATCCAGGCCACCTAGCCAAGCACTAGATTTATGTATTTTGTGACAGGTATTGTTCATTGTTTACCGATGAGTCACCGATGACACTAATCGTTACGCGAAATCGTAACTATTCGCCAGTTTACCCCCCAAGTCAAGCGTGCCTAAAGAAGTTTCACTTCAAAAAACATTTTAACAGAGCCATATTAATTATATTTTTTTGGGCACACAATAAACATAAAGAAGAAGTACGGAGGACATAGGTACATCATGGTGGTACGAACGTATCGTACGTATTTACGACTTAACAAAGCAAGCACTTATTTTTAAGTTACCTATTATCTTTATAATTGAAATATAGGTACCTCAACAACAAAAGTTTTATTAGGTAAGATATGGTAGGTTATTGGGTTTGAGCTTTGAGTTGGTATATAGATATAGGTAGGTATTTGTTAAACGTCACCTTCGTAGCGAGCGTTGGATTCGATGTAGTTTACTGGGTGATTTGACGAATAGAGTTGACAATGTACAACGAATAGTGATGGCAATTTAGTGAAATAAATCAATGAGTGAAACGAAACGCATTCGTCTAATGTTGCAGTGAAGCGTTATCGAAAACGGACGGAAAAGGGACGGAATATGTAAAAGGACATCGATGGGACGCTTTGATGAGAAAAGGGACGAAAATCGTCCCTTTTGGGACGTTCTGGCATCACTGAATATAAACACAACAGAAAAGTCTGTCCGGAGAGCACAGTTAAGGTACTTACTTTTTTATAGATTCTCCCTTTTCAGGGAAGGCAAAGAGAACATGCCCATACAGCCGAGTCTTGAGTTTTTTTTACATTAGAATGTCGATGTGACTCATTGTATGCTTTCCAATTACAGAGCATAATGCGACTCAGTGCCGCACAATGCCCAATTATGCTGATGCTTAATTGGAACGCGAATTAGTTTTCAAATGCACCAGCAGAGTGCGCTCAGTTCAGTGTTGAAAAAAAAAGTCAATGTTTGTACCTTCATCCATACTTATATTTATTTTTTAACAGTTTGAATGAACTTTGATTATTTAAAAAAAACTATTTAATGACACGAAAGCTTTAATAATATTACTTACGATAACATATAAATAAAACATTTCGATCAATGCCAACTTAAAGAAAAAACACTTGTTAATTTTCTGTCTCTAAGTTGGTACCATTGCACGCATCACACGAAAGCATCACTTTTGAGAGTGCTCAATTGTGCGAAGCGTTGCTGTAGTTGGAACACTCAACGTTAAGCATTATGCCGCATAATGCGCAATAATGCTGTAATGGGAAAGCAACCATTATAATGTTACTTGCAGTGTTTGGCACGAAATGTATCGAGTTGGCTTTTCCGTTCCGATATGCTTCAGTGAGATACCTAGTCAACACTACAATAAAGTTCTCACGTCCACTTTACCGGAATAGTGTATATTTTAAAGATTCCACTAATGCTTCAGTTGCGCAGACGGTTGTAACACAAAATCATACCAATTTAATTTCACAATATCCACTATGAACGAATTTAAGAATAATTAAAATAAGACGCCAACCGCACTCGATGAAATCCCGCCAAAATCTCGCAGATTAGGGAATAATGGTGTCGATTCCGGCATGATTCTCTAAACCTAAAATTAAATTTGACAACAGTGTATCCTTGTCATTCTCTATACAGGATAAAAAAGGACAGACTGATGTTAAATTTAAGTTGATTACATCACTACTTTCGGCATCTGTTTATAATCCGTAAATTGATGACATGCCGACATTCGGCATTGCGCGACTCTACGTAATCAGTGGCAATTAAAATATTCCTTCTTATTGGTATCACCTACATTCTTATATCAATTTGTAGAGGAAAGAACAGGCTAGCTTTCTAGCCATTGATTAAGTCAACTGCCATATGAAATATTTATACTGTTGTCTGTGGAAGTTCGTCGCTCGCCGTTTTTTGTATGAAAAAAAATATGCCGTGTATTCAGACTATTTAAAGTGTTTTTCAGTGGTTTTTTTAAAAAAAAACACCATCTCTGGGCAAGTTAAATACATTAAGTTACTCTATTTTGATGTTTCGTTTGCGGGTTTACGTGTTTTTTTTTTATAATTTTTTTGTTACATCCCTCGTAAAAAAAAAAAACAATAAAAAAAAGGGTTTGTGTCTTATGTTTTCATGGTGATAATTTCGATAATAATAGGCTAGTTTACTCATGTCGAATTATATTAAATAAATGTTTATTTCTTAAAGTATTTAGTCTAAGGAACCTTAATATATCGATTTCGCTTCATAAAAGCAGAAGATTGCTGTAGAATTTTAATTTTAAAAAATATTTTTAGTCTATATTTTTTAAACACTAAAAACGCTGTTCGCCACATCCGCCATGATTTTGACGTCTCTAGTGGTAAACAACTAAATGTCATTCGCGTGTTACTGTAGGTGGATTCTTATGATTCTTTCGTCTGACTTTTATCTTAAAACACTTTTAACTTTAGGAAAGAAAAAAACATTGACAAAACTAATTATGGATGCCGGCTTTGTGAAACCAGAAAGCACAAATCTGCCAAGAATTGACGCATTGATGGTTGGTGAATTTGTTGCACTAAACCCCGATTTCTGCTCTGCGGAGCAGAGAAACGACAAGGCATCTATGTAAGTACAGTGCATTTAGTATTACAATGTAGTAATAAACATAAAACTGATACAACATATGAATAAATGTAATAAAGTTGCGTAGGTTAATTTCGTTCGGCACTTTAATCCACAACTTTCCTGGAGTCTTCAAGGATGTGTTTTTATATTCTCGTACAATACAGTAATGATAATTACTTTAGTTTTCGTGGTATTTATTAGAAATCATGTTTTTTTTTTTTATTATAAACTCAGTTAAAAGTAATTTTCTACGTGTTTACGAGTTTTTGTTTACCACAGTTCACGTCATAGCATAGATAATCTATAGACTAAAATGGCCGACAGCGTTTTTGTATGTCCATGAAAAGTCTATTTTAAAATTAAAGATTTGTAGCTTTCTAGGTTTAAAAAAAATACAATACATTTTTTTTCGGTCTAATAGAACATTTATTAACCATTTAAAACCTTTTTCCAAAAAGGGTCAACTAGCCTATTGTAATGTTTTAATTTATAATTATTGAATAAATTATTCATGATTAATATTTCGAATACAGAGAATCTCTTGAGTTAGTATTTTTGAAGAAATAAAAAAAAACAAAAGCCGCGCAGTGTAACGGTCGTTCTAAATTCAAATATTCGAACGAAATATTTTTTCATATTATTTTCTTATATGCGAACTAGTGATTAGTTTTTGTTTATTCTAAAGCAAATTGAATGTACATTTGGAAAAAGAAACTGTTTATCAAAATTGTAAATACTTTTCGTTTTATCGACATAAAACTGAGATGACTGCTTTGTAGGCGATTTTAAAATGCCTTGTTGTAAGTTCTTAAAACTATAAAAAAACAAAGTACTATTCATGCCACACTTGTTTCTAAAGTGATGTTTACAATCTTAGCTAACCGTAAACTCATAAATCATGGCACTCAGGCCGCCCGTCTGCGCTTATCGCCTACAGGCGAAACCCGACACCTTTTTTTGTAACGCGTCTTTGTTTACACAATTAGCACGTGGTTGTGAGAGCTATAGTGTAAAATTAAATTGTGGGAGTATGGCATTTTATGTTTTTATTTGGTAAGTTATAATAGAATGTGCAAATAACCAAAAAACCTGGACATGAAATTTTAAAATTTTAAAGATATACTCCATTTTACCCATCTGAACGCCTTTTTTTCATCTTTCCCGAGTTTACCGTAACGTAATTAAAATAGATTATAGATATGACGCATTGTGTAGACACAGTTTTATAGTAAATTTTATGAAGAATCCAAATATATATAGTTTGTGTGCGGTATTCTTACGAAATAAAAGAGAAATCGGCAAAACAATGCAATCGTTCCCACCCAGCGGGAATGTTGACAGATGACGTAATCAAATTGACGTAAAATGGCGCATGACAACCATCAACAGAGAGGTTATTTATGCCAGAATCGATACCAATGTCATTGGTAGTGCAGTGATCAGTGTTCGTCGTGCTAGCGTACATCACATCAAGTGCGTAAATAGTGCCTAATTGGTGCGATAATAAAAAAAAACTTCCTCTTTAGTTTAGGAAATAATAACTGTTTTCATGGTGTACGCTGGCGTGACAGTCGAGCTGGCGTACATAAGGCCATTCTAGAAAACGGCTTATTGTTATGTAACCAAATTTTCACAGAAAATAGTGCTCTAATAGTGCCCACACTAAGCAACATAATCGGGTTTTTTTTATTATTGCACTAATTAAGGATTATTAAATAGTAGCATAAGTAACAACCTCGAACTCGATGTGGTGTACGTTGGCATGACGAATACGTCGTGTCGCGTCGACGCCCTTCTCTCTCTCTCTCATTCTCTAACCCATAATAAATGTATGAAATCTATGCGTCACGTCACGACACGTAAATATATTTCTGGCTTAATGATAACAAAATACTACTCGGTTCCAGGTTGTATAGACTCAATATCCTTTGCTTTCCCTTAATAGGAAAATATTATACAAAAAAAAACCCCAATGCATTAATTTCTTACTAGACATGGGCGTTTTTGGTTTTGAACGCAAACGGATATTTATCAGATTTCAGATTTCAAAATCGATTTTAAAATCCGTTTTTAGATATCCGATTTCAGATGTGCCAAACTTAGCCAATTCACTAGTTTGTGTTATGATTTGGTTTTATTAGCTAACGACAATCACAAACAATTAATAATTGTAGGAAGCAAGAATACTCGTAGATTTTCGCTTAGGACTAGCAGAAAAGTTATGTTTACGGTTAAGAGTAAAACTTTTGCGGCGCATTTAAAAATCGACTTATATACAATGATTTCTTTTTACATATTTTTTTAGTATTTTTTTTTGTTTTTCTGTTTGTTTTTATTATTTTTCAAACCATTTACAAAATCAAACCTAATTACTTCAGGTTAGCGTCCAAAAATGTAAGTTGCTCGACTTTTGATGTTTTTAGACGACATATCTTTTCAGTGATAAATAATCCCGCCTCAGAGAAGAGCAATAGATTTCCGTAAACAGCAAATCGAAATCGGACTTCCGAGCACGAAATCTGACTTCCGAAAACGAAAGCACGAATTTCGAATCCGATTTACATTTGGATACTTATGGTATTAGATCGCTAGCGTTTTGGTTCGGTTAGATTTCTGAAATCGGATTTTCTTGTTGAGAAATCGTTCGGTATCGATTTGTGTTTGAAATCGGATTTTGGATTCGTTTTGATATATCGGACGCATGCCTATTTCTTACGTTTCGATTTGTGTAAATGTAAAGATAGTTTTGTATTATTTTATTTACGGTCTGAACATAAAAGTACGCAAAAATGAGCGAATTAGTTTGGGGAATCAAAAATGGGGACATAGATCAAGTAAAACAAATCATAGAACACAAGGTAAATGAATGTATTTCCTCCAAGCTTTAGCTTTTTGATTTGATTTCATGAAAATTATTTTAAGTGTTGGAGCTTAGCTATATTTTCCTTTTAATTCTTTGTTCGGTGCCATTTCGAAATTGCTGTTGTTTAATGACCGAGCTGATCAAATTACTCGATTTGTTAAATCTACCTATTGTTGTTTACAGCAAATTGATGTCAATGCCCTTATAGACGGTAGAGTTCCACTCCATTATGCTGCAGATTATGGTCAAACTGTAGTTTTAAACTATTTATTGGATAAAGGTGCAGATCCTAATGTAAGTTTTTATTTTTCTAATTATGATTATTTAATATACAGTTTATTAGGTATATATACCTTTATCTCAATCTTATTTTGCAGATGGTGGACAAGCATGGCATATCTGTACTTTTAGCTGCTATTTGGGAAGGACATACAGACTGTGTTAAGACACTATTAAAAAATGTAAGTTTATTAAATCCTATGTCCAATAATCTATTTATTGAGGCATGATCATTTGCAACTACAAAATATTTATAAAAACAATAATGAGCTTGTTTATTACCTACACTACACCTATGTATAACTGTAATATGCTCTTCACAGGGTGCCTCTAAGGATGGCAAAACACCTGATGGAACACCATATATCGAAGCTGCTGAGAAAGAAGAAATTAAAGAACTGCTCACATAGAGGACAAAATTATTATGAATTGGCAGTTTTATTGATTTATATATCTAAAAAAGCTAAGATAAAGTATTTGCTCTAGTATTTAAATTTAAAGTGATAACATTAGTCCATCATAAAATATTTTTACATGCATTTATTTACATTAAAATGAATTAGTTTTACGCTCAAAATAAAGTATTGGCAACTGTCCTTTTTTGTGATGCTAAATTAGTAGTTGCTTTGAAGGCCTATAATTAAAGACAAGTTAGTAAAATGGCTTATATTTAAAGTGTGGTTTTAGAAGGCCTTTAGTATAAATTAAGCGAATAAATTATTTTAAAGTTACTTTTAAGGTACAATTCCAAGATATTGTAAGAGGTAATTACTAATTTTCATTGCAGAAATAAAACTTAGTATGAAGTCAAGCTTATATTTTACTATTTAACAATGTACACAAAAATAACATGAAACTTAATATATATATATAGTATTGTATTACTATAACTTTGGCAAATAAATATTACTGATAACTCACCACTCATTGTTTTCATAATTAAAAACACTTTTAAATAGTTTTATCAATAGGGATGATGATGGGGTACAGTAAACGAAATTCTATTTAGTCCATCAGTTAGATGATCAAAAAATAATGGACACGTATTTTTTCTTTCGGCAATCAACCAAAAAATGACAAAGTTATAGCGCGTCAAAGTTTGGGAGTAGGGGCTCGTGACGTCACTTTTGAGTGAATTTTCCCTTATAAGTGTACTCAAACGTGACATCATGCGACTTTTCAAATCAATATATCTCTGCAATGTTTATATTATGTGAAAAAAAAAATACGTGTCCAATACTTTTTGATAATTTACCTGATAAACGAAGAAAAAAAAATTAGTCATCATCCCTATTATAGAGAAATATAGCCATAGCAAAATCTCAATGCTTGTAAACATTAAGTATTGTTATAATCAAAACAAGCTATAACTCACCATCACCTGTATATTTTTTATATTTACTATTTTTAGCTGGAGGGCAATAACAAGCTTGCTTTTGTGCATCCAGATAAGATTTACATCCCAATGTTAATGTTCCTGTAAAGAGTAATTTTGCTGCTCCTTTACAACCTGTGAAATACAAATATCTATTAAAATGGGTATTAATAGCATCTTTCACCAACTTTGAAATTTTTGTATTGGCTAGTCAGACTTTTTTTTTAAACTTGAACATATTTTCTTTGGCGTGTTTTCAGTACTATTACTATTACACTGCTGGTTTTTAGTTTAGTACTTTCAACTGCTTCTTATTTTGTAGAATTTGTAATCTCCATTACAGTACAATTTCAACCCTTAACATTTTCATGAAATATAGTTTTAAAAATATCTCTTTTACAAATGTATTACAGACTGATATATTTTAACAAAACATAATTATAAATTGATACTGGAGACAGGCAGTTCAAGAACAATCAGTGAGGAGACCTTCATGGAAGGTCTCTGGTCAGCTGTGGGTGTCATGTGGCTAAGATGAAATTGATTTTGTTACCTTTAACAAGTGTGTCACCAGCTACATTAAGTGACTTGTAAGATTCACAATAATTATAAAGGCACCTCTTAAATTCCAAATCACACACTTCTTTGCCACTATTACAAGTATCATAGCATATGTCATGTATATCACAGCATTTTGTCATTTGCTCAAGCGGCAAGTATTCTGAAGATATCTCAAAACCCAATGAGCCACAGCCATCTGATTTTGGAATATGATTTCGGTTACGTACAGGTTTTGTGCCTGGAAACAAAATAAATATAGCAAGTACAGTCAGAAAATAGTGCAGTTGATACTCTTACACAACAAATTGCATGCTTAATGGAATATAGAATAGTGCTTAAGTCAGGGCTGGGCAAATATTTCCCTTATTGTGCAAATATTTTCTATCAGAATCTGTAGTGGGCCACAATTTACTTGTCCATCCATAGTATTCTATATATATCAAAGAGCAACACAAACTATTTGCATTAATTTAAATGAAAGAATAATAAATTGTTAGAGCGTAACTTACTTTAAAATTTCACTTAAAGCATACAAAAAATTGTATGATACTATCCTATACCTAATTGTGAATCAACATTGACGTAAGCACTAGCAGGTTATTATTTTATTATTATTATAATGGGTCTTTTTATTAGAACGTACCCTCGGGGCAGGAAAATATACATTCCTCTTCAACTGCTGCATCAAATACCTCGTGTAATGATCGAAATTTTTCCGCTACTGTTACAATATTTCTTAGCATATCTCCAAAAACTGATTCTGCGGATAGTACTGCATCTTTCAAATTTCGTAACATTGTAGATCCTATACCAGTATATGCATAAGCAGCGAATGTTAGTATATAAATTAATATTTTTCTATAGGGGATTTCCATTTTCTCTATTCCACTTAATTACACAAGTAGAATTTGCTTGCCATTCTATTTTTATTAGCTGGTAGGCATACGAACCTACAGTACGTTCACAAAAATGCAATCTCTATTTCTATTTTCTGATGTGATCATTATACAACTACAACTACATTCACCAAAACATTGGTACGATAGTTGACATTTACATCTGAGTCATAGGGATATTCGATATACATCGATGCATCGAAAACATCGATGTTTGCAATGAAAAACATCGAATCGATCCGATGTTTTGAAAAGCTTTCAATGTACTAGATGCATCGATGTTTAAAAAACATCGAATTGGTAATACAGTTTGACCACGTAGTGATAATATCCTCTTTTTGGTTTCTCAGTAAAAAAAAACTTAAGTTTGACCACTAATATTTTACTTACTGTTATGAAAGCATTCTGAATTCTCTGATATGGCTCCGATGTTGGCAGCACTGCGCAAGAGTCAGAGCAGTGACAATAAAAAATAACTACGAGTTTCTATGTTTAAAAACATTTAATAACCTTTGGTTTTGTGAAACAAACTAAGATTGAAGTATATTTCTAAGATTCTATTGACAGACAACAATTTTTTTTTAAATTTAAGAAAAAGTACTCGATGTTTGAAATACATCGATGTTTTCATCCGATACATCGATTGACATCGATGTATAGTTGCGATGTATCGAATCAAAAAATACATCGATGTTTTTTCAGAGTGGACACCCCTACTGAGTCACAGATACACAATGACATTTGACATTTACATCTGAGTCACAGATACACAGTGTTACCAGAAAGCCATTTCGCCTTCCCCCCAAACTTACACGAAATCTCCCCAAAATACAGGTTTTTGAAGAAAAACCCCCCAACATGCAAAATATTTATTAAAACATATTATTTACTACATAGTATGTATTTTTGCCACAGCATCCATTATGTGATCAACATTGTGGCACGCGTCGTCTTTCTCACTCCTTTGTTAATATTCTTACATAACTTTGTTTTAACAATGCCAGTAATTTACCAAGGTACAAACAATTAAAAGGACAAATTACCATATTGCGAAATAAGCAAAGCAAAGATATATGATTCGATTTGCAGTTTAAGTTGCTGCTAACTACCTTTAATGACTGACTGACTTGCTTGAATTGACTGAGCGAGACGGGATGGGGGGAATCTCCCCAATCTAGCATCAGTGCAGTTACATGAATAAATTAAAAAAAAGATCTGACTTATACGGCATTTACACTACCCAAATTTAAGGGACCCTTACCCTAACTAAGGCTGGTGTAATAAGAGTTAGGGAGTAAGGGACTAGATCTGTAGCGATTGGCGCGACCCGATATTCCTTACGCCCTGACGATTGGGTAGTACAATAGCTGTTGAACGGGATTTACACTACCCAATTTTAAGGGCCCAATTTAAAGTCTGGGAGTGTCTACTAATTAAGTTGAGCAATTATTACACCGCGCCGATCGCCCTAGATCAAGTCCCTTACCCTCTAACTCACATTAAACTACCCTTAGTCAGGGTAAGTTAAGCTCAATATATATGGCGGACATTTTTTAGTCGAATTAGTTTATTGGCGATACAACTAATGGAGAGAATGAAGTGTTTCTTAATTTTATTTAAAATATATAATTTTGTGGCATAAAGAAATCAAAAGCTATTTAAGTGAGGCCCATATTTAAATAACCAGCAAATAATACTAATTGATCCTCAACAAAATAGAATTGGTAACCTAATCTAATCTTTAGTTTACCAATTATATTTATTTGTGTGAGATTTATTTTTTAATGATCATTTAAATGTTTCCCTTTAAATAAAGAGAAAATTGCCAAAGGATTTAGAGAAGTTCATAAATTTGATCAGAATTCCCGGATAGTCATTTGTCGGACCTATCAGAAAAAAATTAAACAAATCCGGTGTGCTTCTAGCGCGGCAAGACACGACACGGCACAACACGTTAATATGTTTCTAACTTAAAGCCGTTTCGGAGAGGTTCTATAAGCTGGAAATATATTCGCCTGTTGTGAGATATCGGTTTCATTCATTTCATCAACACATCGTGACAGATCTCTACACACTATTTTAATTCTCTCTGAAGCGTCATAACACCATAGACAAATATGGTTCCGGCTTAACAAACACTGATGTCGATTCTGGCATGAATCTCTTAACTTGAACTTTTTGACAATAATCTATACTAGTCATTCTATAAACAGAATAATAAGGAGAGACTGATGTTTAATTTAGTTCTTAGTTTAGAGACTCATGCCGGAATCGACACCATTGACACGGTGGGATAAACATTTTTATGATATATAGAAAGTCATTTCATTCGATGTTTTGATACGATTTTCTGGACATACGATTCAATCTGGCTAATAATAATAATTACATAACATAATCTTAACCTACTTATTGAATAAAAATACGATGGATGGCTCCCCATGAATCGATTTCCTAATAAATCAATTGAGACCGGGCATCCCTAACGTATTAATATCCGGTAGCCATCTTTAGAAAAAAATATACTCCTTTTCCGTTTTGTTGTCGTGAAAATGACGGGTTTTAGCAATAAGGTGAGAAAAATTACTGAGAATTTCCGATCTTTCGTTAAAGTTAGTGTGTTATTTATTTATTTTCGACGTGTGCTAAATCTACTACGCGTTACAAATATTAATATATTACTGAACATGAACATTTCTGTCATTGCAATACATTGTACACGTGCTTCAGTATCTTCAGCTTCATCAGTTGAAATGTAAATTATTTTAAATACGTGTTATTTGATTTCAGTATGTGCTATTAAATTACAGCTTGGTTTTAATTAACATGTAGGTAGTGTTTCGAAGTATCTTCTGAATCGTGACAAGACTGAATTTTTTAGGGTTATGCGGTGCTCTGTAAATTAAGGGCGGACGTGAATTTTTAACATGTTACCTACTTTTTCAGGCCATTGTAATTGATGGCCGTGGCCATTTACTCGGCCGGCTGGCCGCAGTTATCGCTAAAGTTTTGTTGGAAGGAAACAAAGTGATAGTTGTTCGTTGTGAACAGCTAAACATTTCTGGCAACTTCTTCAGGTAAGCTTTTATTTCATACCTACATCGTTTCCTGTTTTATTAGACTTAAACTGTACTAAAATAATTCATTTTAATCAGAATCAAATACAAAAATATCACAAACAGAGCAGACGTAACCCTAGCATAACAAAATCTATTGACCAGCCCCTCTAGCATGACCACCGAAAAGGGATAAGATAAAGCGATATATCGACATAACTGTCAGACTACTATGGAGTTTGACAGTAGTCTGACAGTTAATGTCGATATATCGCTTTAGCATATCCCGTTTTGGTGGTCATGCTAGAGGGGCTGTATGTGATTCTTTTCACCCCATTACTTGTTTCTATTACTGTCTAAACTTATTCTGTTGTGTTTTATTCACCCTGTGATTTCTATTCACACATTTTACGGTACCAATCATATTATTTTATTATTATTATTAAACTTACTTTTTGTTCAAGTTGTAACTGACTTTCTGCACCTTGCAGCCCGATTAGTCCCTGATCAACAGGGTAGGTTCCAATGACCACCTTTGCTGATTGGCTTGTATTGTTATAGGAACAAATTGAAGTTCATGTCATTCCTGCGAAAAAGGTGCAATGTCAATCCAGCCCGTGGTCCTTTCCACTTCAGAGCACCTTCTAAGATCTTGTGGAAGACTGTCAGAGGTAAATTAATTTAGTATCTCATATAATTTGTTTTATTTTTGACAATAAGATAATTTTTTTGTGTAACATTTTTTTGACTAATTACTGAAGCTATCAAGGAATATTAAATGTTTGTTCTCAATAGACTACAAAAACAAAAATCTATTTCTCTGTTCTTGATAATGTTGTACTGAATCTTTGTATTCAAATTCCATGAGTTAAAGTTAATATATTTATATTACTATTATATGATTTCGCACTGAAGTGAAATATAATTAAAAATAAAGTATAATATGAAGCCAGAGCCATGCTATGTATATAAAATTTGAATATTACATGTCTATTTCTAGTTCAAATTTTTTTTTGTGTTCCATTACTTATGATGAGGAAAAGTTTGTATGAAAGATGAGGACAAAATAGGCATTTTATTTTTGTACAGTACCCCAAGCACGAACTTTGTAAAACTGATATTTGTCTGGCCTACATCAAAGTTTCTTTACCATAGAATCTGACATGGGATTAGAAATTCTGTCTCACTTGTTCATACTTGGGGTTCTGAAATCTAAACATTTCTTATTAATTTCCCCATTCAAAACCAGGACAAGGTTCTAGTACATCATACTTATCCATTCTATTGCTGTATTTGAGATTTAAGTTGGCTGGTTCAATAACATCTAAAATATTAATTTTATCATAACATTTCTTCTAATGATTATCTATATTCAATACCTACATTATTTGATTTATTCATGATAAAACAACCTTCATGAAGACGTATTAGTACAAATTTTAGTCTCAACACTACAGAGCATGCATTTACACGTTTTTTTTTCTAACAGGTATGATCCCACACAAGACTGAGCGTGGGAAGGATGCACTAAGAAGGCTCCGTGCATATGATGGATGTCCACCACCGTATGACAACCGACGTCGCGTGGTTGTCCCAGCTGCTCTTCGTGTCTTCTGTCTAAAACCAGGTCGCAAGGTACTTACCAAAATGTTAAAGACAATTTACTAATTATTTAGAATATCCATATGTTAATAAAGGAAATGAGCAGGTGAACTTCACTTACATCCAACATCAACTAAGATAGTAGCATCCTTATAGTAAGGTGAACTGTTTCCACAACATGACACTGTGCCTATTTTATGCTACAACTAAGTTGTAGTAGTCCTCAACTAAGTTTTTTTAAACTGAAATCTATGTTTCTGTTAGTTTTTATAGTATCCTTGCACTTAATAAAACTGCTTATTATGAAATTCTCACATTTTTATAAATATTTTGCTAAGTTTGAGATGTATTTTGTTAATGAAATAATGTAAGGTTACCAAACCTATGTGCCTGCCGGCCTATGGTAGGGGTCTGTGATGTCTCGACTTACAGTTTTAAGACAGGAAGCATAAAGTTAATTCACTTGTCAATTCAGTAAAGGGTTTGCTTTTAAATTGTGTATAGTATAATTTTACTATGATGTTTCATTTTGGGTAATTTGCGACTGAAATTCCATGTTGCAAGCTATTAATATCTGAGTCTTGCCTTCTAGCAATTATTTTGTGCATGTGTTTTCTTGATGATACATCACTGTATCGTGATTTCAGTACTGCCATGTGGGTCGTCTGTCGCATGAAGTTGGCTGGAAGTACCGTGAAGTTGTTCGCAAGCTTGAAGACAAGAGAAAGATCAAGGCTGTTAAACGAGTGGCATATGAGAGGAAGCTTAAGGTAACATTTTTATTTTCTAAAAATTAAAACCACTTAGTTTACGACGTGTCAGGCAATAATAAATTTTCTTAAAACATTTTAAATGTTTCACTATATAGCATTTTTATCTTAATAATGAGAATTTCATGATGATTGATTATCTTACCTACATTATTTGAAATGGCATGAAAAAAGAAATTTACTGATCCTTATGTGCATTTCTTATTTATTGTGCAATGCCATGCTGTAAATTGTAATACTTGTGTTTTTATTTCAGAAAATCACCAAGACCGCTGGGGAAAAGGTGACAAAAACAACGGCGCCGTTCACAGCAGTCATCCAATCATATGGATACAACTAACTCTTAAGTGAATTTTACAAAAATAAACCTTTGGTTGCCCAGAACTTACTTTTATTGGAGTAGTTTTACTTTCACATTTACAATAATTTTCCTACTTACTATATAGTACAGTCATTTGGTGAGAAATATAGTGGTTACCTGGAAAGTTGTAAATATATCATATAGGTATTATAATTTATTATCTATATTTATTATATAGATTTTATACTATACGTTGTAATGCCGACTCACTATGGCCTAAATAAACTCACTATAAATAAGACAATAATTAATTTTCGACAATGCTGATTTAGGTTGCATGAATAATGAGTAATGACCAAAATGCGCGTTGGAGTACACTTTGCGGCGCTCGTACGCCAAAACTATTGACTTTATGAAAAAAATGTGGATACATAAAATGTAGACAACTGTCGTAGTTTCATTTTGTATACAACTGTTTTTATCGTAAAATGAGTCTGAACACTGGCATAACTCCTGTCAAAAAACTGCTTTTAGGCGCCATTTTTCCAATATAGCGGCGCGAGCGGCAAAACTACGAGGTGGCAAAGTCAAAATTCAGAAAGAGCACCTCAAAATGTATAAAATAACCAATTTTAAAAACTCCCGGAAAACTTTCCAAGTAAAATACCTCGGCTCACCGAGGAACCTCCAAGAGGCAATCACCAATGTGAAGGCCCTGGGGGTGTCCAATTGTACTCCAACGCGCGCTTTGGTCATTATTCATGCAACCTGTGGCATTTAATTTCAACTCATTATATTTGTGAGTTATAAAATTAATGTAAATCTAAACTATACTGACTATAGATATTATATATACCAGTATATATATATATAATATATAGAAATAGATTCTAATATAATATATAGATTTTATACTATACGTTGAAATACCGACTCACTATGGCCTGTCCTTCGCAGGTTTAGGTATGGGAATGCGTCCTCTTTGTGTCGAGCTTCCTTCTCTCTCGTCTACGAATAATGGCAGATTATGAGAGAAGGGGAGGTGGAACTCGAGAGAAATGTTTATCAGTATAATAATATGTCTATCGTTTCACATAGGTAGTCGTTTACATTTATACAGCTATGGCTTCTAATGCGGTAAACTGTTTTATTTTTGACGACCTCCGTGCCCGAGTGGTTTGTACGCCGGGTTTCATGGTGTCGCCAACTCGAGAGGTCCTGGGTTCGAATCCCGGTGGGGGCAGATGTCTGTGTGATGAATACGAGCATTTGTACTCCAGTCATGGATGTTTAATATGTATTTCTATATAAATATACTTATATATGTATCAGTATTGTATTCTATCCGTTACCTAGCATCCCATAACACAAGCCTTACATTGCTTACTTTGGGGCTAGGCTAATTGGTGTGAGTGTTGGAAATATTTATTTATGAATAGAATTAAAGTTTGTATTGTTTACCTTCTGTATTAGCCACAGTATTAGAAACTTTAAATACGTCGTGCTCAGCAGTTGAAATATGAATCTGGGCTTTATCATCAGTAAATGTTTGAAATATATTGTTTATTTGTATGTCTTCATAAACGCTCGTTTCACTTCTTATTTCTTGATTTATAAGCTGCGAAATTTCAGTTTCCTCGTTTAAGCTATGGCTTACCACATCTCCCTTTGCCACTATATCTTCTTCTGATTCGACGATTACTTCTGGAGCTTTCTCAGATATTATATTTTGTTCTAGATTAAGTTCTGCTGTAAGTATAAATTACTTTCGTTTCATCACTTTCTACCAAAAATTGCACGCGTTTACGTTGAAATACATTTTGCGAATGTAATACTTTTTCGTTGGTCTTGGTATGTAAAACTGAGATGAATTAAATTTCTTGCTCTCAAATGAATCATCTGATGTATCAATTCTTTTACTCACATCATGGGAGTCATAGTTTCTGGGCTTTTTTAGAATTGACTTTATAGTATCATTGTTTTGATTCTTATATTTAAGGTGTCGTGTTGAATCACTTCCAGATTTTCTAGAGGTATGTCTATCTGGAAAGCGCTGGTTGTCACTTTCACTGTCGTCATCAGTTTTGATATTTCTTATCCTACGTGGTGGGCGCTAATTGGTGTGAGTGATGGAAGTATTTATTATTATTATTTATTTATTTGTACACATCCATTGGAAGAAAGTAAAGTGATTGAAGTAAAGGAAAAAGTATTGGAGACTTTTCGTAAGTCAAGTATTAAAAGAATGGACAACAAGGATATACTTTTGGTTTGACTGAGTTCGATAGTGGTTCACGCTGCATGTCAAAAACGATATAATAATGAAAAGTTAATCGTGGCATCTTTGCGTAGAGGAAGCGATGTCAAAACTCCTCTATCACAACTGCGATCTACGCGCCCAACATTCTCATTGAGAAAGAATTTTTTTTTGCCAAAATGCGCCTTGGAGTGCACTTTGCGGCGCTTGTACGCCAAAACTATTGACTTTATGAAAAAAAGGTAGGTACATAAATTGTAGGCAATTGTCTCAAGTTTCATTTTGTATATAACTGTTTTATCGTAAATATACTAGGTATATTTCTAAATGACTGTACAATTTTTTTTTATATATATAGCGAGGTAGGCAAATGACTCTACCCCACCTGATGTTATGTGGTGATAAAGACTAAACGCGAAGATAGCTGGTATAAACTGCTACACGAACCATCCTCACCTTGCTGGCCTGCAAAAATGCTTCTTCACGCCTCTCTTAAAGGACCCCAGATTATAGGAAGGATCCCTCCTTCCCACACGTGCGCGGATAAAGAATTCCACTTACGAATAGTACGACAAAGAAATGAGTGACCAAATGTTTTTGTTCGTGTAGGAATAGTGGCCACAGTAAGTCGGTGGCAACGCACAGTGTTTTAAGAACCTCGATTTTGTGACATGCCCTTTTTATCCCAAATTTCTATAGATTAAGCTATTATAAGCACTGGAAATTTTCTACGATACGTAGTTTTCGAGAAAAAAAAATTCAAAGCCCAAAAATTTTAACCCTTTTTTCGATCCGGAATTTACAAAAAACCAATGTTACTCTTCTATTCAACATGTTTTTTTGTTTTGATTAAATGTATGTTATGTGGCTTTGTACAATAGATTTTCCCACAAAATTTGAGCCTTCTAAAGCAAATCATATAGACGATATGTTTTATTTTTCAAGTTTTCATTTATATTTTTTTCTTTCGTATAACGGCGAATTCGGATGAATTTTATTCACTAAAATATTGAGCTTTGTTGTCCCTATATACAGTATTTTTTTTTGCAACCGAATACCGCGTTATGTAGAAGTTATGAGCTAAAAACTTTTTTTCATGGTTTACAAAAAATTTATTCCGGCCATTTAATTATGAAATTTAAATATAAATTACTTCTCATAAATAAATATTTACGATAAATCATTTATTTCTGTATTTATAACGAAAGAATCGACGTAGTCTCCAAAATCAATATCCCTTACTGCGTCAATTGGATCTGTCACTTTTAATAAAGAAACTACTGCAGATGGTAGTGGTGTCAAGTTTGATTATTTTTTCTCTCTTGCATTCGAATGTTTGTTTTAACAGGGTCCGATGTTTACAGCGCTGTATTAAACAAATTCACGGCTCATTTTTTGGGTATGGTGCTCCCTATCGTTCCGCCAATATTTATTTCGAGTCTCGGCAGCCTGCTCCAAAAGTATAAAAATATCGGCACCATGAATTAAAACTTTGTGCAACGTTACGGTCATCGAACACCAATTATAGGTAGCGACATACTTATAAGCCAGATTTTTACAAAAATCCCTAAACCGGTCGGAATCAATTGCATGATTGCTAGACAAAACAATACATGATGTGTGGAGATCATCCAACAGCCATTGTTCGATCCCCAGGATTTGGCAAAATTTTTGGCGGAACTTGTCTGGCAAAGCCATTCGTGCTGTATTGCCATCATTTGTTGTACCCGAATTGGGGCGCACTACGTCGACCAGTAAACCCATCTGCTTTCATATCGAATACATATTTTGCGCTCTTCAACTTTGACATAATCTATAGAATTGTGTGGGATACGCCATTTTTTTACATCCATTTTATAGCCAAGTCGTAAGAGAAATTAGCACTCGTATCCAAAAATGAAGCGGACTTAAGCCGTTAATCAATAGCTCCCGATTTAATGGCTTAGAAAAAGCCATGTCCAAGTTATTGAAGGTGGTCTATGTTAAGCCACAATACGGGCAACGCATTTGGGATGACGCATTTAATAAAATGTTAAGGACTTTTCCGTCAATAGTTGCACAATATAGTTCACAACTTACGGGTATATTATGACCTTGTGAGTTTTTGCCTTGCAGTTGCAAATTAGATATATGATTTTCAATTAATTCTTTTTCTGCTAGAATTAATTCTTTGTTCTCCTTCCTATATTGAATATGAATAGGTCTGCAGTATCTATGTGATTGTGGAGCTGGATAAGCTGGATTAGACCAATGAATATCCCTTTCATTTAACACGAGCTGCAGTGGAACAAATGTAGTAGCAAAAAGATTATTTTCATCGTCACTCCACAATATTGTATAATTGTGCATGCAATATACAACAAAGCACACTGCCGATTTTGAGTCGGTAAATCCTTATAATATCTTATTAGTTATATACCTATAAGTAATATTTTTCAATAACAATAAATAGGTCATATAATATATATTAAAATAATGCTTATCACCATATATTATAGGAACTCATTTTATTTTTAAATACTCAGTTCCGGAAGTGACGACCCTAATACCGGAATTATGTTTAATTAATGTTTTTTTTTTATAACTCGTAGATAACAAGGTTTTCGGTTGCATTAAAAATACTCTACATAGGGACAACAAACTTCAATTTCTACCTGTCCAGCCGCTGTGTGTCCAAAGTATCTCGCATGCACTGTACTATCGTCTGCATAGCAATGAATATTCACAAGTGGAATCAAATCATTGATATGCAACAGAAAGAGTGTGGGGGATAGAACAGAGCCCTGAAGGACACCGCCATTCACGGACATGAACTGTGAACTACATCCGTCCGTAAGGACGCAAATTCTACGCACATGCACGAAGTCAGCTACCCAGACGCAGAGCTGAACAGGCAGACCGTATGCAGGAAGTTGGAGAGAAAGCGTTTGTGCCAGACCCTGTCAAAAGCCTTGGCGATGTCAAGGCTAATAGCCAGAGACTCTCCCCGCTTGCTTATATATCTTCACCCCAGAGGGTGTTACGTACGCTAGAAGGTCACTCGTCGATCGATTCGGTCTCAATCCATATTGACGATCGTGAATCAGAAAGTAATCTTCTAGGTAGCGGGTCAGATAGTTGTTAAGGACCCTTTCTAAGACTTCACAAAATACTGAGGTTACAGCTATCGGCCGATAGTTGGTCGGGTCTGAGCGGTCTCCTTTTTTGGGCACTGGTTGCACATTGGCATCTCTCCAAGCCTCCGGCACTCGCCCCAAAGAGTAAGAGAATTGGTACAGGCGCGTAAGCACGGGAGACAACTCTGCTGCACAATGTTTTAGAACAACTGCTGGGATACCATCGGGTCCACTAGCTTTCCGGATTGCAACGCCACACGAACATCGCGCTGCCTGATTTTAATGTCAGGCATTGTAGTGCCACAATGAGGTAGTGTAGGTGTCAGTGCATTGCAACCACTGATTCGGGAGCTAACTTGGCAAAGAGCTTTGCCAACAAATCGGCTTTCTCTTGCGTCCCATGAGCTAGTGACCCATCAGGACATCACACATCGCAGAGGTGGCAGCGAGCGCTGGCAAAAGTTGTGCTGCACGGTCTTAGCCAAACGCCAAAAACTACGGGAGTCCGTAGGGTGCGTCAACAATTCTACACGTTGGGCATCTGCTCTGATGTAAGCCTTCTTACAAGACTTGGAAGCATTATTATAGGCAGCTTTCAGTGAGTCAACCCCGGGATCAAGGGACAAGTGTGAGTCGAACTCTCACCGAAGGTTCCGAACTAATTTGTAGGTAAGTAGGCAACAAAAAAAGGCCGTATTTTTTGCGTTAGCTAACACTTGTTTTTTTTTCACAGCTTCAAGAGACCTTAGTATAAGTATGGTTTAAATTTCAGTTTGATACCTACACGCATCCCCGAAATAAAGGGTCTTGAAATCCTGACAGACACGCAGATATAAGGCTGTATATTTTTTTACGATAACTTAGAAGTTGGATTTTTCACAGCTTCGTAGGTAGAAGTTATATACTTTCACGCGGTCCTGAGATAAAGTGTCCTGACAGACAGATTGACAACAAAGTGAACCTATAAGGGTTCCGTTTGTTTCCCTTTTGTGGTAAGGAACCATAAAAATGAAAAAATACCTTTCAAAATCACACCATGAAATAAGTACCTACATTCTAAAAATAGAAAAGAGGTAATACTCGCCTAGTTATAAAGTGTATGACGTCATTGCGGGTTAAATTTATGGATTGCTATTTTCTACTTCAGAGGGTACCTAAGATTTAGATCATAATTATTTTATGCGCGGAAACGAACCATCCTCGCAGCAGCTGTGACCGGGCCGATAACGCAGTAGGTACAGCGACCGACTATAGTTGATATTTTGACTAAATACTACGTAACATTATAAAATACAGTTTGGCATCTATCAGGACCGGCTGGACTAAGACAGTAATTTAGACAAGATATCTGTGCAATTTTTTATGAATGTATTTAGTACTCTTGTATACTCATAATTTTTTTGGAGCTTTAATTAATTTTGTTTAAGTTATTATTAAACTCATGTCATACTACTCATTTTGTTTATTGTATAAAGAAAAAGATTATTATTTGTTAAATATTTTTTAACTATTATCTTAATTACTTAACAATTCATTACGAAGTGCTCAATTCGGTACAAAATATAATTTAAGAAATTGCGTTCTAATTCAAAAGGTGTACTTCAATATATACTGTTAAATTATATAAGTAGAATTATAACCATATGGTTGTTTCTACTTAACAATTCTTATGTCAACCGAATAAGTATCTGTTTCAACTCACCTAGCCCTTATTTCAACTTACCTTGGTATTGGTATGAAGGGTTATGAAACAAAGGATCTTGTGATGTTTAAATCGATTTTTTGCTACAGGATTTACACTAACACTAGTAAGGGTGTTAATTTCAAACGATTGACGTATATAACATCTTGTACGTTAATAAGTTTTCAACTTCCCAAATTAGGTACTTTTCACGGTTTTCTTTAAAAGGATCGACATTATTTGGTCGAAGTCTTTGTGAAATGTCCCCGCATTAGGGTTAGAAAATTAGGTGCACTCTAGCGCTTAATAGATTTTCAATCCAAAGCTTTCGCTTAAGTATAAAAGCGGGATCCGGCGATACAGTTGCCAGTACAGAAGCAACCTCCAACGGTACACTTCTAACTCTTATTGTAGTGCAAGAAGAAATTATCTAAACTACAGCTCACTGTTACTATGTATAACTGGCGTTTACTACTATTTGCGTTTTTCGCGGTATTCCAAACAATCGCTTCTTTCGAAGAACGCAATCTCGTTGATGGCAGACAGCAGTGCTGTGACCATCGTTTTTCGAGAGACACGGGAAGTCGCAATGAAAACAGTCCCTTCAAGCTATTAAGTAAAGATCGTACCTTAAAATTCCGTCAGAATCTTCAAGAAGTTCGACGTGATGACGTTCGCAATGAACAACGTACTCCTTTAAAACATTTCCCCACAGATCAATTTCGCAATGCTCAAGAACAAAATTTAATTCGTGGAAATCCAGACATTCGAATTCATAGTTCACGAGCCACATTTCGGGGCGAAATAAGGGCGACCCGTATTCGGGATATTAAACCAGATTCTGAAAGAAACTTTGCTCGTGAAAACTTATCTCGAAGCTCAAGAGGTCGAACATCAGGTAATGATATCAGACCTTCTGAAAATTTATTAAAATACAGAGAACGTCAGAATAACCAACGAGAGACTCGTCGTCGTATGATAAACGATGTCTCTGAAAACCGCAGGATTTTTACAGAAGTACGTCAGAGAGATTTTAGAGGCACAAATGAACACTACATTGAAAGATCTTATTCGCCCTCCCAAAACGTTCGACGTAGCCTTCTTGAAAGGGGAAGCGAAAGGAACGCCATAAGAGAAGTTTCTGTAACACGAGACAATTCGAGAAAACAGCATCTGCAAAGATCTGCTCGTTCTCTCGATAGATTTACTAAAAATATTGAGGAACAAATGCGAATTTCCTCGGAAAGCTTTAGAGTAGCAGATGATGGACGTCAAATTCGATCACGATATCGAGAAGTTAGAAACGAACGGGAACGTACCGAAGTCAGACTTACCTCTCCATTCCATGATAGGGAACACCTTTACAGAAAATCTATTGTATTGCGTGATATTAGAGTAACAAATGAAGTACGAAATAATGATAGTGACGAGCGTCGCATTGTTAGGGATAATGTTGAACGTATTTCACCTCGGGTTATAGTCGAATTTAGACGCTTTGATGTAAACGTGAGTCCGATTCGGAACTCAAGGGAGCGAACTGAAAATCGTGAAACTACCAAGGTCGTCTCCAGACTTATTGAAGATCGCCGAGAAAGAGTAAATACCGCTAGAAGAATCTTGAATATTCGACGTGATAATCGTCTTAATGAAATCAAACGAGAGAGAACAGTCAATAACCGCGACATAAATAGGCGGGAATCGAGGAACGAACGATCATCAGCAACTTTGCGTTCCGTCAGAATTCCATCACGACATTTTGAGTATGAGAGACGTACAGTGGCGCCCAAAAGAGAAAATACCCGAACTTTCGAAGGAATCAAACAACAAGAACGTAGAGATGTAAATGAAAGAGTTCGGTCATCCGAACAAGAACATTTCACCCATGCAGCTCACAGCAGAATTATATCAATGTGGGCTAATCGTAAGCAAGAAGCAGAAAGGAAAGTTGACATTGAGAAGAGGGTCAGACAACGCGGAACTTCACAGTTGAATCAGATTTCCTCCCAAAAAACTGATGCAAGGGATGCTACTTATTCTAAAGGAAGCAGAGATGATTACAGAGCATCTGACTCACGCCGCTCGGTTGAATATCGTTTGAAATCTGCCAGTGAGAGGATGACACACGAAATGAAAGAGGGAGAGATTCAAATCATTGGCCTCAACTGGCAATACCTGCTGTATACTGTGCAAGCTATCTACTTATGTTCTGTTTTACTACCTATGTTGATGAACAAAGCTGGCACTAAAAAGAAGACATTGTAAGTAAAACTAATATCTTTATCCTTCAAAATGTGATTAAATTTCATGTAAAATTAAATTGCATACTTTTAAAGATGGTAGGACATAGCAGATTTTCTGCTCACCTGGTAAACTTGATGAAGTCTACAACTATACATGACTATTCTGTAGTGCTGTTCTCCTCCTGCACTGAATTAATATTCCCACTTTTCTAACACCTTACTGGAGCTGGAAGGGAGAGGGAGCTGGTGGGACAAATGTCTTTGTCTATTTTTGTAACTGAACTTTCACTTGCATTATAATAGCTGGTTTTCTGTTTGTTACAATATTTGAATGTTTTTCCTCAGGACCTTTGACTGGGGAACTCCTTTGCAGAAACTCATCAAGGTGGATTGAATGCAACGGTAATTTGCAGTAAACATTTATCAGTATTAACTTTTAAGCTATATAACTTATAAATGATTATAACTAGATTTATAATGTTGTATTAGTAGTAAAAATTATAGACATTATTGTGTGTTAAAAATTGTTTCATTTCTTACCCTACATATTGAATTCAGCCCAATATCTACTTAGGAAAGAATATTAATAATAACTACCTTTTTATATGAATGCATCACATTTTATTACCCTTACAACTATGATTGTACTTAAATATTAAATTTTAAAGATCCACAACATCAGTTTTCTTCTTATGCTGTGATTCATACATAGCCTTTGATATCATGCGTTTCATTTCATCATCACCAGTTTCATACCTGTGTGTTAAAGGAAACCTTTTAGCATCAATATTATTTGTAATGTATTTTGGGAAGAAATATAACAATGCCTTTTTTATTTAAAACATTATAATTTAATATCTTGACATTACAAAATTTTTAAATAATTAGATTATTTTAATCATTGCCACTTTGATACAAATATCTAATGAATGTTAAATGAGAGAAAAAACTAATGAAGGAGTATTAAACTTCTTAAATTACAACTTACATTTTCCTCATCATGTCCATGATGGAATCCTGGGGGTCTTTTTTATCTGATTCATCAGGTTTGAAACGGTTGTTACGTTGGTCTTCAAACTTCTTCTCAATGGCAATCATATGTGACCATGATACATTTGGACGTGCTTTTGCCAGAAAGATAACAACCATGTCTAAAAATAAAATGTTTTTTTTAACAAGTACTAAATTGTAAATATTAATTTTATAAAGGAGCTTTATGATTTCATATAAATTTTGACATATCAGTTATAAAAATCAAGTTGAAAAAATATTTTTTGTTTTTCCATGTGTCCTTTATGAGCTTTAAATATTTTTTTCCTAAACTTGTTAAGTTATCACATAATTAATTCATCTCATATGTTTCAATACATAAAAATACAAAGGAATGCCTCTCATACTGCTATAGGATGATGTGAGTGATATGTTGAGTGAGTATTGTATTGAGAGATTATATGAGTGATATGCTGACAAAGTGCTAAAATTATATGACGTTTCATTTAAAAATTACCGAAATCGTCTTCTTTCATCAATTATAATGTAATCTACCTCTAAGTCTTTTGCTAAAGAAATAAGGATTGTGATTTTACATAGAAGGGCACCCCTTTCCATCTGCTTCTGGTAATTAGCCACTTTAATTGTTTATAGTAACTACATAACTTCATTTATGATGATGATGACAAATATTAATACCAACAGCATATCATATAATATTAAACACCATGGGCTAATATCCTACTGTTTAAGTCATTTAACAAAAACCAAACTGAATTAATTATATATGATATCTAACCTGTTTTTTGTTTCCAGTGGCTGTCTTCAATATTAATAGGCTCAAGAAGGTTGTTAATAACCAACAAATAGTCTTTGTTCTCCAGGTTGTCTACATGTAGTTCCATGGAGCGCTCAGTGAGTTTACAAAAGACCTGGGCTTTTGGTATGTTGTGGACATTCTTCAAAGTAACAAACACTTTGATATATTTTTCAGATTGATCCCAACCTGAAAATTAATTCATTAGTACAAAAAATCCCTAATTAATAATTTATATCATATTAGTTTCACATTTAACGATAAGAATAAAATTCGGTCCGAATTTCTACACAAAAATATAAGGCTTTTGTCTGACTTTAAAATAATAATTATTCAAATAAAATTTCTCAATACTTAAACGATGATAACACTTACCATATCCATTAATTTTAATTTGGTATCTCTTGTTTTGAACTGGGGCTGAGGCGGAGGTAGTTGGCACGGGGCCGACGTCCATAGGCGTGACTGAAGAGGTTTCATTTTCTTTTAGATTTATCCACTCAGTTTCCAGCTTACGAATTTCTAAGGACAGAATATCCTGAACCTTTTTACGCTTTGCCAAGTTCAATAATTCATTAAGCTCATTGATATCACTTCGTAACTAAAAGAATAATTGAAAAATAAGGTTATCGTATCGGTAGGTACGTATATTTGGTATATTACAATAACTACAAACCTCCTTTAATTTAGACTCCGACATATTTTTTTAATTACGTGCTTGTACGCAATTAGTAATTAAATCAAGTTTTGTGTTTAAGTAAATAAATTAAAAGCAGGACTTTTTTATTGCTTGTGCTGATGCTCAGCTTTTTTAATTTTCTGTCTGTCACTGTCACCTCACAGCATTGTTGCCAAGGTTTAAATATGTGTTTCCGTAATTTTCATTGCCAAATAGGGAAGATGCATATATAATATTTATGAAAATTTTATGATTAAAATGTTAAAAAAATATAAAAGAAATGCCACTGCAACGTTTTTATTTTACATAATGGTGTTTTTGAACAATTATTACGAATTAAAAATACTTGAAACGGAACGTATATTAAAACACCAATCAGCGTTTAGTGACGTCACTCCTGTCATGACAACTTCTTTAAGGTTATGGTTGTTAAAGTTAATATTATTTTATGGGAATATTTATTGCGTTTTTTTACATTTAATAAAAATGGTAGTTGCGTTTATCAAAGCAGACTCCAGGAATTTACCAAGAGTTAGCGTTGACATGGTTATAACTTTTTTTGTCCAAAGTGCAGAGTTTTTAAGTGTAGAAATGAAAGGGACTAAATTACTACGGTATGTAAAAATCGTAGTTGTTAAACTTCGTATTTTATTCAGCGGCTTCTACAAATCTTACGGCGATAATGCAATCGGCTATGTCCAAATTAAAAGAGATGGAAAATTATGTACAGTAAAAGGTCGAGTTCTCCGGAGCATAAAGTACGTAAAGAAGGTTATCGTTTTACAGTTATTTTAAATGAAACGCAAAGCTTGGTTCAGTCCTGCCAATGTGAAGATTGTGCCACACATTTTAAACTTTATCTAATTTTCGACGTCATTCTCCAACTGTAAAATTAAAAATATGTTATAGACAGGTTTTGTAAGTATTAGGTAGGTTACTAATGCGTTTTTACGTACAAGCAGAATAATTAAGCATATAACAAGTATATTCGCCGACATACGTCAAAGTGATCTTCTCAGCATCGAATAATGGTCTTTGGAGAATAATTGTCATGTCTCTTCGCAGCTTGAAACCACTTTTTTTTCAGTTTTGGGTCAGAAGTTCCAGTCAAAAACAATTTATTTGGGAACTTTGTTGAAGTAGATTGGCACAAAACATGAGTCAACACGGCTTTTTTTCGGAATATTAGTGGTATTGTTATGATCACATGATGTTGATGGATAGTAGATTTTAAATTTTCCAAAAAAATATTTCGAAAGTCGAAAAAATATGCAAAAGTATAAAATTTTAAAGCCAGCAACGAACAATTACGACCAGTGACTGACAGGAGTGACGTCATCGCAACCATAGGTTCGTTTTCGCGCGAAAATTAAAATTGTCAATTTAAAACCGCATTTTTTCCGATAAATCACAATGTTTTAATTTTTTAATATATTTGTGGTTTATTCTACATGGAATTCTTTAAAATGAAAACAAAAATAAAAATATTGCATCTTCCTTATTCCGATATCGGGACTTTGCTTGACAAGAGCACTCTGTCTCTGGCAATATCGCTTCGACATAGTGTAAAGACGAATCATCCCCATCGCAGTCGTTGCGGTACTCGCGTCGGTGAGTTGGGTCACCATGGTGTCTCATTCATCAAACAGGCATAGGCTTGTTTTAATCTTATTTTTTCTTTCATTGTCACGAGGAACAAAAATATTTCGGACTCCCTAGAGCTATATTCTGTATTTTAACAGTATTTCCGCCTGATTTTTACTAAATTCGCTGAACATATATCACTGATATGAAAGCAGGATCAAATAATGTTTATGTTACCTTTCATTAAAATCATTTAATTAGGATTAGAAATATTATAACACTAGTATTTGCATTTTCCTGACAATTCCGTATAAAAATCCGTAAGCTCTTATTATCCGGTTTAAGTGTAAATTCCGTATTGACACTGACAAAACCGCATATATGGCAATACTGTCAAACGAATTTAGACTAAAATTAAAAAAAAAAATTAGACCAAAAGTAAACAAACACATAACCTCCTAATTCCAACGCAATGACGCACTAAATTGATTTCTCAACACATTCATTTGCAATTCTAGGCGTTTGACCTATTAATTGACTATCTTTTATAGCACTAATTTCTTTATAAATATACGAAAAATTGAAAATAAAAACCTGTCGAAAAGTAAGGTTATTTTGAAATTTTCATTTTTTTTAGTTCCGTTATTCCCTATTGGGAAAGGCAAAGGCAAAGCCACGCAGCCATCGTCTTATTTTTGTATTAACATGAGAATGTGGATGTAACGCATTCTAATGTTTCTTGGAGTGTTTGGCACGAAATGTATTGAGTCAGCTTTCTCGATAAGCTTCTATAAGATAGTCAACACTACAATAAAGATCTCACATCCACTTGACCGATATAGCGAATATTTTAAAGATTCCGTTAATTCTTCAGTTGCGCAGACGATTGTAACACAAAATCACACAATATCCACTATGAACGAATTTTAAGAATATTTAAAATATGACGCCAATCGCACTCTATGAAATCCCGTCAAAAAAACTCGTTATTTTGAAAGATGGGAAGTTTTTTTTTTAATTTATTGGCAATGAATTTGTTCGTTGTCCAGTGCTTGCAGATTAAAAATCCGATTGAGCACTAAAACGATAAAAAAAGGAGTTAGATTTAAAGAAAATTGCGCGAGGTCATACACTAACTTAATTTTAATTTAATAAAACACATAGACTTAAATAAACCATAACGTCAAAATAAATATATTTAATAGAAATTAAAAAAAACCTTCCATAGTATATATGTATAGCGCCAGCTTTCTGGGCATTCAATTATTTTACAATATTTTTCATATGTTCCTATACCAATCTGTCGCAGGTCGCAGCACGTTTAACTACATAATTTCTTTTTAACTTCCAGCTGTGTTCTAAAAAAAAACGGGTGCGTGTACTTATGTAGGCGCGTGAGAAGTTATCCTTCTTTGGCATCGTTTAAAATTAGTTTTTAATTGCATGCAAATAATTAATTACAATAAATTAATTTATTATTAATTAAGTCTGGAAAAGGACACAGTCAATAAAGTTCAGTTTTAATTTGAAAAAATAAATAAATAATCAAAATATTCAATTAAAATCGCTACTGAATATAATTTATTAGAACATATGTGATTTGCACTTGTATGAAACTCAAACACGTATTCCGAATATACAAACTAGAAACATGTGGATAAATATTATAAATATGAATACCTATAACTGTTACTTTATTACAAAAAATAAAGATGTGGTTTTTGGTTCTACTACACCAATGGTCAAGAGATGGCGCTGTAGTCTCCTGAATCGCGCTTTGGTTCCGTTGTTCCAGATTAATAAATACTTTTGATAGGCCTTCACAATGCAGTCGTTAGCACCCACTAAATAGAGATTCTATTTTGTTGGTAGATTTTATTAATGTGCGGTAAACCAAAAAGTAAACACACACAAGTCGCTATTGCGACCAACTTCATGCTGTTAATTTTTTGTGTTACAGTGATGCGCGCGCATCTTAAAATTTCAGTCTCATCATTTTTTCATAACGCTCCTAAAGAAGTATAACTATAAAGTAAATTTAAACAATAATGAATGAAAACAAAACAATTGACTCATAGCAAAAATATATTTAAACGTATCTATCGTGTTGTGTTGTAACACATCAGAAATAAATCGATTTTATACATTTAGTACCGTTAGAGTGAGAACGGTGTCGACACATCGCGACACACAAGTATAGTTTTAACCGTAGGGAGGTATCAGTTCCATATATTTAAATGAAACCATGTATGAAACCTATACCTCTCTTACGCGTCACAACACAACACGACAGATAAGTGTAGTTCTGACAGAAAATAATAATAGAGGGGCTTCCCATGGCCATAAAGATTCGATGATGGGGCGTTACAAGCTACAAGCCAGCGAGTTCGCTAGCAACTTGTAACTCGCCCCGTGTCATTGGCTTTTTTACCATTTGCTACTCGATGATACGGGGCGAGTTTACAAGGTATTTGCAAATACGCTGGCTTTTCTCGCTCGCTCGATTGAATGTTATTTACAGACGTGCGTACTACGTGTGTCAGAGTTGTTTATGTAGTTGAGTCGGATCATATTTTATTTGATGCTAGTATGAGCGTACCGTATCTTACCTTTTTGTTTTATTCTAAGATTGAAAATAACAAAAAAATGCGACTGTTTGCAGTGTAGGCACAAATTATCCTTCTAATATTATAAATGTAAAGTTTGCATGTTTGCTACTCAATCACGCAAAAACCACTGAACGGATATGGATAAAGTTTGGTGATGATCATGTTAGGTAAGGTCAAGGTAGGTAAGGTAGAAATAGGATCAGATTACTGTAATCTGAGGGAATAGGTATAAAATATACAGAACTATCAATAAAACCAAATATATTTTATTTTGCATTGAGTATAAGTATCTACCTAATTAGTTTAACAATCAATTTTGGTTTACTAATCATTCAAACCAATAGACCGAGGACTCGATTCTGTCTGTAATTAAAAATATGAAAGCTCCACTTATAATAATGATGATATAGTCGCTTATACATATCATTTCGTCTAACTAACGGTTGCCAAGAATGGTTTGAGCATTATTATTACTAAACATTTTAATTAGGCGAACATAAACGAACCCTATCAATACTAATGCAAACAACTGACTTGATTTTTATGTTTTGCTGAACTGACAAAGACAAAGAACTTGTATCCATTAGTAAATCTACGGGCAGTTCTCACTTTGGTTACTATACTTCTTAAAACATACCCTACCTTATCTCAAAAAAATGGGAGATAAATAAATTTTAGACAACTGATGCAATACAGAATTGAGCCCAATACAATTTAGTTTTTGCGATGCGCGCGATTGCGACGACTGCTTTGGCACTGAGGGCAGTACCATTTTCCTTTCGGTGGGGCGGTTATACCCACGCACGGGTAGTGGAACCATTCGTATGGACACTGTAAATAAAGCAAAACATTTTTATTTTTAAAGCACTTAACTGATATATGTTTAAATCTAAAGAAAATTTTACATAAACAAATTCTATGCCGCCAGGCAGCAGACGGGACTTGAACCCGCATACTCAGCTTTGCGGGCGGATGCACTTCCAATTATGCTGCCTAACCGCGTCGATTTCTTTCTAATAAGAATTGCTTTAAAGAAAAACATTGTCAATACATTTGCAGGTGTCAAATTTAACTTAAACATATTAGAAATGTTTAAGTCCAACAACTTGAACACAATATTCTCATACTTTTTATATATTCTTATGAATGCAGTGAACAGTTTTGGAGATATAGCATCACCTTGCAGCACTCCCCAATGCAATTGATTAATATGTTCGGTTTGGTAATTTCGTATTCGATTACGCATCGTTGCAGCTTCATAAATACTCTCTAACACCTCGATATAAAGCAGTCGATTTGGCATTGTTGCAAGGAGTTCAGAACAGACTAAATCTCGATGCAGTCAAAGGCTTTCTCTCATATTCAGGCAATCGAACTTTTCTGACTTTTGCCCTATCTGCTGCACTGTGTGTATATAGTCAATGGTACCATAACAACGAATTAGAAGATATAAAATACGAACTGCGCTAAAAAGTGGCGATCAAGTGGGTCGTTCGAAAAATCTGCCATCAACACGCCGATCAAAGGATTGGTTGAGATTTCCGTTTAATACTATCTTAACCAATGAATTGATAGCCGAATTCATTTACTGATATTTGATTTGTTAAGGTATTCGTTTAGTATTGAACTTTAGCTGTATGAGTTTGTAACCATCTTTTAGCAGCCTTTGTTAGAGAGTAATACTTCCATATCATTTCCAATTCATTGTACCATAACCGCCTCAAAACCAGGCCTGTTCCGGAGGTTGGAACTGATTAAGCCATCGCGCAAGGCGGTTTGTTAAGACCCTTAAAAACAGTTTGTAAGCGTGAGTCAGGAGTGTAGTATTGCTAGATAGTTCTTTATAAAGTTTTTGTGACCCTTCTTGAAAATACAAAATGACCATGTGCATAAAATGCCACTTCTGCGGAATCCTCCTAGTAAAAAGTATGATAGAATCCTAATGTATCATAAACAAATATAAATAAAACTTTTTAAATAAAGATTGTCAAATTAATTAGTTCTGTTAAAACTGCGAGCATTATAACTAGGGGCCTACCGCCTGAGGGGAGAGGGACGGGGAGAACTACGCTCCTCCTCCCGCTCCCCCGGGAGCCAGTGGCTAGGCGTGGGGGGCGTCGAGATACATTGCACGGTTCCTGAGACGTGTGGTGCCCCTGATACTCCGGGGAACCGCACGCCGGGGGGGGGGGGGGGGGGGGGTCCGGCAACGGATAATCACTGGCGGGGCCGCGGTGCGTTGCGAATCTCGTAGCTAACCCGCACTCTTGGCACGCAATGGGGGGACCCAGGTCCCCGGATTGCATGTCAGGTGACCAGTGCAGGAGTATTGCCTGGTTTTTAGTGGCCCTGTAAGGGTGTAGGTAGGGCCTTGTTCACTTCGGCGAGTCCTAGAGCTGGTTGAAGTGGACGGGGAGGAGTCCCACATACCTTCTTCTCGCTCCCCAGTGGTTGAAGGATGCTTAAAGCATTTTCCAGACACAAATAAAAAAAAAGGGGCCTACCGCCTATCGGTTAGCTTGCTAGCTAGCTAGATAGCTTGATTTTATTTAATTATTTCTGACCGCCGCAGGTTTCAAATAAGTCGCGATTTTTTGTCTTTTGAATTGATAATAACTAAATTAAAATGAATGAGCGTATAAATGTGTACAAAAAGTTTTCTCGTAAATTGATTTTGTTCACTTATTTATATTAATATACATTTTTTGGATATACTCACGTCTTGATTATCACAAGCAACCATATCTCCGTAGGAAACCTGGTTGCAAATACAATATCGAGGCTCGTTAGGGTCGTAAGTCCATTCCTCTTCCATTGGTTCTTCGATTGCAACATTGCTCACCATATTGCCACTACAAAAAAAAACACAAACATTATACATTCCCGATTCCTTAAGTAGTTCTAAAAAAGCTGTTATTTTTAAAGAAGGCCTAAAAGTTAATACAGGTCTTATGATAAGTACGAGTGGAGTCCAGAGGTTTATTAAATTGTTATTTGAAGGTTTAAATTGCTTCATTCATAAATTTAAAGGAATTTAAACTTGATATAAATCCACATGGTTGTGATAACTGAACAGATTGGATTTTTTTCTTGTAAAATTTTATTTCTGCACAAGAGGTAAAATAGCGATATTGCACGTCCCTTTGCCTCAATTTTAGCAAACAGTTTGTCAAAGGACATTGTAGTAGATGGTTGTGCTTCTGTACTGCAAAGCTCGTTAACAGCTAGCTAATTGACAGCTAGCTTGTCTCAGCTTTCGTCGCTTATAATAAGTATATTTTTGATAGAAGATGGTAGTTTATCGAGCCATAACGTTCTTAAAATTTTATTGGATATATCAGAGCTACCCAAGCGTTGCATTCGGCGTAGTAACTGACTTGGTTTGTAAAATATTTACAACTGAAAAATGAAAATAAATAATTGTAGTTGAAAAGATCGTTTATTTATAAGCCAAAGACAATGATATCTAATATCATAACAAAAAGACGCATAACATCACGCAAGAGATTAGTAGGACAAATGAGATTATAACAGTTTGGAATCTCCAATTTCCACGAAGATATTGATCAAAATTTTCAATTCCGAAAAGAATGTCTAGAGCTTCCCCGGTCAATGACCTGGTTTCCGCGGGACGTAATTTCCTTGACGCAAATTCTATTGGTTCTTCGTGGTCATTCTTTTTCTGTGGAATATTACTGCTCCTTCCCCCTTTCTCTGAAGCATCGCATGCTAAGTAAATAGATCTGTTTTCATCGTAAGCTACCAAAGGCTTAGACGCAGCTATGCATGATTTGGCGGATTCAAAGATATTCCTTTCGTAAGACGCTCAACGCCACCTTTTTTGCCACTCGTTCAGTCATGTAAATCCGCACACAGGCCGTGAAAATGAGGTATAAATCGTTCGTAAAAAAATTTAAGACCAATAAATGATCTTAATTCTTTGGCATTTTGTGGGTCCGAAGCCTATGATATAGCATTGAGTTTGCTCTCCATAGGACGTATGCCATACTGATAAATTTTATGACACAGGTAGTCTATTTCGTTTTGAAGGAAAGAAAGTTGTCTTTTAGACCTGCTTTTTTCCACGCGTTCGAAAACCAGGGATAGTGTACGTAAATGGCTTTCCTTGTCTATTCCCGCTACTGCAATGTCATCAAAATGGACAGCCACGTTTGGGATATCACCCAGTAGTTTATCAAGATAATGTTAAAATATCGAAGGTTCAGTTGCAATATCAAATGGCATTCTGTTATACTGAAAATAGCCTTTGTGTGTAGAAAGCGTCAGATATTTTTTCCTAAGATTCTGGTCCTTAAGATCAATCTTTGAAAATACTTTGTTTTAATTTTTGTTGTAGATAATCAAAAGTGGTACTGGGTGTAATGTTTTACCAGAACTGGGTTTAGGTTACTGCAATAGTCTCCACAAATCCGAATGCTTCCATTTGGCTTCACGACGTTACCGGTTGGTGTGGCCCACTCGATTGTTGTTAGGTTTGGATCTATTTCTTCAATAATGGCTTCAAATACAAGTCGATCTCGTTCCATCTCAATATTCTTCTTGATTACCGTTTTGATGGGGCGTGGTGGTAGATGTACAGGTATTGCTCCTGGTTTGACGTGAATGTTGACTTGGTATTCTTTAACTTTACCTAATTTGCTGATTGATTGATACTGATGCCAAAAATGCAATCAGTAAAATTTTTGTCTGAATGTATGTTCCTTATAGAAACAAAAACTACTCGACGGATTTTAACGAAACTTGGTACAATTATTCTTCATACTCCTGGGCAGGTTATAGTATACTTTTCATCACGCTACAATCAATAAGAGCAGAGTAGTGAAGGGAAATGTTGGGAAAACAGGAGAAGTTACTCCATTTTTTAAGCTTCCGTCGCGTGTGCAACCGTAATGGTTAATGTTACATAGAAATCATGTATGACGGAAATATTCTATACAAAATTGTCTAAAAATATCCCGCAACAGCATATGTCTATCTTTTATGGTTGACTCACAATAACACGTGTAATTCCTGATAGCTTAGCAGTTCGGAGCATTCTGATTATATTTGTTTACTATTACGTTTATAATACTCTCACTCATCCTTAATTTAAAAAAGTTAACATCATTATTATTAAATATATTCAATAAAAAAAGAATCATAGAAATCGGTATAGAAACACCAAACTTATACATGAAATAAGCCATCGCGCCGTGTCGCACGTGAATACTGAATCATGCTATAAGGATTTATTTTTGTGTAACGGTTGCCGCGCTCGACACACCTGAGAACAATAACTATAGTCTACACTTCAGCTCTACACCGAAGAGAAACGAGGGCGGGCCAAAATTGGTGTTTTCCTTTGGAAATTTTATATATTTTTTTAAACTTTTATTATTATTTTCTCAAGACCTCTTTTATACAAACAAGGTCAATGGAATAGAAAAAGGAAAAGAAAAGTTTTTAATAAAATTGTGTGTGCGGCCAAGAAGGCGGCTACACTTTAAAAGATTGAGTGAGAAACCATTGCTTAAACTTACTCTTTTTAGTATTGGAAGAAATGCCTTTATATACTCTTGTACGTAGTATTAGAATAAATGTGATAAATAAATTAATAAACATACACAACAGTAGGTGAAGATGAACGACTAGCGGCCGCTGCAGTTTGTTGTTGAGCTGAAACTGCAGACGAGGAGCTGTAATTTGTCTTCCTGAAAACAATGTATATTTAAGAACAAATCATAGTAGGCGATAAAAACAAAAAATAGAACTAAATGTTGGTTAACTGCGAGTCGGACTTGCGAACTAGGGGTTCCGTACCATAGTATGATCGAAACAACTGATTCCTGTCGCCGTAGCATGAACACCACAATTTACATTATATCACGTTTTTCATCGCTTCTAACTGTCAAACTCCATAGTAATTTGACAATCGAACGTGATAAAAACGTGTTATAGATCATATCCCGGTGCTCATGCTAGGTAGGGGGACTGTGCCACTTACTCGATATTTCTCTAAAAAATGTCAAAAAAGACAAGTTTTCCAGGAATGTGTAATTGCATTTAGAACCGTCTAATAAAAAGAAAACTGTGTCAATATGAAGCAACAATATTTGAAATTTCACCTTTATTTTCAATGAAATAGATCATGTTATAGATAAAATTGCAATAGTAGTTTCAATTTCTAAACACTTTTAAAATCGTAAATGTTACAGAAACTTTTTCGATTTCTTGACATTTTAAAAAAACGGTAAACTAATAAGGAAAACCTTAGTCCATGGTCCAAAACTCCAAATAATTAAATGTTAAATTATAAAAATAAAATACATATTTTTATAAAACATTGGATTATTATGAAAAATAAAACTTACTTTTGTTTCTGTCGTTTGTTGGATGATGAAGAATTGTTGTGGCCGTGTGAGGTAGTGTGATGTCCATGAATGGTTGTAGTCTGTGTGTGCCCAGAAGACAGGGCGTGACCTGGAAAATTTAAGTATCATTGGTAATTTTCTGTTGTTCTGGAACCGAATAAAGTTGGAAATATAAAAATATGTCAAGCACAAACTTGTAATGATAATAATAAAGAAATTATGCGGAAAGACATATAAACAAAAAACTATAGACTAACCTAAAGCTTAGAAGTGCGTTCAATACAAGTTCTTTACAAAGAGTAATTAATTGCCCTAAGGGCGATCAGATGATGCTGCAGACGTGGAAGCCTAAGACTTGGGGGGGTCCAAGTCCGATGCGGTTATCATCTTCATTAGCCCATTAATGTCTCCACTGCTGAGGCCTTCCCTATGGATGGTATAGGGAGAATGGGCTACGACCCACCACGCGTTACAAGTGGTGGATGCTAACGAGCACGAGATTTCTGAGATAATATGAGATATATACGAGATAAATTTTTGGTCACTCATCCAATCACCGACCATTGCAAGAGTTGCTTAAATTTGACGGGGACCGTGACAGGTGCGGGCGGCGGCCACTTGTAATTTTGACAAGAAGTTTTCAAATACCTTACGCTCATTTTATTTAATATTGTTGTTACCTATACAATAGAAAGAAAAAGAGCGCGGGGCATTTGCAAATCTTTGGCGGTCAGAAATAACAAAATGAAATCGTAAGCGATAGCGCTGGCGCTAGCGGGATTTGTATGGCTATCATACAAATCCCGCTAGCGCCAGCTCGCCGCCCGCCTCTGCCTCGTACGACGCCTTCAGGGAGGCAATGCGCCGCCCTTGCTGTATCTACACAATGTACCGTGTGGGTGGGGGCGTGGTGCGCGTGCGGCGCGTGCTGTGCCAGCTCGCCGCCCGCCACCGCCTCGTACGACGCCTTCAGGGAGGCAGTGCGCCGCCCTTGCTGTATCTACATACAATGTACCGTGTGGGTGGGCGTGGTGCGCGTGCGGCGCGTGCAGCGCGTGCTGTGCCAGCTCGCCGCCCGCCACCGCCTCGTACGACGCCTTCAGGGAGGCAGTGCGCCGCCCTTGCTGCATCTACATACAAATATTTACATATACTACCGGACACAAACATCTGTCGGCCCACTAAGTGTTATAAGGGTAGCTACACACATAATCAGATCGTCAATAATGTCGGTTTGGCAGTATTTCTTATCAACAAAACCGACCCGAAGAAATTACTGCCGAACAATCATCAACATATAGTTATTCGAACTTACCACCCGGCTGTGCCGATTAATGCCGTCCGTCGCGCTTCTTATATAAGCGCTACGACATTAATCGGCACAGCCGGGCTGATATTGAAACTCAGGGTACACATATGTGTAGACTGTAGCTACTCTTGAGTTTCAACGTACTGTAGCATAAATAAATGGTTGAGCAATAATTCTAAAAACACACGAAACGTTAAGGCGTTTTAGGCTGCAAGGGTAAATGTTGTGATTGTCTCTTGGGAATTCTCTGATGCCGTGCCGGCACTTAACTTGTTTATTCGTGTTTGCTATTTGTAAACTTGAAATCCTGTCTGTCCTTTTCATTCCGTAAGTTTCTCACAGACAGCTGGGGTGGCGGCCAGTTGTATTCGCTTGCAATGTAAGCGAGTGTTCAAACACAAGTGACCAACCAATAAGGGCTAGCCTGTCTGTAAGACATTTTATAAAGCATGATAAGGACAGACAGTTGTTAAGTTCAAGTTCAACAAACAGCAAACACGAATAGCCAAGTAAAGTGCCGACATGATAGTAAAAGGTAGTTCTAATTCATAATTTGCTATGAATTCTAAGATTAAATTTTTACTCAAATCTATTATTTTCTTGCAAAACATAAAATATTTTTAAAAAGGCAGGTAATGAGAATAATTTATACTTATGAAAAATATTTAAAAAATATACCTGCTGAGTAGCTGCAATGGCTTGACTAGCGGCTGCAGCAATGGCGCTGCCTGCGTGACCAAGACTGTAAGAATCACGACCCAAAGCAGCCTGTAATAAAATATAAGTAAGATAAAATGTAAGGAAACATAACCTAAACCTGTAAGATTATTTGAATGCAACAATACCTGAATAGCAGAATCAGTTCTAGATAGGTTTGTAGTACTGTTGTTGTGAGAACGACTGTCCCTAGTGGCCCAACTGTCTCTCCGTTTTTCAGTGCGAATGCGGTATCTAAAAACAAATTTATATTGAAATATCAATAATTGTATTTAAGATTTTTTCTTTTGAGCATTGATCTGCTTCATTTATAGATTGAAATCATCAAAAACATTGCATCAATTTATAAAGATCTCAGTAGTATAGCAGTTATTGCATCTACTTGGACAACAGAAGACATAGGTCTGATTCCTGTCGGTAACCTTGACTGAGTAGGTTTTTCTGTAGTAAAACAATTCTTCAGTATATATTTTTTTTATAGATTGGTCCGACAAATGACTCCACCCCACCTGATGTTAAGTGAAAGTGAAGTCCAGATGCGAAGATAGCTGAAACAGCAGTTCTACCTGCCACACCAGCCATCCTCACCCTGCCGGCCTGCATGTTGCTTCTTCACGCCTCTTTTGAAGGATCCAGGATTAAGGAAGCTTGTAAGAGTGGGCAGAGCATTCCATTTACGGATTGTGCGACAAAGAAATGAGTCACCAAATTTCTTTGTACGCGTTGGAATTGTGGCCCCAGTTAGACGGTGACAACGTGGGCCGGCGCGTGGTCCTCTGAAGGAAAGGGGAAGGTGATATCAGCGAGAATAACTCCTCAGAACACTCGCCGTGGTACAGACGATAGAACGCGCTTAGTGACGCCACGTCACGGCGTAATTGAAGAGGCTCGAGGTGTTTAGTCACCTCTTTATCGCCTATGATGCGGATCGCGCGCCGCTGTAATCTATCCAAAGCATCGAGCAAGTACTTGGCGGAGCCATCCCAGAGGTGCGAGCAATATTCCACGCAGGACCGCACTAGCGTCTTGTGCGTTCAACAAGCACAGTTGATCGGGCGTGAAAAAACGCCGCACCTTGTTCAGGACTCCGAGTTTGCGTAAAGCTGTAGGAAGCTGAAGGAATGGCGATGTTTTTGCCGTGAAAGCGCAAGCCTGTTCCTGTTCTTGGCATTGAACTCAACCAAGTTCCTGGTCGGAAATGTGGTCCAAAGCCTAATTGAGTTCAATGACAAGATTCACCCGTTTCTCCTTGGTTACCGCCTGCCCAGCCGCTGTTTGTCCGAGATACTCCGCATGCACTGTACTATCGTCTGCATAGCAATGAATATTCCCTAGAGGAACTAAGTCATTGATATGCAGCAGAAAGAGAGTGGGGGATAGGACGGAGCCCTGGGAAACGTCGGCATTTACTGACATGAACCGCGAACTGCTACCATCCGTAAGAACATGAATTCTACGCTCATGCAGGAAGTCAGCTACCCAAGAACAGAACTGGGCCGGCAGACCGTATGCCGGAAGCTTGGAGAGAAAGCTTTTGTGCCAGACCCTGTCGAACGCCTTGGCAATGTCAAGGCTGATAGCCAACGACTCGCCACGCTTCTCGATAGCCTCACCCCAGATATGAGTCAAGTACGCTAGAAGATCGCCCGTCGATCGTTTCGGTCTAAAACCATATTGACGATCATTAATCAGGGAGTGATCCTCTAGGTAGCGGGTCAGATGGTTGTTAAGGACCTTTTACTAGAACTTTACATAATACTGAGGTGACTGATAATGGCCGGTAGTTTGCCGGGTCTAAGCGATCCCCTCTTTTGGGCACCGGTTGCACGTTAGCATCTCTCCAAGTCTCCGGCACACGCCCCAAAGAATACGAGCATTGGTACAAGTGCGTGAGCACGGGATGCCATCAGGTCTACTGGCTTTCCGGACGTCGAGTGATTGCAATTCGGCACGAACCTCACACTGCCTGATTTTGATATCAATGTGTATATGGTAATGATGGTGGCAGAGCATTGCAATCATCGATTCGGGAGTTAGCTGCAAAGAGTTTTGCCAGTAAATTTTAATTATTTGGTACCATTTGTTTCTTTAAGATACTTACCTAGCCTGTCTGACTAGAATAGCTTTTTATGCTTTACTCAAAAGATGTTTAAAGTTACTCAGACACATAAATAAATATAGTTATGCAAAGCAACATAAAACAGATGATGAAAGACAATATTTAATTATAAATAAAAAAAAACTGGGGTTATAAAAAGCAAGCAACCAGTGTATTTATGTCAGGTTGATGCAATAGCTGCTCCTGCCTCTGCTAAAATATTCTTTTTTTATGCAGGCAAAACCTCTATTTACAGACGTTGGCGCACTTATGGGGCACACCAACGAACGGACCTCACACCTAGCCTATTGCAAGTGTCACGGGTGTAAAACAGAGAAGCCATTAGGCAGTCCGTGCGGCTTACAGCATACTATCTGCTAAAAAACCCTGCGAATACCCTCTGCCTATGCTGTTAAGTACTGAACCTCAAGACCCCCGTTGTGGGACTTCACCGCGTCAATCCTGGTTTGATACTGCAGAAGGGGCATTTATTAGTGTGATGATCTCAAATATTTATATCAGTTGAGTTAGACTTACTTGAACAGTTATTTAGTTGTCATAATATTAGCTTATATTACTTTGGTTAACATTAATTTATATTATTTGTACCTGTTCTCTTTATAGTGATTATTGTTTGAAGTGCTTGTATGATTAGTATTGACATCCAGTTCTAGAGACCTCTTCTCTAACAATTCAGTTATTCCCTTGTTGTCAGCCTCCAGCTCACATTTAAATTTATGTAGTTCTGTGTCTGTAAAAATTAACAAAATATTTTTTTTTTGCTTTATTCTATTTTATTATTAGAACACTTTCTCAAATATGGTAGGCACAGTTTAAAATAAACAGTTTACATAAACATATGAAATGTTACAAGAACATTTAAAATAATATTTTTATTTCAGTCAATATTTTCAAGGCTATATTAATCTCACCTAGTCTACGTAAATATCGGTCGACCAATTCTCGCATCTGATTAGCAAGAGCTACCTTTTCATCAGCCTCCTCTAATGTCTTGTTGTAACCTTGTCTTATATCAGCAAATTCTGTATTTGCTTGCTCAGTACCAATTTCTCCACGTCGGCACCCACCAAACAATGTTCGTACTCTTTTCTCTAAAGTATCCATATTATCTAGAATTAAACAATAGATTATTAATACACTCGGGGATTATGTGCACTTTGATAAACAGTAGCGGTTACACTTACGACACCAAATTAAGGTTTGATGGTTTTACACTGCAATTTCTCTAAGACAACTATAAAATATAGCAAAACTACATATATAAAAATCATTAAAACAAAATTATATCGAAGTTTTTAAGTTAAACTACTCAGTTACCATTTTACCAAAAATTTGTAAAAAAAACTTACTTTGAACTGATAAATCCATTTCTCGCATTTCCGTAAATCTGTCTCTTAACTCTTGAGGTAAATGTTCAATCACTGGAACAAACCAATTTTATTTTATTTTATGTAAAAAAATCTTGTACAGAAAGAAAAAATAGTCTCAATTCAAACTTTAATGTAATAGCCCGCCATTTCAATAGAACGACATACCAACATAAGGATATTGTCAGTTTGTTACGTCATCTACACAAAGAACAAAGCTTTTACTTACTTTCCAAATAATCCTCCAGATACAGCATTTTGGTAAGATTATTTTATAAAATATTTGAAAATTGCTATAATAAAATGTATTTACACTTTAGAAATACAGTAAACTGAAGCTAATTGTAGCTACAAATATGCTACGTAATATCAACAACGTGCTAATCCCATCGACCAACGCAACGTCACGCACGAATTAAAGTGAGGCGTATGACGTGTAAAATATATCGATATAAATAGTCGGGGCGTTGCTCGTTCGGTTTAATTTGTATCGATTGCTTTAATTATGAACATGGGTTGGAGATTATTATGTATATATTGTTTTTTAGTGTAATACCATCCAAGTAAATTTTGAAGGAGGCAGTGATTATATTTTAATAAAGGTATTTGACGGTATTAAAAACAAAATATCAGTAGTACACATCTGAATTTAAAAATATTATTGGCAACACTTTTTACTATATTTAAAGAAAATATATTGATTTTTCAATTAAAGGTAATTGAAAAATCACGAAATAAAAAATGATATTTTTTTGACCTCTTGACGTAAGTTGCACCCTAGACTGATTTTTACGAGAATTTAATTGTATGCTCCTTATTACCTTTATAACGTGTCTCTATCTAAATAACCGACAAAGTTCATATACATCTATAGGTAATTTTTTATGTTTTCATGTATTGCAGTCATCTAATAAAAACAGTGTTTTAAAGAATCAAGTAGTTAATGGTAATTCAGTCGTATTTGACAAGCTTGGCGCCGACTCTAACATTTAAATTTACGTTAGATATACAATATATCGCACGGCTTTTGAAACGAGATTCCTTATTTTTATTACCTATAATATGTGCGATATGATATATTCTTTATAATATCGTGACTTATTCAAGTGATTCTACTAAAACTTTTTGAATTCGGTTAAAAAATAAAATGAAAATAAAGAAGTATACAACAATTGCGATGAGAATATTATAATTTTCGACAAAATTGGTCTACTAAATAATGATAATGAAGGGTGTCAGACAGGGTGACGTAATTTCCCCGAAACTGTTCACCGCTGCATTGGAAGACGTCTTCAAGCTTCTGGATTGGACCGAACTCGGCATCAACATCAACGGCGAATACATCACTCACCTTCGATTTGCAGACGATATCGTGGTTATGGCAGAATCCCCCTGGAGGACCTTGGCACAATGCTCAATGACCTTAGCAGAGTTTCCCAACGGGTTGGTTTAAGGATGAACATGGATAAAACCAAGGTCATGTTCAATGTCCATGTCACTCCAGCACCAGTATCTGTTGGGAATGCGATTCTCGAAGTTGTCGATCATTACATCTACCTAGGACAAACAGTCCAGTTGGGCAAATCCAACTTCGAGAAAGAGGTCAACCGACGAATCCAACTCGGATGGGCAGCGTTCGGGAAGCTTAGGCATATCCTCACGGCCAAAATTCCCCAGTGCCTGAAAAGGAAGGTCTATGACCAGTGTGTGTTACCAGTGATAACTTATGGGACTGAGACGTGGTCTCTGAATGTCGGCCTCATGACAAAACTCAAAGTCGCGCAGCGTGCTATGGAGAGGGCTATGCTCGGTGTTTCCCTACGTGATAAGATCCGGAATACGGAGATCCGTAGAAGGACCGGTGTGTACGACATAGCCCGAAGAGTTAGCACGCTGAAGTGGCAATGGGCAGGCCACATCGCTCGAGGACCTGACAACCGTTGGGTAAGAAAGGTCCTCGAGTGGCGACCACGTACCGGACGACGCAGCGTGGGGCGGCCCCCAACACGGTGGACTGACGACATCGTCAAATGTGCTGGGAGCCGCTGGATGCGGATAGCGCAGGACCGCGCATTGTGGCGTTCTATGGGGGAGGCCTATGTCCTGCAGTGGACGGAAAAAGGCTGATGGATGGATGGATGGATGGTCTACTAAATATAGCTTCTGTTATTATTTTTCGTGTAAACAGTACAACATCTATAATATCCTTAAATATAGACGACGTTTTGCTCGGAAGGGATTAATGGGTGTCGGTATATTTAAAATTCTTATAATTTACTTAAAATTAGAAGAATCGCTAAAAGTAGAAGTCGAGCCATCAATTAAAACAAAAACATAATAGGAATAGAACTAAAAGAGTATCTATTAATTCCTATATATTTTTTCTTATACTTAAGCCTTACCTAGGGATTATTTTAACATTGCTAAGGACATGGTTCAAATTTGTATGGAGTTGTGGTAGTGAGTCACCGGCAGATTTTTATAACACGTAGTGCACTTACTAGTAAATCATATGACAAAAAACTAGAATTTATTAAATACAGTTTATTTTTAATATTATTATATTATAAAATTACATAACTATTGATTTTCAAAGGCCAAGTTTATTTATGTTTTTTGTTGCCAAAGCATCGAATAATAATATATTCTATCCAATAGGTAACTAAAGCAATGATAATTATTCTGTTCATCTTTCATTACATTATTAGGTACTTTGGGGGTATTTCATTTCAAAAAGAATTAATAAATTGGTATGATAAGTTCACCACGATTTCACGAATATCATGCATGACTGGACTAATCGAGATTTTTCATAGTGATTGATTTGCCATTATAAGCTACCACGCACTAAAAATAAGACGTTACTTGTGACAGTATCCTTACGAAATTGTTAAAATATTTTAAACATGATTAAAAATTAATCAAGAAAATAAAAAAAATAAAAGTATTCAGGTTATAATATAAAACAAGCTTTCAAATGAAATATATTTCGTCGCTGCCGATAACCGCCTACAACTTTTGAACCATCTCCTTTCAATGAAATAGCCATACGACGTATATCTTATTATTAAAAAAGTCCTCTGTTATGCTTTGACAACTCGGCTATGGTTCCATGCGATGTCGATATTCATGAACGGATGTAGCTCAGCATCACTTTTCAGTAATGCCAAATGTCAAGCAAAAATTTATTATGTTACGATTCTTCCATCAGGAAAGCAAAGAAATTTATGTCCAAACAGCCACGTCTTTATTTTTTTTTAATTAGAACGCATGTGGAAGTGAATGCATTTTATATAATGTATTTTTTGGTACAAAATGAATAAAATCAACTTTATTGCTTTTTAAATGTTAACGACATTACAATTAAGTTTTTACATCCACTTGACCGAAATAATTTTTACTGGTTTGATCATAGATTTAATGATTTAATTTACTAAGACTATGGATTCCACTAATTGTTCACATTCGTATCGTAAGCTTGAAAGGACAGAGGTCCGTCTCTAATTTACGATCCAAAATGTTCTAATGTTAATGTTCTGTTGTACGATGACGATACGTCGGAGCTGTCAAAACTCGGTTTCTGCCACGCTTATATATTTCTTCTGTCTTCTGGACGAATTTCAATGAAATTAATGTTTCTGTTTCTGTTGTACTGGTTCTCAGGATTATTTAGATTTACAACTTCACCGCGTTTTATAATCAGCTCCATAGACATAGTACCTATCAGTGTCTATTACCCGTAAACCCATTCAAGTATCTTGCAAGTAGAGTTACCTCACGTTATTCAGGCAGGTGTAACGCCTTTTCCAGATATAAAAAAGGGTTAAAAAGGGTTTAATTTAACCCCACGAAGACAAGTATGCACATTTACATAAAAAATATAATTTGTCGTATCCCCCCTTTTTGAGAACATTACCCTTACTGCCACAGCTAGTATCGGTATTCTTGGCGTTGACATATTGAGCGAAATCCAGTTCCGAGTGAATCTGGGGGACAAGAACAAATTAGCCTCCAAGAAGCTTGTTGTGCTCAATAGATCGAGGGGGTATTTCACACCTGCCCACCGGCTGTAACTTTATAAAGTACAGGTTCGGCCTCAGATTGAGTATTGTTCTCATATTTGGACAGGGGCACCTCAGTACTAGCTCTAGCCTCTGGATCGCATCCAGCACCGAGCGTCCAGTGTTGCCACCTTGGTGGTTTTTCCACCAGAACTGGTGCTTTTTCACGGCTTCTAGTGGTATATTTTCATTGTCTAGCGGGTATATTTTATTTAGTGTTTTTTAGTGGTTTTTTAACATAAAATCTAGCAACATATTTTTAAGGGGGAAATCCCCTAACTTTCCGGAATTTCATAATGTTCTATGCTTACTCTGTGACAGGGGAATTCCTACACGCGTTTATCTGTTAAGAGATTCCTTTAATCGTTCATTCTGTTTCAGGAATTAGGTTCGCGTTCATTGTGTTGTTAAAAAGTGTAAAAGTTTGATTTGATAGAAACGTTTGTAACAGTGTATGAACTCCTGAAGCTGTATGTTTAGAGTATTCAATTATATGTTATTATGGGAATTCTATTCAAGAAAAAGAATTACTTTCAAAAGTATAGAAAAGAATGGGAATCACTCGACGAATTCCAAACCTAGCTAAAACCTTTAGCAGGTGTTGATGCGAAGGCGTTTTGTTCATTTTGTAAAGCAGAATTATTAGCAAAAGTAGTAAATTTGAGAGACATGCTGAAACAAAAAAGTACAAACAAAAAATGCAAATTCTATCCGGCAATCAAACGATATCATTTAAAAAACACAAAATACTCTTTCAAAAATCCACTGCAACCATAACCAAACATCTTCAGCTTCGACATCGGCTTCATCGACAGAAGCGTCGGCGTCTGTGAACGACGATGAAGTTATAGAAAATGTAACATTTAACAATATTGAATTTTAAATTTCACATTTTGTTTAAGATTTATTTCTTGATTATAAATAATGAATGTAAATACATATTTACCCGGTTTTATTACATTCTCTAGTACTACTAAGGTAACGCTCGGAAAAGTTATAAGTTAGTAAAAACATTATTGCCATTTTTTTAAATAACTAAATTTTACTAATTTAGAACGACTGCGGGATACAGTTATTTCTGTAGCATCTCATACATATTCACTGGTTTTTTATTTAAATTAGGGTTTTTTGCTGTCTGAGATGTAATTGGAATTTAGCTGATTTTGGTGTATTTTATTAAATCCTAATTTTTGAAATCTGGTGATATTTTACCTTTGACTTGGCGCCATAAAAAAATCCAAGGTGGCAACACTGCGAGCGTCTCGAATTGTTTATGGCCAGTAGGCCTAGTCGTTGACAGATGGAAGTGATAATCACCGAGCTATTTAGTTAGCGATCCACTACTGATAGGTTTTTTGATCCTTTAGCTTCGCTCTGCATCTTCTATCGCACTTATCACTGGGAGTGTTCTGAGACATTCTGCCTATAGTCTGTAGTACTAATAATATAAACATTTGAATTACTTACATGTCTAATTGCTTACGTCTACAACATTATATAATATGTACTCGTATAAATATCTGAATATTTGAGACTATCAAATTGCTATTTACACAATAGCATATAATTTTTCTTTACTTAAGATAAGACGGCGGTTAATGTGCGGTGTAAAGTGTACTTCGTGATTCAAAAAAGAAAAGGAAAGCCAATGACCTCTATCTGTCAAATGTCGCTTGAAAAGTACAGCTTTTCAAAAAAATCTTGGAACACCTTTTTTTGATGACCACACGACTGAAGTGAACTCAACCTCACTCAACTCCCGTTCGCTTCGCCCGATCACACTTTTCGTAATGCCTTCGAAAGCTTACTCCCCAAGTCAAGCGTGTGTAAAGAAGTTTCACTCCAAAAATAACCATTCGTGCAGATGTATCGTGAACTCATGATGTTTTTGCTTATATATCCGTTTTTAAGTATAATATTTTCCAGTGAAAATTACTTTTGAAATTACTTTTTAATTTGGATTTATTTTACAAATCTGCCACCCTCCCGTCCCGTGGACACTGTCCCTATTATTAATAAACGAGGAAGAAGCTTATACTAGTTACGCCTTGTTGTACGTTCATAGAAGTCCATATTAACAATATTAACCTTTGCGAAGTGTGGCACTGGCCGGCACTGCTAACCAGTGGGATGGCTGTAGCTGTAATGAGTAATTACTTTTAGTCAAAGCTTTAGTCAATGATCTTATATTATTATACTCGATTTCATTCCACTTAATTAAACAAACATGCCTTTTCCATAAAAATGTTCTCGACTGCTTCCTCTTTGCTTTTTATCACTAAAGCATTGACTGTCATACATTTAATATAATTTTACATATCCGATTTTTTCTTTCGATAACTTATGTTTCAAAGAAACGAGAAGCCCTCAAAAATGCCAAAATTAAACCACTAAAGACGTCTAGTGTGGAGATTTAATAAGCATTTACGCAAAACATAGAGACATAGTATAACTACTTATTGTTCTGTGCGTGAAAGGACATTGCTCGTTCCCCATACATTGAATGCCCTAGAACGCCCAGCAATGAGAAAATGCTAGTTGTGTTCGGAATCATTGATAAACTGTAATTAGGCATTTGTTGAGATACGGACAACTTGAGGAACCATGGCCTACTACAGAATGTATTAGATTTTGAGGTTATAATTATTTTACTTAATCGTAAAAGATGCACACTTTATATATTCTGAATAGATTTGGTGTTTACCTCTATGTAAGCAATTAAATAATATGCATTAAATGAACATAAAATGCAATTAATAATAAAAATAATAAATGCTTATATTCATCTCAGACCAAATAAAAAGTAAAGACGGAGTCTGCCGAACCAAAAAGTGAAGCCGGTTTTTTATGTATGTAGTGCATTAGCCAGTGTTACCATAGTCATATAAAACACCCCAATATTAGAAAAATGTAATAACGTTATTTCATAACGTTATTACATTTTTAATAACGTTATAAAATATTAGAAAAAAATATCGTAAGCTTATTCTCTAAACCTCTCGTGAGCCAAAGGTCATGCGCCGTTCTCACCTACAAGTGCCGGACTTCTTTATGGACCGCCCGCCCGCTGGGTGGGAACGATTGCATTGTTCTGCCGATTTCTCTGCTATTTTGTAAAAATACCCTTCACAAACGTATATTTTTATTCTCCATAAAATTTTCAATAAAACAGTGTGTACACAATGCGTCATGTCTATAATTTATTTTAATTACATTATGGTAAACTCAGGAAAGATAAAAAAAGTCATTTAAATAGGTAAAATGAGGTGTATTTTCAAAATTTGTAAATTATAAATCCAGGTTTTTGTACATATAGAATGTACTATATATGAATGAATGTATATAATAACTTACCAAATACAATTATAAAATATAACACGCAACAGAAAAAAAAGGGTCGTGTTGCAAGTGTTGATAAAAACAAATGCGAGATCCAAGTGCCTTGATTTATGTGTTGACGTTTAATTATGTTGGATTGATTATTTTACTTTAGTTACAAGTCTCGGATGGAATAGGTTTGTTCATTTTATAGTTTCAAGCACTCGCAACAAGGCACTTGAAATCGCTTACAAATCAGTCATCTCAACTTTATGTCGATAAAACGAAAAGCATATACAAATGTTTTTATTAAAATGTACATGAAATTTTCTATAGAATACACAAAATATAATCACTAGTTCCTATACAAGAACATAATAAAATAAATCCACAAACATCGCGAATTTTGGGTCTAAAAGGCCATTAAAAAGTACAATACAAATAAAATTACAAATATATTATTATTTTACAAATCGTCGCTCTGAAAATGAGTCGAACAAACCACGCTGCGGGAAGCTGGTTGCCACAATGGTGCATTTCTACTCTTACGAATGACTGCAATCCACTTCTCTTTTAGATCTTGATCTCGATTAGTAAATCTTAAAAAAAACGTATATTAAATAATGTGTATTACATCCCAAAAAATTTATACGAATACATAAAGAAAAAAGATGTTTCGTGTAATTGTTTATCCATGCATTACAATATTCGAATAATATAAAAGTATGCCACACAATGTATATAATAAAATAACGTTACGTTATATTTCACGCTACCCAACAAAAGGGTAAAACTGTAACGAATAATCATGGCAACATTTCGTTCAGGTTTTGTTTACAAAGCGATGAAAGCGACAACCTCAAATTTGATTTTGATTAATTGAAAATAGCAGTTTATAACTTTACTTACGTATGAAATGTGATTCCATCCTGTTTTTTATTCTTGGAAGATTGGTTTTTACACGTTTTCATTACACAATTCGGCATTTTCTCTAATAAATATTGTTATTTATTATTACGTCACACTCCGCGCGTCGGGATAGCTCGACTGAGAAGCCAAGGCGTAGTTTCGTTGCATGTGTGTGCGTGTAACTGTGTATGTACACGGCGAGGCGTAGTTTTATCGGCTTCACTTTTTGGTTCGGCAGACTCCGTCTATACTTTTTATTTGGTCTGAGATATTCATATTGATTTATGAGTGTTGGCAGTTGGCACCTATGATACCTATACCTACCTGTAGTAGGTAATAATAGATTTCTTTTCAAATGAAATGTTCAGTCTTTCCATTTACCTGTTTCTATATTTTACTATCGGTAATTAGGTATGTACCTGGTTATCATTATGATTTTCATAAAAATAATCAGATATTATATGGGATGGGAGTATAAACTATCTTTACATAATTTCAGAAATAATCTTTTTATAAATATAATATAAATACTAATAATAAGTATTATTAACTAAGGTACCGAGTTCTATTTTTATGTTGATAAATACCTATGGTCGCCTATATTGCATTTATTAAGGTAAACAATCTTGGCACAACTTTATAACAGAATCACACATTTAATAATAAAATATTAACGAAGCCAATAAACTATTAATATAAATCATTATTATAGACTGAAACCTATTGAATTCAGTTATCAGTTCATTTTTAATGCTGTATCTTCAATAAAAAGGAGTGCCCAGATTGTTTACCAAATAGGACAAGTTGGATGAACAGACTGTAGTATCTAGTAACAGAACTTTTATTTTTTATTTTTTTAAACAGATTGTCCGTTTACTATGTTTAATTGCTAATAAGTTAAAAAAATAATAGAAAAATAATAGTGAAGGACATTCTTTTGGGCATGCTAGGGCCGATTTCGTCGATGTCCTTTTAAAATTTGAATTATTCTGCAAGTTTTATACGGAAATTTCAGCGTTAGCTACTCTTATCCCTTTCGCACGGATTTTCCAATGCAACAGCAATAGTTTTTTCAAGTCAACGATATTAAATACCCTAGGTACATCAACACGAACAAAATCGTGGCCGAAATCTGTCCAAAAGGTACATTGGACGATCCACGACGTAAGATGATCGCGTAGTCAAAATCAATATAAGGTATTTTTTGAACATTGAAAGTCACCTTTCGAAACCGTACGAGTTCGAAATGCAAGCCCGTAAAATTTAACGACTTATTGCTATACTAGCAAACCTGTGAACCAAATATTCACCAAAAAAAAAAAAGTATTTAATTAATTGAGAACTTCGGAGATTTTGTGTGGTTTCGTTTGAAATAGAAATCACGTGATTTCTCGAAAACCGGAAGTGCTACGTTACTCACATCCGGTTTGTAGTCTTATCAGACTATTCTCAACTTATAACTTAAACATTCTCTATATCTATCTCTTACGGTTTGGCCGCTGAAACAGCACCACGGACGGACGGACGGACGGACTTGTCTAATAGATAAGAGATGCGAAAGAATATAGACCTTATTTCTTTGATTCTACGCGCAATTCTGAATGCGCTGTTACCAATACAGCAGGTACAGACCGCGAGGAAACGAGACGGCTATATTACCAACCATGCATTTGAATATCACAAATGTTTTTTTATTAAATCAGTTTATAGTAAGTATTAGAACAAAAGCTTCTAATGCGGTTAATTAACAAACATTGATAAGGTACCTGTCGAAAAAACGTATCTACGTAACGTAGTATAAGTATTTTTTTCGCATTTTTTCACGGAGCTCTGCGCCATCTTGACATTTCAACGGTCCGCGCGTAACTATGAACCAAGAAGTGCTTGCGTGGTGTTGAAGCACTAAGTTTCTAGATTGGGACACATTTTGAGCGCACGTGGTGTATCTAGGGTGTTTAATGTCATTGTTTCAAGTTCCTATTTCTCAAATGTTTCTCAGCTCGCGTCCGCTCTTAATTACTACCCATACCCACTGACCCCACTGTACTATTATATTCATTTCAGATTGCGATGATTAGAAGACCGTTGACAGAAATCACTTTGAAATTAGACGACTTGCAAGAATACGAAAATTTTCGTAAAGATCAAACGAACAATACGACAGCCTCATTAGAAATGCAAGAAGACACTCCAAAATCACTGGCTGGAGGAACAAAAACAGCTGAAGAAATTCATAATAGAATTGGCTATGCACCTAAAAAGAAACCAAGTGGTCCAAGTACAGTTTAAATAAATATTTAAGTTATGTACGCTCTTCTTTTACTTACCTTTAAACACATCTTTAAGAAAGTAACTGTGAAGTGAACCAAAAATAACAAGATTTTGTATGTAACATCAAAAATCGTTTTATTCTATTTTACCAGCGCATGGGGGAGATTTGTATGGCGCCCCCTAACTGTAGGGGGTCAAGTTCAAAGGCCGTAGCTAGGGGGGCATTATGGTGCAATGCCCTACTTTAAAACGGGCGGCAGAAGGCAATCTTAAGTTTTGAAATACGCCCCTGCTTCCTATCTTAAATATACCTCTGGTTACACTCTGTCAAGCTCATAAATATAAATGAAGGTTGTACAAAATAAAAAAGTAAAAAAAAGTTTAAATTATGGTTAGATGAAGCTTCACACTTGTCGTGCTCTCAACTCAGTTGGGATTGGAATCATATTCGAGACGCAGCAAGCAGAAATGTTTTTAAAGTCAAACTACATACTATTACATCGCCACACTTTTTTTGGTTCATCTTTATCTAATGCGACATGCATTACATTTTTCAAAATTCAACCCTTATCAACAAGCAACAGTGGTTTAGTGCTACAAAGCTCGCCTGCAATGCAGCAGTCCGGGTTTATTGTGAGTTAAATGTAAAGTTTTACTTGCATCGAGTTTTCTCAAAGCCACAGTTTTTTTGACGTGACAACGTCTTAAATTAGGTTGCGGCTGGGAGTCACTTATGAAAAAGTGTAACGCTCGGTAACGTTACGATGAGTCTCTCGTGTTAAGTTTAAGTTTACATGTACAATGATGTCGATTCTAGCATGATTCTCTAAACCTAAACTTAAATTTGACAGCAGTATATCCTTGTCATTCTCTATACAGAATGAAAAGGAGAGACTGATGTTAAATTTAGTTTTAAGTTTAGAGAATCACGCCAGAATTGACACCAATGTTTTAGTAAACAAAATATATTTCTATAGTTAAAATTTGTGCAATTCTTATTTTCATTCAATTCCTTGTTCCTATTGTGCAATTTAATTATATTCATATCAATAAATATTCTACCGAGAAAAAGACGTTGTCACGTAAAATCTTCGCCCGTAAAACCGACTTTACAGGCAACCATTTTTTTTACATGTTTATATTTTTAGCACTTATAAATTAACTGGTTACATAAGAAAACATTCTTACACCAGAGAAATATATTTTAATTCTCTTTTTAAAGTTGGTTATTCTGCATTTCGGTAATTTTATTTAATAAGACATTAACGAAAGTTAGTTAGTCAAACTACTACTCTCAGCCCAAGGCTGCTAAGGACCTATCCATGGGAAAGAATAGATCATTAAAATAAGGAGAGAGAAAGGGAAGTGCAATGTTGAAAGAGAATTGAGGGAAGACAGGATTAAGGAGAAAGAAGGATCGAAATACCTATAAACAATGCCAGCTTTGTAGCGTACTTACATTCTCGCGCTTCCTACGGGCAGTTGCTGAAAATCAGCATTTTGCCTATTAAGGCAAAAACACTGCTGAGCTTCTGCCTATTTGCATCACTGCACTGTTACTTACTAATGACTGTAGTTTAGACTTGACATTTAAGAACTTATAATCATCTATGTCTGCAGTGATAACATGTATGCATATGAATTGAATGAATTGAATTAATATAAGATCCAGTAAAAGAAATAAATAATCATATTTAATAACGCATGCGTGCATAAAATTTTGGTCCCCTGGCAAACGCCCTTGATTTAAACCCATACGAAAAAAGGCAAATATATAATGAAATGCCTACTAGGTAATTTTTTCCTTTTCTAGCCACTAAGAACACAGGTTGGGCTCTGTGTTTGGCCGGGAACAATACTGCAAACTCCATAGCTTAGTGCAAAAATGTCTCAATCAACCTCTTACGTCTGGTACAATGGTGCGAAAATCAGTGGCATAATAAAGGTATATTTGCAAAGCCCAGGAATTGGACTAGGTTGAGGAAGTGGACCACTAGTTGATAAAGATCTAGTACTCGAAAGATGGCGTCAGTAGGTAAGCTCACGATATTGTTGAGAACCAGATATCCTTCTCAGCGAGGTAAATCAGCACTCGGTCGTCTGTAACGAAAAGCTTCCATTGGATACGGACTCTCCGCATTGCTCCTGAAAATCTCTGGGCCTGGTATAAAAATTCTACAATTTTACTAAAAGTCTGAAAAACGGGTCAATGGCTGATGTTTGGCCTGAATATATAAGAACTTGGGAGTTATCTGGTAACTAGTGTTGCCCAAATTCAGTCTTGGTCTTGTTCTTGCATTTTTGCAAGACCAAGACCAAGAACAAGACCGCGTATTTTTAGCAAGACCAAGACTGACCATGCAAGACTTGAGCAAGAACAAGACTAATCCGGCAAGACTCTTGCGTCTTGCAGCTAGGACTTAGCGCTATTTCACGGAGTAGTTAGGTATAACAGTTTGGTGTATAGGTACGCTTAGGAATTCTATGAGACGCAAAAAACTGTATCAAAGAATATGAAAAACTGGACCTATGCGCATTACGACCAATACCATAAACATACATAGCGAATAAAAAATATCCATTAAAATGAAACAGAGTGCATGCATAGTTTTGTTTTAACCATCGGCACTTTGATAATGCGGCATCAAAGGTTTTGTACTGACTTCTGAAAGAATGCCGCTTTTCGGAAGTACATGGTGATGATACACGCGTCGGCGGCTTCTATTGAAATCACATACAACAATCGTTTTAACAATTTAATATATGAGCGAGCGAGACGGTACGACACGAACTTCGATTGTCGAATTTTAGAGTACAGGTGTTCCAAAGAATAAATAAGTTTCAGAGTGCTTAGAATGGAAACGAATACATTATACTTGATCACGCAAGTAGTATTATGATTAAATAATGGTAAAGATAGGTAGTAGATGTCATAATAATTTATTCTAGTAAGTATATATTATAATATTGATTAAATGGGATTATGGTTGGTCTTTACTATGGCTATGTTAATTCAAGCTCACAATGTTCCAATTCTAATACGTTTTTCTAAGATCTAAAGTTAACTTTAATAAATAGCAATAGTCTAATAGGTAATTGCAAGACTTGCAAGACTCTTGCTGCAAGACCAAGACTGGGAACGCAAGACCAAGACCAGGTGTATTGGCGCAAGACCAAGACCAAGACTTGCTAAGTCTCGTCTTGTTCTTGCATTTGGGCAACAGTACTGGTAACTAACTCCACATGGAGATTATGACAGAAGTAGTAAGAAGAGCTCAGATTGCGAATTCAGCTGTGAAACTCTTAGGCCTGTATTATAGAAAGATTCTCAGCGATTGATCTAGTCTTGAGCATAGTTAGAAAGGGATGTCGCTATATATAGCACATAGCGATATCCCTTTGTAACTGTACTCAAGCAAAGATCAACACTTAGTTGTCATTCTGTAATGCGGGCCTTAGAGATGAATTAAGGTGAACAGAGGAATAACCAAAAAGACAAAAAAATAAAACTAGTTTAAACGGGATAATGCACGAAACTTTATTTATTTATTGACGTTTCGTAACTAGTTTTATTTAATGAGTGATGTGCGTGAAAACCTAAGAAACAAATACAAAAAGACAAAAGTCTGTCAAAATAACAAGAAACCCTTGTCTTCTCGTTATTTATGTATGCTTTAGAGCAGCTATACTCTAAGTGTGTTCCGCGGAACCCTAGGGTTCCGTGATACCTCTGTCGGGGTTCCGCAAGAATTTAGAAATAAAAAAATCAAAACACCTCTCTCTGGTCGCTCCGCGGCTGTGCGGACTCCGCGGCCGCGCGGAGACAAAACGCTATGAATGTTATTTATTTATTTATTTGTATTTGTATAAGCTTGTGTTACATTAGCTGGTACAATATCTCATAAGTTTGGTCTCAACAATTTTATACTTGTACAACGCGTTCGCTCTAAGTTTGCCGGTCTGTGGAATGCGCGTACCCTCCCCCACGTGACAACAAAACTTATAATGTGTCATAGTTTTACCCAAATATCTAACGTACACAATTTTTATTGTTACAATTAAATAAAAAATTTCGAACGTCATACACTCATACCTATCGCCAGCGGCAAACTTAAAACGAGCGGGTAGTATACTTGTAAGCGCTCAGTCTCTTTGATAAAAGCCGCCTCTGAATTAGACGCTATAGTTGTCAACTAGCGACTTTCGTCTCTAACTTCAAAGGATAAAGTCGATATTGTTTACAACGCTATTTTTAAATTTCTGTTTTTATTTTTGCTTTTTGTTTATCAAAGGTGCCGACTCGAGTATTTTCGAGAATATTTGAGATCGAGTCTAGGACTAAGTATAAAAGCGGCGATCGCGCGTTGGCGTCGTCAGTTGATGATTAGCGTTCGGAGCGATAAGTTACTACCTACTTACAAGCTCGCTAGCGAGAAACTGGTGTTCATTGTTTTACTGCCTGCTGTATTCTGTTGTCTCAGTTTTATACATTTCTTCCCTGTAGGTTCTAAATTTAGTCTCTTATACGCAGTAACGATTGTGCATTATTTAAACCCCACTATCCTGACTTGTAACATTATAAATAAAGAAGAATGGAACGTTGGCTTAAAGGTGTTAAACGTGTTCCAACAACATCTTCTAATGACGCTGAATGTTCAAAAGCAATGCGCGCGGAGAATTTAGCAATCACCGATCCAGAAGATGATGCCACGAGTGCCACGACGTCAAGCTCGACGGTTTCAAAGACGAAAAAAAGGAAGTATGATGAATCTTATATCAGTTTCGGATTTGTTGATTCCAACGGCTCACCTCTCTGCATGCTCTGTAGTAAACTGCTTCCTAATAGTTCCATGGCACCTGCCAAATTGCGTCGACATTTAGAAACCGTACACCCCGAGACTAAAGACAAGAATAAAGAATTTTTTGTTCGCAAAAAAGATCAGTTATTAGAAAGTCAAAAAAATATGATGCATGTAACACAAACTACCAACGAAAAGGCCACGGAGGCATCATACTTAGTTAGCTATCGCATTGCACAAGCAGGTGAAGCGCACACTATCGCTGAGAAATTAATAAAACCATGTGTATTAGACATAACAAAATGTATGCTTGATGAAAAATCTGCAAAGCATCTTTCTACTGTTCCGCTATCAAACGATACTGTTTCACGACGAATCCATGATCTGGCAAGCTACGTCAAACAAGAACTAGTTACACGTCTACAAAATACACGATTCGCTTTGCAAATGGACGAGTCGACTGATGTCGCTGGTTTGGCTATCCTGCTGGTTATTGTGAGATATCCATATAAAAGTTCTTTTGAAGAAGACATGCTTATGTGTTCATCGCTGCTTACAAACACTACCGGGGAAGAAATTTTTAATAAAATAAATATATTTTTTGAAGAACATAATCTCAGTTGGAACAATTGCATTGACATTTGTACAGATGGGGCCAAGGCGATGACAGGTAAAACAGCAGGAGCAGTGTCACGAATGAAAAATAAAGCGCCTAATTGTAGTTCCAGTCATTGTATTCTGCATAGACAAGCACTTGCGATGAAGCAAATGCCGTCTAATCTAAAATTAGTTATGGATGAAGCGGTAAAAATAATTAATTTTATCAAATCACGACCACTACAATCCCGATTGTTCTCATTATTGTGTGAAGATTATGGCAGCAAACATAAAACACTGCTGCTCCATACAGAAGTGCGATGGCTGTCTCGGGGAAAAACTTTAACAAGGCTATTTGAACTTAGAGCCGAGTTACAAATGTTTCTTTCAGCAGATACTTCTTTTAATTTGAAGGACCGTTTGTATGATAAAACTTGGTTGTTCCGATTGTCTTTTATGGCGGATATCTTTCAAAAACTTAACGAATTAAATTTATCATTGCAAGGTAAACAGACAACAGTGTTTCAGGCCTATAATAAAATAACTACTTTTAAAAGAAAATTAGATTTTTGGATCATTTGCATTGGTAAGAAAGAAATAGAAAGTTTTACGTTACTCACTGAGTTTGTTAGCGAAAACGACTCAGAAATGTTTGAAGATAATGTGTTTGAAGAATTGGTCCAATATCTCAGTTCGATGCGCGCATCTTTTGAAAAGTATTTTCCCGAAGAACACAATACAAAAATTAAAGTGAACTCCTGGATTCATAATCCTTTTTTACCCAACTTGGAAAAGCCTGAAAACATGTCAAATGAGATATATGAATCTCTTTTAGAAATGTCATCAGACACAAGTATGGAGTCATTGTTCAAAACGACGCCTCTTAATGATTTTTGGTGCAGAATCCAAGATGAATATGCAATGCTTGGCCAAATGGCTCTGGATATTCTTCTCCCGTTCCCAACTACATATTTGTGCGAAACAGGATTCTCTACCTACGCAGCCACGAAAACAAAATATCGCAATAGACTGGACGCCGAAGCTGATATGAGACTCCAACTTTCTTCCATCAAACCTGATATCAAGCAATTGATGAAAAATAAAAAACAGTTTCATACCTCCCACTAGTTAGATTTTTTCTTTTTTAATGTTTTCTATTATTGTCCTTACCAAGTGGTGAAGTAAATAATAATTAGTAACGGATACATTGTACTTTTATTATGCTGATTAATATAGAATACACTTATAAAAATAATTGTTTTATTGTAGGGTTCCATCAAGTATTTTGCTTCCCAAAAGGGTTCCGTCATTTAAAAAGTTTGAGAACCACTGCTTTAGAGATACTGAAAGCACGTGTTCGAAACAAAATAATAGATATTTGATATGTGGTGATGGCGGAGAATCTTATGGATCCCTTGGACAGCGCGTCGCACTAACGTTTAGACCCTAAATTAACTGGACATAAAGACCGTTTGTCAGCTGTCTGTATGCAACGTGTCCTTCAGTACTTCGGACTCATTTTTGTAGGTTGTAGGCCATGTGGAAGGAAAGAATCATCGCGTCAATCATGGACCGATGCTATAAAGGAGGCATGCTAAACATCATCCCATCCCGTTCCCATCATTATAGTTTTACAATAGATTAAAATATAAACAACCTTATTAATAAACTAAGACTACGCTGGATTAGTAACTCCATGTTTTGTCTTTGCCCATTGAATGACAAATAGCATTTGAGTAACATGAACAAAACACGGCGTAATTAGTCTGCTATTAAGCTTAGACGAATTACGCGTACAAGTATTAACTTGTTTATTAATAAGGGGAAAAACGTTTAACGGAAAGGTTTCAGAAACCAGAGTCAAATATCGTAGCGTAGTGTGGTGAAGGCGTGGCATGGCCGGGGCGAAAGATTCTAATGGAGGAATTACACGTTAGGTTTTGCATGATGGTTTTAACCGTGCATTCATAACCGACATGCATAACCGAGTTACATGCACCGAAAACTGTACAGTTTTATCACATACACGTAAGGGCTTGCCTGTCGGTTATGCATGTTCGGCTAAAACCATCATGCAAAACCTAATGTGTATGGCCTCCATAAAATACGCCCCTTCTTGTCCCGGTTTTAAACACCGTGTCTTGGCTGTTGTTACCAAGTATATTAAATACTATCGTTAGTTGCTACATATTCACAGAGTCGAAGAATTCGTCGTGGTTATTGCAATAAAAAAACGAGCGAGCCTTACAGTAGTCGCGTATGATGTGTAACATTTGAATCCTCACCTTATATTAGTAAAAAAAAGAAATAAAACCTACTACAAAAGGAATAAGCCATTTGAACATATTTCTAAAACCAAATCAAATAGTGCGCGCTTTCGCGATTTCCTGTTACACACTTCCGTCCCATTTCACGAAATCACTCCCACAAATTGCAGGAAAGCGAGAGGAAAGATTTTACACATCAAAAACTGCACTGCATCGACAAATGGGTATAGATTTTTGTTATCCTTAAGGCTTCAAGATTATCAGGAGCGTGAAAAAGAACAAGGAAAAATGTTAATTCAAGAAATTTTAATGTTATTTTCGATTAAATTTGCGAGTAAATTGAGTTGTATTTAGAAATCGTGCTACTCAATTTAGTTATCTAAATTTTTGGGAAACGTGATTAATAAAATTCAATTGTTTTACGAAGTCAATCTTGCGCTTTTTCGTTCTTTTTCTCTGCTTTACGACGCCAGATAACGCAGCCCAAACTGAAAAAAAAACAGTTTTACTTAATAGGAATAGGTAAGTAATTATATAATGTAGGACTTACACTTGGTATGATGGGAAACTGAGATAATACAATGAATGTGATATTTTATATTATTTTATTACATAAGTATAATTAAATAATTAATTAAAAAATAATAGGAACGGCAGAGAAATAACAATAAATTATGCTCCACCGGGTGTGGTAATGGTAGTAATTAATAAATAAATAAATATTTCCAACACTCACACCTAGCCCCAAAGTAAGCGCTGTAAGGTTTGTGTTATGGTATTCTATCCGTTAGGATAAGTATATTTATATAGCAATACATATTAAACATCCATGGCTGGAGTACAAATGCTCGTATTCATTACACAAACATCTGCCCCCATCGGGATTCGAACCCGGGACCTCTTGATTCGGCGACACAACGAAACTCGGCGTATAAACTACTCGGCCACGGAGGTCGTTATGGAGTAATGGATAGGTTATGGCGGCGGCCGGTTACTATTATGATTAATATAACCTACTAGTGGCCCGCCCTCGCTTCGCTTCGGTGTAGAGCTGTAGTTTTGACTATAATTTTTGTTCTCAGGCTTGTATTATAGTGTCACTGACTTTTTTTTCTTGACCACCGTCTTCTATAAAACTTTACTACATCACTTTGCTCTATTGTCAATGAATTCTGCAGCGTAAACGATACAAGGTTATTTTTTTCACACCCTTTATAGGTAGGTTACATTATCGATTTTTTCATACGGAACGCTAACTTTTTTTAAAATACTCTATAGCCTATGTTCATCAGGGATAATGTAGGATTTTAAATGTGTAAAAACTTTTCAAACCGGTCCAGTAGTTTCGGAGCCTATTTAATATAAACAAACAATCAAATCTTTCCTCTTTATAATATTAGTATAGAATATAAATAAATATAAATATTTCCAACACTAACACCAATTAGCCTAGCCCCAAAGTAAGCACTGTAAGGCTTGTGTTATGGGATGGGACACTAGGGTAACGGATAGAATACATATACTGTACATATATAAGTATATTTATATAGAAATACATATTTCACATCCATGACTGGAGAACAAATGCTCGTATTCATCACACAAACATCTACCCCCACCGGGATTCGAACCCGGAACCCGGGACCTCAGGAGTGGGCGACACCATGAAACCCGGCGTATAAACCACTCGGCCTCAGTCTCAGAGGTCGTCGAGAAGAGAAGTATAGATATGTCGAACATTGTTCATCGAAAGTAACGATTAAAATTAAAAAAAAAAACAGTTGTTTTTGTCTTCTTTACCGTAACGTCAGAAAGTATAAAATTTCAGCGACACTCAAAATGGAGAAACCCATGAAAAGTCCGAGCAAACCGCCACAGTTGGCTAGGAAATCCGTCTGCCCGTACAATTCAGATCTTCTGGACGTGATGAATTGAGGCTCCTTGAAGAACACAAACACGCGGGCGTACAGCATACTGAAATAGACAAAACAAAATACGTATGTTATTAAATGCTGCCTCCTTTACAATTACCTATCTACTTAGATATTTTTTGTACATAATCAAACACCCATTTACTATCGAAAACTTGTGATATACAACTATATACTAGTGAGGGATGGGAGTATAGGTTTTGCCGAGTTAGTCCAGTCAATGAAGGCAAAAATCAGCTACAACCTCCGATTTCGTTGAACCTCTATCGATTTTCATGAAATTGGTGAGTAGGTGGGAGATATCTTAAGAAACAAAAGTGACATAGTGCCAACGTGCGCTTTTGCCCTGGGGGTAGATGCCACCTCTTCCCGGGGGGTGAAAATTATTTTAATGAAATAACTCGAGAAATCGATAGAAATATAAATTCTAAGCAAAATTTGTACTTAATACAAAGATTTTAGAGAATAAATCAATACTTTCTGAGTTATTAAAGACCAATTTTTTTTTTGAAAAGATTGTGATTTTTCGTGATAAAAATACATGTTTTAAAGCGGTTTTTATAAATAAGTCAAAAACTATGAGTTTTTACAAAAAATGTATTATTACTAAAATAAAAGCTAATAAAAAAACAAACAAACCTCTACTTTGAAAAACCTTCTAATATTAATTCAAAGTGAGCTATAGGAAATTGTATGTATATTTTTAACGGCGAGCACTTAAATCTAAGTATTCAAACTTTAATAACGGGAAACCATAAAATGCATCATTTTATGACATATACTTTTTAAACACTTTTTAAAGTCCTTGAAAATACTTTTCTAATGAGCGCTGTAAAAAGTTAAAAGTATCAAAATTGAGCAAGTTATGATAAAAATAAGATGAAACTTTCGATTTTTTTGAAAAAAAACGAAAAATAAAACCTTTGCCATTTCCACAAAAAATCTAATTAATGGTTATCCCTAAAGGACTTGCTTATTTTTAGCATAAGTGACGACCTCAAAAATTTTGCCCTCAAAATACTTTTCTAATGAGCGCTGTAAAAAGTTAAAAATATAAAAATTGAGCAAGTTATGATAAAAATAAGATGAAACTTTCGATTTTTTTTGAAAAAAACGAAAAATAAAACCTTTAGCATTTCCACAAAAAATCTAATTAATGGTTATCCCTAAAGGACTTACTTATTTTTAGCATAAGTGACAACCTCAAAAATTTTGCCCGGTTTAAAATGCTTATTTTTCAAAAAAAAGTATGATTTAATAAAATCGAAATTTTTCATATTTTCGTAAATTTCATTTTCTTTTGAATATAACTTCAAAAATATTGGATATTAGTAAAAATGGTAAATTTCGGTTCTTTTTTTAACAAAGATTTTGGTTTTTATTTTATTTTTATAGAATGTAAAATAACTGAGATAGAGACGTTTAAAGCCTAACTTTTACTGCGAGAACCATGTAACCGGGAGGGACCCTTTAACGCATTATCTTTTAAAAAATAAGGGCTTTAAACCGGGCAAAATTTTTTAGGTCATCACTTATGCTAGAATAAAATAAGCCTTTTAGGGATAACCGTTTTGATTTTTTTTGGAAATGGTGAAGGTTTTATTTTTAATTTTTTCCAAAAAAATCGAAAGTGTTATCTTATTTTTATCATAACTTCCTCAATTTTGATGCTATTAACTTTTTACAGTGCTCATGAGAAAGGTATTTCCGAGGACCTTAAAAATGTTCAGGAAGTACATATATGTCATAAAATGCATCGGTTTCCCTTTATTTAGGTTTGAATACTAAGATTTAAGTAGTCGCCGAAAAAAATGTACATACAATAACCTATAGCTCACTTTAGAAGGTTTTTCAAAGTAGGGGTTTGTTTGATTTTTTATTAGCTTAAATTTTAGTAATAATACATTTTTTGTAAAAACTCATAGTTTTTGAGTTATTTATAAAAACCGCTTTAATATATGTATTTTTATCACGAAAAATCACAATCTTTTCAAAAAAAAAATTTGGTCTTTAATAACTCAGAAAGTATTGATTTATTTTGTGCTCCGCTTCGCTGGGTTCGGCGTGGTCACTTATCCAGCATGCCAAGTGTCGTTTAGGTCGTGTTATGAATAGAATCGGAACTCATTTCAATTCCTACGTGGCCTATTAAAAAAGGTCTAGACTACTTTTTGCAACGGGTAACCTATTTTTCTTCTTTTTTTAATAAATTCGGGAAGAATCACATTTTCTAATCTGGTAGGTAGAGTTACATATTTACCGAGATTCGAAAGCGGAACCATTGTCGAGCAGATGGTATGGACGCGGAGCGCTAACGTTGCATCAAAAGGTCGTGTCGTCTTGTTTCAATTGCAAAGGACTAGATGAGAAAGAGGAACTTATTATAGATAAGGTTACGTTACAATCAAAAACCCTACTAATCTCATCCCAGATTTTCTTTCTAAATATGGGATGATGACTCTGGGAACTTAGAGCTAGTAACCATTTTCAACGAGAAGACCTCACTAAAAGGGCTCCGCGCGTAGCTTAATTCTGTGAATAATGGCAATAAGTAACTACTGGAGAAAGTCGCTCGCTGGTGAGACTTTGAAATTTGGATGTCAATGCTACGCCACTATTGATAAGTTTTAGTTACAAAGTTGGGTCCCTATCATAGGGAAGGCCTGTGTCCCAGCAGCGAGTCCATTAATAGGCTGATAATGAATGATGATAAGTAGACTCGACCGTTACTTACTCTTCTTCTCCTTCCGGCACAGGATATTGATAGGCTTGGTAAATAGCTCTCCAATCGTAGTCGGCTTGCGAGGTCTCTGCCTCATATTCTATGGAGGTACAAGCGGGGAGGCACTTGCATTTAGACGCGATAAGTCTGGCCTCGCCAAGCGTATCATTGTCACTGCCCAATTTTAACCCGTGCTCTATGTCAGCTAGTACAAGCTCCACTAGAATTAAATTAAAATAATAATTTAATATCAGGTGGTCATTGGCGTAGCTGGAGAGTTTTTCAAGGGAGGGAGAGACCGTCCAGTTGAGTTGAACTAAAATAAATTGTGGAAATTGCAAAAATGTTTTTTAATACTCGAATTTTAGGATGGGGTTTCTACTTCCTTCCCCCTAGCTACGATAATGCACGTGATTATCTTCTAGTACCGACAATACAATACAAAACAATTTATTGTACACCACACAAAATATTATCATAAATACAAAGCCATCTAAACATATACATATAATTTTATATTTGTAAGCATTTAACTGCTAGATGTTTAAATCTAATGATTATTAATTTGACTAGTAAAAATCCACGCGGACCAGGCAGCAGACGGGACTCGGACCCGCACCCTTCGCTGACCTTGCAAATGCACTGACTACTATGGTACCGCGGCCTTGATGGCCGTGTGGAATTTTCTCTAGTACTTCTTAGGCTGCAAGGCAGCGCCATAAATATCCATTATTTTTTTACTTAAATGATTAAAATATATATATATAACTTAAATTGTTATTTCTTCTTTTAAATGTTTAATACTTGTATAGACATCTTAGTGGCACCAAATATATTGATAAAGACCTATGATATTTAAAAGTTATACATACGTCATACACGCTTCTAATTTGATAATACGAAAGTCAGGTAATTGCCCGACTTGCATTCAGTCAGACACGCTCTCTCGCCGCGGCTACACTTTACTACAACGTGTAAATATTTTTCGTATTTCCAGACAAAAAGCTCTGTATGTTTTTAGATAGAACACAAAAAAATACGGGAAATATTAGACAAGAAAAACGTGTCATTTCATTCATAAAATAAATTAATGTTAAAATATCATAATTGATTACTTATTTTGACAATTGCTGACACCATTAACACAAAAAGGCTAAAGAGCTAGATGTAATCTGCTTTATGATTTGAATGAGAGTAAAAGAGACTATTTATTTATTGACGTTTCGCAGCCTTTTCAGGTCTGCATCGTCAGAATAATGATTTTTTATTTAAAATTGTCGAGCTACCTTCGAAAGACTTATATTGAGCGTTTGGTTATTTCATTGGAAGATTTTTAAAATTTTATTGTCTATGTATGAATTTATTATTTAATTTACTTAATAAAGTATTTTATTTAAAATTCTTGTTTGTAATTTTGAGTTTATTTATTTGACCCTAACTACCGTAAACTACCACCGGTTCCAAAATTGGGAGACCTTCCTGAGAAGAACCGGCGAAACAAACTCAAGAGAGGCTTTCTATCTCCTTCTTATGTTAAATTATGCAAACAAAAAGAACTAATAGTATCTGATGGTCTTGCAGTGTGTGCTCGGGGTTGGGATTTTATCTCCTGTATAATAGGTTCCCAAGCTGGTGGCATATACCAACCATCTTCCCTATTGAAATTTGGATATTTTTTAATCTCAATAGCCTCGCGCATCATTCGAGGAACGAACCGCCGCTCAGCTGCAAGGATCTGTGGTCTATCAAATCTAATGTAGTGGTTTGGTCCCCCTAATGCATGCAGTGTGTGAACATGCAATCCCAACCCCAAGCGCACACTGCAAGACCATCAGATACTATTAGTTCTTTTTGTTTGCAAGATTTAACATAAGAAGGAGATAGAAAGCCTCTCTTGAGTTTGTTTCGCCGGTTCTTCTCAGAAAGGTCTCCCAATTTTGGAACCGGTGGTAGTTTACGGTAGTTAGGGTCAAATAAATAAACTCAAAATTACAAACAAGAATTTTAAATAAAATACTTTATTAAGTAAATTAAATAATAAATTCATACATAGACAATAAAATTTTAAAAATCTTCCAATGGAATAACCGAACGCTCAATAGGGAAGATGCATCTACAATATTTATGAAAATTTTATGATTAAAATGTTAAAAAAATATAAAAGAAATGCCACTGCAAGGTTTTTATTTTACATAATGTTGTTTTTTAACAATTATTACGAATTAAAAATACTTGAAACGGAACGTATTTTAAAACACCAATCAGCGTTTAGTGACGTCACTCCTGTTATGACAACTTCTTTGAGGTTATGGTTGTTAAAGTAAATATTATTTTATGGGAATATTTATTCCGTTTTTTTACATTTAATACTTGCGTTTATCAAAGCAGACTCCAGGAATTTACCAAGAGTTAGCGTTGACATGGTTATAACTTTTTTGTCCAAAGTGCAGAGTTTTTAAGTGTAGAAATGAAAGGGACTAAATTACTACGGTATGTAAAAATCGTAGTTGTTAAACTTCGTATTTTATTCAGCGGCTTCTACAAATCTTACGGCGATAATGCAATCGGCTATGTTCAAATTAAAAGAGATGGAGAATTATGTACAGTAGTGGGTCGAGTTCTCCGGAGCATAAAGTACGTAAAGAAGGTTATCGTGTTACAGTTATTTTAAATGAAACGCAAAGCTTGGTTCAGTCCTGCCAATGTGAAGATTGTGCCACACATTTTAAACTTTATCTAATTTTCGTCGTCATTCTCCAACTGTAAAATTAAAAATATGTTATGACAGGTTTTGTAAATATTAGGTAGGTTACTAATGCGTTTTTACGTACAAGCAGATTAATTAAGCATATAACAAGTATATTCGCCGACTTACGTCAAAGTGATCTTCTCAGCATCGAATAATGGTCTTTGGAGAATAATTGTCATTTCTCTTCGCAGCTTGAAACCACTTTTTTTCAGTTTTGGGTCAGAAGTTCCAGTCAAAAACAATTTATTTGGGAACTTTGTTGAAGTAGATTGGCACAAAACATGAGTCAACACGGCTTTTTTTCGGAATATTAGTGGTATTGTTATGATCACATGATGTTGATGGATAGTCCATTTTAAAGTCGAAAAAATATGCAAAAGTATGAAAATTTAAAGCCAGCAACGAACAAGTACGACCAGTGACAGACAGGAGCGACGTCATCGCAACCATAGGTTCGTTTTCGCGCGAAAATTTAAATTGTCAATTTAAAACCGCATTTTTTCCGATAAATCACAATGTTTTAATTTTTTAATATATCTGTGGTTTATTCTACATGGAATTCTTTAAAATGAAAACAAAAATAAAAATATTGCATCTTCCCTATTAAGTCTTTCGAAGGTAGCTCGACAATTTTAAATAAAAAATCATTATTCTGACGATGCAGACCTGAAAAGGCTGCGAAACGTCAATAAATAAATAAAGTTTCGTGCATTAACCCGTAAAAACTAGTTCTATTTAAAAGAGACTACTTTAGTGCACGCACTCTATTGGCGACTGTTGCCAAGGCAAGTTAGGGCGGGGACTATTAAATTTGTACCATTTTAAAGAGCATGTTGGCGTATAACCTGTCTATATTATTATACGTCACTGTATAGACCATACATACACAAATCTAGTCCAGTCGGTAGAAATCACAAAAGAGAATAAAAAACAACAAATAATGGGATTTCGCGAGGTTTTCAAAAACTTGAACGATTCCGCACTTCGTATAGAAACTGGGAGAGAATTTCGAAGATAAACGACTCGAACTGCAAATGAAAGACTGTAAAAAGTTGTGCCGTATATAGGACTTGTTTAGGCGATTTTTTGATGACCTAAGAGATAACGTGTTAGTAAAGTTAGATAAAGTGTGAAGGAAATTAAAACATTCCTTAACATAGCGCGGGGACTTAGGATTAAACAGTAGTTTGTAGTGAAGAGTAAGGAAATGAGTATTCCGGCGAAGACGAATAGGTAGCCACTTGAGCAGCGAACGAAATTGAGCAACGAATACCAAAAGTTTTGAAGTCCCTCAAGCTTATTAAGCTGGTCCTCCGTGTTCTTGATAACAAGATAACAGACCTAAGCGTAATCAAGAATAGGGAACAATAATGACTGTGCTCAGGTAACTTTGCTTGTGGCGGGTGCGCGGCCATTCGGAGACGGGTTCCGCGACCACACCCGCTCTCTCGGCATGCACTAGGGGGACCGCGGTCCTCATAGTGCGTGTCGGGTAGCAGGTCCAGGAGTATTGTCTGGTTTTTAGTGGCCCTGTTCAGAGCGCAGGTAGGGCCCTGTTCACATCAGCGAGCTCCAGGGCTGGCTGAAGAGGACAGGGAGGAGTCCCACATACCTTCTTCTCGCTCCCCCAGTGGTTGAAGGATGCGTAAGGCATTTTCCAGACACAAAAAAAAATGGTAACTTTGCTTGTGATGGGTAGGAAATTATGTAATTCCGTAAGTGACGCTGCTGCAGCAAACTGTTTGCGACTGACTACTTGCATTTGTGCCCTAACTACTTAAATTATTGTCGAAAGTCAACCCCAAGTTTTTTACCGATGTGCTAATTGAAATATTATTACCAGCCAGTTGGATTTTGGGTAGAGGCTGCCAATTAAATATCTACCAAATAATATCTACTTATAAGAACTGTAGTGATCGCCTATGAGACAAAATTATCTTTTTAGTCCTTCTGTAAAAGAAACGATAACTTACGGCTTTCCCAAGTGATTACTTTCTCTAGGACGTGTATGCCTTTAGATACTGAGATTCATTCCAAATTATAAACTAAGATATAAATAACTTATAATATAAACTACATGATTATTGCGTGCGAGGTTTTTTGTTAGTGTGTCCTTTCTAGTGTGTCTAACAAAGCTTGTCAAAGGCATGGTATTGTATGTAATGTTAGCTACTTCTAAGGTTAATACAGGGCCGTGTATTTGAAGGCAGGACACGTGATCACATTTAAAAAACGCTTCATTATAGGCTTCTACTTGCGCCAGAGCCTCCTTCCCTATAAATTCGACCCTGAGTAAACGTACATAACTTTAATTTTGTAATATGATAACATTTCGGAAAGTATAATTAAGTATCCTTCCTTTAACTAACACTGTTACGCCACTAAAGCTGCTTTACCAGATACAGCTGACGAAAATAGATAACAATAACAAATTATCTCAGGGGAACAATTGCTTGAAATAAAAACCATCGAATCACATTGTCGGTTGTCGGATTTGTAATTTTTATTGAAAAGACTACCTACTTAGTTCGGTTAAGGCATTGTTCTAATCCGAAACTAAGTAGCATGTCCTATTATTGTGAATTTGTAACAAGAACAAGGCTAACTCTGAGACGCCATTTTATTTAATGTTCGTCAAAGAGGCGTGTTGCCTTCTTTTATTGTGACTCGTTTTCTTAATAAATAATCAAAATTTTGAAATAACATACGTATGTAAGTATTTATTAGATTATTTTCAGAGCTCTTATATGAAAAATAGTGATGAAGACAAACTGACTTTAAGTCTCCTGCATGACCATTGCATGACCGCTGCGATATGCTAATAACGCGTTTTTATCACTCTCAATTGTCAAATTACTATGGAGTTTGACTGTTCAATTGTGGTGCTCATGCTACAGAGACCGATTTACCTATTTAACTTATACTGACTTTTATTAAATTACCACAATTTGTTTTGATCATATTTAGTATGTCGCTAAATACTACATTTCTAATTCTTAGGTATTAAAATAATTTAGTCCTTCTAAACAAGCATCATCGGTAGTACAGTGATAGAAAACTCGCTTGCCCGCTGGTGTGGGGCCGCTCGGTTTGATTCCCAGCCCAGGAAACAAATTTTCTTTTATTTTCCACTTTTACCAGCCAGCCAGAGTATCATCAAATAACTACGTATTACCCAGAATTCTCTCTTTTATATCTCTCAAAATTGGAGACGATGTAACACATTTGAAAGGACATTGTTCTGCGTACATACATAGTTAGCCTAAGAACCAACAATCATGAAATATTATTTTATAGGTTCGAAATCGCAAGTAAATGACTGTAAAAACAAAGATTATTGACTGACACTTCTGAGAACTTAAATTATTAGGTAAACTAAAATTTTTTTGAGGTTATGTTTTATATTTAATGAAATATAAGTCAACCTATGAACTTAGTATAAAGTGAATTAATATTACAACTAATTAATTTTATTCGGTGCGATTTTAAAGAATAACTATTAGGAAAGGTTAAAACTTGGTTAGGTAGGAATCATGAATAAAATAAAAACTGTAGTTTTGCTTCTTATTATTTATTGACTATTTTTCACATAATTGTATCATATTGTATAATGTATTTATTTGTTTAACACATGTATATTGTATAAATATGCAGCGTGAATGTGCATCAGGTGCTCTTGAATAATTTGGCAGTATGATCCTCTCAGGATGTTGTGGCACAGGTTCACTAGCACTTGGTAATAAGGTCTTTGCTCCTTGCGCCTTGGTAACATCGATGCCATATTAGATAGCCGAAATAGTAATAGTTAAATTAAAGGAAAAACAATCGCAAATAAACACACACAACAGGTAATCCGAAACGAGAATTTTCCGTATATAAAAAGTACTCTTTGACGATTGACGAGAATGCACGAATACCACAGATTATTATGAATGCAAACTGCCTGCACCACAACCACAGAGTATCGAGTTTATGCCGGCCCTTCACTTGACAACAGTTTGTCCTCATCATGCTTATTAAGGAATAAAAAGGACAGACTGATGTCATGTTTTTAAATAGCAAATACGAATAGCCAAGTGAAGTGCCGGCATTAGGAAGAAAGTGTTTTATATTTGTTTCTTAGGTTTTCACGCACATCACTCATTAAATAAAACTAGTTTAAACGGGATAATGCACGAAACTTTATTTATTTATTGACGTTTCGTAGCCTTTCCAGGCTTCGTCGTCAGAATAAAACTTTTGTTTAATTTGTCGAGCTACCTTCGAAAGACTTTTATTGAGCGTTTGGTTATTTCATCGTTCGATTTTTAAGTTTTATTGTCTATGTATCAATTTATTATTTAATTTACTTAATAAAGTATTTTATTTAAAATTCTTGTTTGTAATTTTGCGTTTATTTATTTGACCCTAACTACCGTAAACTACCACCGGTTCCAAAATTGGGAGACCTTCCTGAGAAGAACCAACCATCTTCCCTATTGAAATTTGGATATTTTTTAATCTCAATAGCCTCGCGCATCATTCGAGGAACGAAACGCCGCTCAGCTGCAAGGATCTGTGGTCTATCAAATCAGCTGAGCGGCGTTTCGTTCCTCGAATGATGCGCGAGGCTATTGAGATTAAAAAATATCCAAATTTCAATAGGGAAGATGGTTGGTATATACCACCAGCTTGGGAACCTATTATACAGGAGATAAAATCCCAACCCCGAGCACATACTGCAAGACCATCAGATACTATTAGTTCTTTTTGTTTGCATAATTTAACATAAGAAGGAGATAGAAAGCCTCTCTTGAGTTTGTTTCGCCGGTTCTTCTCAGGAAGGTCTCCCAATTTTGGAACCGGTGGTAGTTTACGGTAGTTAGGGTCAAATAAATAAACGCAAAATTACAAACAAGAATTTTAAATAAAATACTTTATTAAGTAAATTAAATAATAAATTGATACATAGACAATAAAACTTAAAAATCGAACGATGAAATAACCAAACGCTCAATAAAAGTCTTTCGAAGGTAGCTCGACAAATTAAACAAAAGTTTTATTCTGACGACGAAGCCTGGAAAGGCTACGAAACGTCAATAAATAAATAAAGTTTCGTGCATTATCCCGTTTAAACTAGTTTTATTTAAGAAAGTGTTTTGTTTGCAGAGCTGTCATAGATTATACACATAAAATGGTATTTATTGTATCAGATTATTTAGTAACTTTTTAATTTAGCTTACTTAACTGGAAGTGTCCGTCACAATCTAAATACTGATAATTATCGCAAAAAATATACTAAGAATTATCATAAATGCCAAATTCGTGTTGGTTCTTAGGCCAATTTTAACATTGTCCTTTCACATGCATTTGTACTCACCAATTTTTTTTTCATCATTAGGTATCTAGTGAGAGATCTAATTACATGAGATGAGAGTAATTAGATCGGCATATTTTAAGCATATGTAGTAAGAAGGTAGATACTAGGTGCCTTTACATTTTGTTTTCAAAATGTTTTTTTTTTAAAAAAGGGGAAGAAGATCATTTACATGAAAATAGAAAGAAGATTACTCACTTTGTGCTGCCTTTATGCAGGCTACGCTGCCTGAATTACATACTTCCATATTGGGTCCATCTGCAATTAAAAAATGATTTAAAATAACATACTTAATAATGTACATATTACAGGAGTGCTTTATAGTAACTTTCGGAATTGTCGGTTTTAATTAAGCCATTGATCCCGACTGCAGATACAGCCGGGACCGTGCTGCCCATGCTGTTTGGTGGGTAACCAACTAATCAGTACTGAGTTCGCGTGGTCAATGGTGGCTTATGCATCTCCCTATTCTGTTCTTCTACATAGAATGAAATGCGTGTCTGTGCTCTTGATGATTTAGGTAACTGTTAGATTTTTATAAAGATATATAAAGCGAGGGAGGCTGATTCAATTCCAACATTTTAGTTCAGGCCGTATGAGCATAGTTAATCTTTTTCTAGTAAAAAACACCATTCTTTATGCATGGCAAAAATTGTGTTGTGAGCCAAGGTTCTAATTATCGAATCTTTGATCCTCATCTGGTCTTATTACAAATTTAATTGAACTTTTAGTAAAAAAAAAACGGATATATACTTGGAATTTTGATATGTTATTTTGAATTAGGTTTTGAACAATTTTATTTACTTCCAACATGATGTAAATTTATGTACTGTTGAATGTTTAGATTGACCGGATTAATATATAAATGCGTATTTATCAGGGAAGGTTTTAGTATATAATTTACTGGCAGTGTCTCCTGGTTTCGTTCGCGTAAATCGATTGGAAAAGTCGTCAATCGACCTACGCGTGTAAAATACAGTCGTATGCCGTATTACACAAATAATACATTATTATTATAAGAATTTAATCAAAAAAATAAAACCGACTTAAAGGTCCTTTTGGGATTCTGAAGTCGGTTTTACGTTTTGTTTAAAAAAATTAATTTCCTCCATTTTAGTTAGTTACATCGTATAAGTATACGACTGGATCAAACTATATATTTTTTATGTGACCAAACGGCAAGTAAGTATCACCAATAGAACAAAAAAAGAATCACTCAAACCGGATAGGAAATCTTTAAGTAATCGGTGTACATATGTTCATCGTGAAAACTATATCGCCCAGGTAACAAAAATGCTTATAAAATTAAAACTACTGTTCCAAACTGGATTAAATTTGTATGGGACCAAATGGCAACTATGTACGAGTATTACGCATCGAACAAAAAGAATCACGTAAATCGTATCAATAATGTCGAAGTAATCGGTGTACATACATAAGAAATAAAACATACCGACCGAATTGCGAACCTTTAGCAGGGAGGTTATGATAATGGTATCGACTTCAAATATATCAGTCAGTAAATCTTATTTTTTCTTCGGTTGATTTTTTACTATAAAATATTTTTCTATTATGAAAATATTAGTTTAGGATAGTTACTTAGATACAATATTTGTTTATTAATTAGAAAACAAAATGTATAATACAATAAAATTAACTACCTACTTATAAAATACAAACTAGTAAAAATAACTTAAATCATACAAACAAAAAAATATATACAGGAACAATGAACCTAAAACTAAAAACCTTAAAAAATATAATATAATAACTAAAATTAACATTATGTACAAGAATAATATACAAATACTAATAATATTCAAATATCACCCCGTATCGTTTCTGGCGCAAAGGTGCCCATTATGCTTGCAGCATTGCCAATGTAATAATTTTAGTTATTTTAATCAATAATTTTAGTTATTATTATGAAATAAATATATGTAATAAAACTTTGTCTACATATAAATGCTTAAAAATATAATAATCTACATATAATTATTCGAATTTGATTGTTAGTATAGTTTTTTAAATGTTCCTAATGCAACTGAACTAGAAATGTCTGCTGTCATTCATTTAAGCATAAAATTGCTTAAATGGCGGCAGGCATTTTTCATTTTTGTTCTAGGTACATTCTATCTACATTATACTGAGTTGCATTAGTTACGTTTACGTTAGAGGTATAGCCAAATAGGAAAGAAATAGGTAATACAGTAAAACGCAAATAAAAAGTGGATTAGTATTACTTGACAGACAGCATACTTACGAGGCATGCCGAAGTGTACACAACCACATCTGGCGTAAGTGAAGTTTGTGAGGCATTCCATTTCGCAATTCGATTGGGTGTAAATTTTGAAATACTTCAGGTAACGTTCACTTGGGAAATAACATTGTCGCCTGAAAAGTTATACGTGGTCTAATTGTTGTTAGGTAAGTTAGAAAAGAAAATACTTTCAATATCTACATTTTGTAGTGTGACCTTAGCCTTAAGCCAAGGCCAGGTCCAGATGTGTGTATAGATTTGTTTCTTGAATTTATTTGAAAACCTTTTTTTGTTATTCTTTCGCAAAAGTAACTACGACTTTAAAGTTTCGCAAATACACTTCCGGACACATCTATCGGCCTACCTGGAATTTCAAGTTTTACATTTATCAAAAAGTTATTAACTACGTAGTTTTGAAGCTGATTTATTAACCATCTTTTCGTGTGTTTTAAATTATTGCGCAACCATTAACATATTATGTTATTGCTACAGACCGTTGAAAGTTATAACACTAAGTGGGCCGATAGATGTGTCCGGAAGTATATTTTTGGATCAGTTTTTGTAAAGATTCCATAAGGTATGACAGTTTATTATAAAGATTTTCGTTTAATATCACAAAATTATACAATTAGAAAGACCGTCATAAAGTAACATAATTTGTGAGTTATTCGCATAATTGATACCCTATAAGGAAGTAAAGCGGAAAGCTTAGAATAAAAAAAGGACTCTTCAATTTCCATATTTCATAAAATGCAAGAGATATCCTATTAGAACGGAAAGAAATAAAACAGCTGAAATCATGTATGTAGACCACGAGACGCGCCGCGGGCAAAAAGCTAGTAAATAAATGATGGAGAATTGCTACATTTTTAAAGATCTAAGATTAAACAATAACGAATATTAACAATTCCTACCAACTCCCTAATAATTTAAAAATTGGGAGAATAGTTAATATTTTATAAAAAATGTACAAAGATAATTGATAATAATAAGTTTTCATAAACGCTTACCTGTCTGGTGAATATGGTTTTAGACCATCTGATGTAGTCATCATTTTAGGTTTTACAGCGACGACTACTTCTTGAGACAAAGGTGACCGGAAATATTGTTGTGATAGCCTAGGCAATTCTGCGGGATTGTGGAGCAAAATCTAAGAAATAATACAAAACAGACTATATAAGTAGGTACACAACCGTCAAATAATAACGAAGTTATAAAACTTTTGATAGTTACAAGTTGTTAGCATTTTTTTAAAGATAAGTAATTAATTGGTATGCCAATTTAAATTTTGGTTATCAAACAAAAAACCTGTAAATCATTTTGCCCGCATAAATATATTTTGTTAGCAATAACAAAAATCAAGCTGCAATTCTTGTTCTGTAAACAATCATGATAATGGTTAGTTATTTAAACATAAGCACGCAGTTTGTGTTACTGCTCAAATATAGAAGCTTGTCGCCAGATTTCAGTAGGTACATAAATATGGTTTAAAATTTTGAAAAATAAATCAATCAGATCACACTACTTACACAGGTAAATCTCGCGACAAGCTTTAAGACGTCGTCCAACGCGTTAGGGCGAGCGTACGATGGCTCGATGCGATCTCGTCGTGCGATGATTGAACAGGGATGTCCCAATAGATTGCGCGACGCCCATCGTTTGATGGAGAGCAACAGACGATATGTCGCTATTTAAAAACTTTCGTTGGCGCGCCGGTCCCCAGATAGCCCAATTCGCGCTCGTCACCCAATATGCATGCAGACCCTGGAGTGCGTATGCGATTCTGAAACCTTCTTCATCCTTTAACCAGTGTTGCCCATCGCCCCGCTGGTCCCGTGTCCTACGGGTTGCTGTGCTCGTGTAATGACGTGTGACCAATTAGGTTTTATATTATATAAATTGTGTAATGACGTTATAAGCTTATAGTTAAGGTTTAAAAGGAAATTTTAATAAAAAAAAAAATAAAAGCTTGTTTAAAAAAAACTTTTTATTTTTAATTTTTATAAATTGTGTTATGACGTTATAATTTGATGGTATAAACGTTTTAAAGAAAATAAATATTTTATTCCTTTTAGCGCATTTAAATAAAGCTTCTTTTAAAAAAGTTTTTTTTTGGAACGAAGTTCCTTACGGCAGGCTTGGAGGGGATAGGGATTTTGCTGCGCGACCGAACTGAAAAAAATGTGATAGTAAAACCGTAAGAAAAAATCCGTGGAAAAAAGGACGTGCGCAGGCGCGACGAAGTTCCTTACGGCAGGAGAGAGAGCGACGAGGGTGCATCACTGAAATATTGTGATATTACACCAACACTGAATATGTGTGAAGTTATAGGGAGTGGTAGAGCGACGAGGGTGCATCACTGAAATATTGTGATACTACACCAACAGTGAATATGTGTGAAGTTATAGGGGGTGGTAGAGCGACAAGGGTGCATCACTGAAATATTGTGATATTACACCAACACTGAATATGTGTGAAGTTATAGGGAGTGGTAGAGCGACGAGGGTGCATCACTGAAATATTGTGATACTACACCAACAGTGAATATGTGTGAATTTATAGGGGGTGGTAGAGCGACAAGGGTGCATAACTGAAATATTGTGATATTACACCAACACTGAATATGTGTGAAGTTATAGGGGGTGGTAGAGCGATGATGGTGCATCACTGAAATATTGTTATATTATATCAACACTGAATATGTGTGAAGTTATAGGGGGTGGTAGAGCGACGAGGGTGCATCACTGAAATATTGTGATATTACACCAACACTGGATATGTGTGAAGTTATAGGGAGTGGTAGAGCGACGAGGGTGCATCACTGAAATATTGTGATACTACACCAACAGTGAATATGTGTGAAGTTATAGGGGGTGGTAGAGCGACAAGGGTGCATCACTGAAATATTGTGATATTACACCAACACTGAATATGTGTGAAGTTGTAGGGGGTGGTAGAGCGATGATGGTGCATCACTGAAATATTGTTATATTATACCAACACTGAATATGTGTGAAGTTATAGGGGTGGTAGAGCGACGAGGGTGCATCACTGAAATATTGTGATATTACACCAACACTGGATATGTGTGAAGTTATAGGGAGTGGTAGAGCGACGAGGGTGCATCACTGAAATATTGTGATACTACACCAACAGTGATTATGTGTGAAGTTATAGGGGGTGGTAGAGCGACGAGGGTGCATCACTGAAATATTGTGATATTACACCAACACTGAATATGTGTGAAGTTATAGGGGGTGGTTGAGCGATGATGGTGCATCACTGAAATATTGTTATATTATATCAACACTGAATATGTGTGAAGTTATAGGGGGTGGTAGAGCGACGAGGGTGCATCACTGAAATATTGTGATATTACACCAACACTGGATATTTGTGAAGTTATATCAAGCTGTGGACCAGTAACGCCTGTGAGACATGATTATAATTACAAGGTGACTACTTATCAGGAGGTGGCAGAGCGACGGGGGTGCATCACTGGATTATTGTGACATTGTAGTTTATTCTAAACTGTGGGCCTGTCCTGCCTAGCATCCTTTACGAACGCTAGCGGGACATGATAATAAGGTGCGTATGTAGGGGGTGGCACAGCTACGAGGGTGCAGCACTGGAATATTGTGACATTACACGAAATCTGGATATTTGTGACGTTATACCGAGCTGTGGACCAGGAACGCCTGTCATCTGCTGTAAACTTAAGCTAGACATGATAACAAGGTCAGTACTTAACAGGGGGTGACAGAGCGACGGGGATGCAACCCCAAATTATTGTGGCATTATACCAACACTGGATTATTGTCGTATATTATACTAAACTGTGGTTATTATTGTGGCATTATACCAACACTGGATTATTGTCGTATATTATACTAAACTGTGGTTAAGTGGCAGAGCGACGGGGCTGCATTACTGGATTACTGTGACATTGTAGTTTATTATAAACTGTGGGCCAGTCCTGCCTAGCAATCTTTACGAACACTAGCTGACCGAACTGAAAAAAATGTGATAGTAAAACCGTAAGAAAAAATCCGTGGAATAAAACCGTTAAATGAGACGTGCGCAGGTGCGACGAAGTTCCTTACGGCAGGCTTGGAGGGGATAGGGATTTTGCTGCGCGACCGAACTGAAGAAAATGTGATAGTAAAACCGTAAGAAAAAATCCGTGGAATAAAACCGTTAAATGAGACGTGCGCATGCGCGACAGTCGCATACACAAGCGAGCTTGCAATTTGTGTCGATTCTACATTAGCCGAAGGAACTTCGTGCCTACCTGGTGTCCCACGACACCACATCATTTTATTTTCATTTATTAACTTTATTTAATTACACATTTATGTGCGACTGTGTGTGATATAGATAGCTCCACAGTAAGCATTAAGGACCCACCTTAAAACCTTGAACGGGACCTTTGCACAAGTAATCCAAATTGATTTCTTTCGTCTTCATTAAAAATGTTAATCCAGCTTTGGCACCATGTCCCTAGAATACAAACTTTATCAATGATCTTAAATAACAATAGTTATTTTTACCATATATCTTTATCTTATATTCTAATACAGTATTTTTCTCTTCCCTTCGGATCGCGCTGCTTAAGTTTTTAAATAAATACAATATATTGTCTCACTCCCAATTTTGATTGAGGCTGGATCAGTCTACAGAGGATGCTGTAACTTCCCTAATCTCTTTTGTAACAGAGAAACGGATCAAAAGAATAAATGTTTGACAGTGTTTCTTGATATAAAAAAGCTTTTGACACCGTGTCTGTTCCCATCCTTATCCAAAAGTTGCAAAATACCGGAATACAGGGCAACCCACTAAAACTTCTTCATAACTATTTATTTGACAGAAAACAAAGGGTTAAATTGGAACAGTACGTAAGTGGGGATGCTGAAGTGACATACGGAGTTCCTCAAGGAAGCGTATTGGGCCCTACTTTATTTTTAATATATATTAATGACTTGTGTAACTTAGGGATCAAGAACGCTTAAATTCTCTCATACGCGGATGATACAGCAATCGTCTTGTCTGGAACCTCCTGGGGAGATGTAAAAAATAGTGCTGTGATAGGTATCAATAGGCTCGTATATCCACTTGGTTGAAATGCAACTTACTCTCACTCAATACATCTAAAACCAAATATATATTTTTTAGCATCTATGACAATAATCAGCCCACAAACTGTTTCTGGCTCAAGGTCCACGACTGCAGTAACCCAACAGACATAAACTGCAATTGTCCAATGATTGCAAAGGTTACTAATTATAAGTCTATATCTCTACATGTTGTAATCGATCAGAAGCTTGCTTGGTATCCTCATCTTGACCAAAGGAGTGAGAAAATTGATATGGGTATTCCGCACACTAGGATATGTGGTTCCAGGCAGCTTTTAAATCTGATATTATGGACACAAATACTCCAAAGAATGTTTTGCGTAGAATTTGCGTTGCCTTGGTTCAGTCTCTCTTGGTACATTGTATTCTTGTGTGGGGCGGAGCGGCGAAAACAAGATTTATTGAGGTTATTATTAACATATAATACTATTTCTTAAAATATAATACTTAATAATTGACATCTACCCCCGCCCATATAATGAGTGTAAAAAGTTAGTACACACTGAACTTGGTTAGGATTCCTGAATTATGAAAAAGTTGAATTATTTTTGCAACAATATATATAGATATATATACAGACAACTTAAACGCACTTCTTTTATTTATTTATAAGACTCACGATCACGCAAAAACAAACATGCGCGCCACGCACACATACACTCAAGTACAAACAAACATACATACACGTATTCATGCATAGGCACACTTATATCTAAGTTTTAAGTAGAATAAAAAATACATATACATATTTGTAACATTTTTATATAATATAGATATGTAATAGGAGCGGACTCACCTGGCACAACAAATCAATGATTTGCTTAAAAGGGGAATTCTGTCACTAAGTAATTTAATTTTTTTTTAATCTGCAGCTTTGAGATTGAAGCGTCAATTCATTCTGTAACTTACCGAACCCCTATGAGGGTATGTCTCTATTGGTGCTTCAGGTGGATATCCATTTTCCAAATTCCAAAATGTACTTAAGTTATCCGGTCTAGATAAACCTTTTTCTAAATATGGATAGTCATCGTGTAAGCTGAAACAATTGAAAATAAGTCATTGCCAGATTTTTGGTTCTCATGGCATCAGCGACAGTAGAAATAGTATTATATTTTAAGATAATCTACCTTTTTAGGGTTCCGTACCTCAAAAGAAAAAACAGAACTCTTAAAGGATCAGTTTGTTGTCCATCTGACAGTCAAGACCCTTTATCTCAGGAAAGCATAGAGATATCGAGTTGAAATTTAAACCATATACTGAGCATACCCTTAAAGCTATGAACTCAAACTTCTAAGTTAACGAATAAAGAGATACGGTCGTTTATGTTGCGTACCTACAAATTTGTACGGCTACGGAATCTTCGGTGGGCGAGTCCGACTCGCACTTGTCCGGATTTTTTATTACCTTCGAAGGCAGACGAGCAGATGGGTCACCTGATGTTTAGTGTTCACAGTCGCCCATGGATATCAGCAATGACAATGACACAATCGTGCCGCTGCCTTTCGTTGAGCGCTCTATTTAAGTTCATTATATAAATTTATGGTCCGTGGAATAAAAGATCTCTGGAATATGGGTTAAAATGGTGCTGTGAGTATTAACAACCAGTGGGCAACCAAAGCCCATGCCCAGTTCTAAAGGCTCCAAATATTCCGCAAGCTTGTGATCATCGACAGTCCGAATCGCGCGTCTTTGTATAGAATCGAGGAAATCCAACTGATATTTGGGAGCTCCAGCGCAGAGATGTGAGTACCTACTCCACATCGGGCCTAATTTGTGCTTGGACCAATAAAGAACTCCAAGCTTTTAGAAGTCAGTTTGGCCTTGCCCACTTAAAGGTTTCCATATTGGATGTCACACGAGGTATCAACGCCTAGTATTCCAATGCTATTGAAATTATGCAGCGGGACTCCTTGGATTTGTGGTAAAAACAGCAAATGAGTTCTCTTTACAGTGAATGCGCAAAATTGTGTCTTGCTAGGGTTGTACGAGACAAGGTTCTGACTTCCTCATTCGGAGACCCGCTCATGAGAACCCTCCACTATGGACACAAGCTTCGTCCGCCATTTCAAAACTACAGCTCTAGGGGTGTTTGGGTGGCCGGCCGGTATACCGCGCGTCACACATGCTGTCATCTGCACAGCAATGCATGCCGGGAACTAACAGCATGTCATTGATATGTAAGATGAACAGTGTCGGGGAGAGCACCCAACCTTGTGGAACTCCAGCGTTTATAGTCATGGATTCGGAGCAACAGCCATCGATAACGACTGTAATGCTCCCTCTGTTCCAGAAGCTTGATATCCACTTGTAAAGCTCTTCAAGTAGCCCGTAAGATGGTAACTTAGATAAAAGTGTTCTTTGCTAGACTCTGTTAAACGTCTTGGCGATATCCAGACTCACTACAAGGGGCTCACCCTTGCTCTCGACAGCTTGAGCCCATAGGTAGAATTAGACAAGTGGAAGATCACCAGCCGAACGGGCGTGATGGAAACCGAAACAGAACGAACCAGGTAATGATTCGACGACCCTGATGGGGTATCGACCACCACCATGTATCTGTCTGGTTGTGTCGTTAAAAGTATATCCAACAGGGATCTACCTCTTTGAGGGATGTATGATATATTCTAATTAACTAAATAGTAAATACCTATGTGTTAAGGAAAGTTGAGGCATAAACTATTGTTGACTTTTCTGTTTTGCTATTGTTGTATTCTATCTTTAGAATAAATATTAACTGGAGACACGTCTATTTGGGTTATGTTGATCAAATAGGCAATCTTGCTTACTTTTCTACTCTGAATAATTCGTCAGCGGATAACATGTTAAAAGTGTAGCATAGACCTTCTTCAGTGAGTATAGGAGCAAAGAGATTTTCACATGTTTCCTTTGGTATATCTTGCCATTTGCAGCCGTAAAATACTTCGGTTATGTTCGGCGCCACCTGTAATTCATATCAATTTATAGGTAATTTGTATACTCACAAAGAGGACATTTTTTTTTTATTTCTTTGAAATATATATTTACCGATTTAATATTTTCTACTGTTTGACTAGCATTAGAAAATTTTCTTCCAGAAGCAGAAGCCAAATGGTCATCACAAACTAGAGTCAAATCTTCGAACATATTACGACTGAAAAACACGAAAATGGTACAAACGTTTTTTATACAATTAGACAAAACTAAAAGATGCTAATATATTCACTCACCCGCAAAAATAACGGGTCATCTTGAATACAGCAATATCTTCAAGATATGTTGAATAAATGGTTATTTTGAATCAATCAGATATATCTTTATTTAAGGAGCTAGCCTATGTTGTTTTAAAGTGATTTGGAGTTAACTCTGTGACCCTTTCATTTTGTGGGCGAGAGTATTTGTAGAAATACAAACAAACTGCTTTAGTTATTTATGACTTAGGTAGAAATGCTTGAATTCATCATACAAAAAACTTCCCCACTGGGATTCGAACCCAGGTCCTCCGAGTAGGCAACACCTCGTAAGCTGGTGTATACCACTCATACCACGGAGGTCATTCTTTATGATAACAAAAGATCCTTCACTATAAAATCATAGTTAATTTACTCACTCTTCCGGTGGCATGTTTGGTCGTGTTATTGTACTGTTATATATATGATAATTAGCAGTAAAATTAAATTTGGTTTGCATAGATTTTGTTTCAAAACATAACGTTACCGCTGGGTATGGAATCTGTAGAAAAAAAATAAGATTTATAAGATAAGCTAAAAAGGAAATTGAAAAAAATATTTTGGTTCGCAATTTTTCAAGCTTTTGTAGGTCTCAAATTGCGAGTTTACATGTCTCATATACACACACCTGAGAATGTCAAAGTAACCTGCACTTTTATCAGTTGGTGTTTTATACAAGTGGCCCAATGCCCAAATAGTGGCGTCCAAATTTTTTTTGGATTGCTGACATCTGGGGTTACGCTGAAACACCCCTTAATGTTACAAGATTTTTTAGTTTACGTAATAAGTGTTTTTTCCATACTTATTTAAATTTTCGACCTAACTATTGAAAAAATAAATTATTTACTACATTTTTTCGTATCTTAATCCGCATCATTTGTACATGGGGTATATATCAGAGTAGAATAATAAAAACCCAGATGTCAGCAATCCAAACGTTTTTTAGAGTTATTTTTAGACCTGGTAAAGCAATATTGAAGTGAAAAATATGTAGTTACCTGCCAAACCGGTGTAGTATTTTCAGCGAAGCTCACTATCACTGGGCTTTCATTCCACTTAATCCAAACTTTTCTAATAAGACCAGCGCAGAGAACCACACAACAAATGAACATAAAGAGCCAAAATATTCTGGAATTTAAATCAGGGGAGTATATATTTTATGCCACAATTAATATTTAAGAGAGAGAAATAAGAGTGCAAAAACTTACTTTTCCAAAGGGGTGCGCTCTTTTTCTCCGATGTATTTCAGGCCATGTAGGTTTGAGTTCGCGGTGTAATCTATTATATATTCTTTGATGGCATTACGCTTTTTATTTAATTTACTTGCAGCTTTGTTTTGTTTTTCTTCATCACGCTCTAAATCGTTACCAGCTCCACTGTTAGACCTTGTTGGACATAAAAAAATCCATCACTGATTTTATTTTTACATATTTTTTTCAATTAATTATTTGGAACTTTGGAACTTATGAATAGAAGCTTTGATTTTTATTTTGGCAAAAGCTAATGATGTGTTTTTGCTGTATACCTCGAGAGTTGTTTCATGATGCCGGCGCTTGACTGAGTGGGGACAGTCCAAATATTTGGGCTTGGTTACGAATGTCATAATTAGCTGCCCTCCCGAGGGATACAACCGTGAATTAAGTAAAAAGGGTGTATTGGTATAATGCTGAAATATTAATTTAATGAAACTGCAAAATTCCTAGAAACCACTAAACCGCACCCATGAATTAATTTGAATGACTTTCGAAATGAAATGAAATGTTCTGTAACTCTCTATGATCTTCCATCGACATCCCTTTTTGTGCGACTTTGACAACAGCAGCATGAATAAAGTTCATCTATACTTATAATAAATCTGTAGAGAGGTCAATTCTGTACATGAAATATATTTTCAAAATAACTATCAGGGGATTAGTGATCGATACTGATGCCAAAAATGCAATCAGTAAAATTTTTGTCTGTCTGTCTGTCTGTGTGTATGTTCCTTATAGAAACAAAAACTACTCGACGGATTTTAACGAAACTTGGTACAATGATTCTTTATACTCCTGGGCAGGTTATAGTATACTTTTCATCACGCTACAGTCAATAGGAGCAGAGAAGTGAAGGGAAATGTTGGGAAAACGGGAGAAGTTACTCCATTTTTTTAGCTTCCGTTGCGTGTGCAGCCTTAATGGTTAAAGTTACATAGAAATCATGTATGACGGAAATATTCTACATAAAATTGTCTAAAAAATATCCTGCAACAGCATATGTCTATATTTTATGGTTGACTCACAATAACACGTGTAACTCCTGATAGCTTAGCAGTTCGGAGCATTCTGATTATATAGGGTGAAATTGAATGTTTTAATGAAACTTCGTGAGATTGTTGGGTTACGAGTATAGAGTATGCCTGATTTTTTTCGGATTTTTTTGAAGTATTTTTTTTCATGTATTTATTTATAATTTGTGTATTTTTTTGTCCTTTCCTCCTTTTGAGTAGTTATTCATATTAAACAAACATGCTTACATATCCAGTGAAAAACAACTAATAAATAAGCACTTCTAAAGAACGGAAAAACAGTAAAATTCCACCGCGGTTCAATACTTGGGTCAGAATGAAATTTATTACCAGGTATTCAAAAGTACTTACGAGACCGATGTACCTATTAATTTTTTTCTCTATAACTTCCCAATAAATCACCAAACCTACTTTCGTAAAGCCTTGTGGCTCTGCTGAGTATTCCGTGACACTCGCAATAACAACACACCATATCCAAATTCTTATATTGAGGGCACAGAAGAAGAAGAACTAATCAAGGCATTATTTGCAAATCTTGTCTTGTCACAAATTTAAAAGATACGCACGCGCGCTTGAGACTCCGCTCGCTCACTGCGCTGTGCACCGCGCATACCTAGATAGGTAGGCAGGAAGGTATTCAACGGCGGGAGCGGTCATTGCTCCCGGCCGCCCGTCTCCTGTTTTTACGTCTTTTTTAGTAGTGCTTATTACTTGTTTTTTACTTACTCTGTATGCATGTTTTAAAAGAATAATTATTTAGTACCCAAAAGGAGGAATGGACTTAAAATATAACAAAAAAAAACAAAATTTTATTTTAAATCATTTTTTAAAAAATCCGAAAAAATTCAGAGATAGTCTATATACGTAACCCAACATTCCCACGAAGTTTCATTAAAACATTCAATTTCACCCTGTATTTGTTTACTCTTACGTTTATAATACTCTCACTCATCATTTAAAAAAGTTAACATTATTACCTATTCAATAAAAAAAGAATCATAGAAATCGGTATAGAAACACCAAACTTATACATGAAATAAGCCATCGCGCCGTCGCACGTGAATACTGGATCATGCTTAAGGATAATTTTTGTGTAACGGTTGCCGCGCTCGCACGGGTCGCGGCGGCGCGGCGGTAGGTATAAGAAGAATGTCATTGTGTATAATACAGGCCTGAGAACAATAACTACAGTCTACACTTCAGCTCTACACCAAAGCGAAGCGAGGGCGGGCCACTAGTCTTTAATAAAGTAATTCTAAAGTACTTTTTTAGCGAGAGACCTTTTTCTGTCTTTGTTTTCCATAAACAACTTACATTTTTTTAAAGAGATAGGAACCCACTCAAATATACAATCATTTCCAAGCAATAAAGTTCAGCCTCTATAAAAGTAAAGCCAAATGAGTGTTTTTTGAGTTGTAAGTCGCGTAATTTCAGCTGCATTCGGTTTTATAGAATAGTCCTCTCTCATTTTGCGTCGTGGTGTGAGTCAAACAAGACTTTTCTATGAAACCGAATGCAGCTGAAACGACGCGTAAGTAGTAATTAGTTGGGTGAAGGTGCAAGCGGCCCTTAGACTATTGAGCACCATAGCTGTACTGTACCTATCAAAGAAAAAAATATAAAACTGAACAAAAAGACAACGAATAAATTTAAAGTGAAAAGAAGGAAGTGCGTACTTTATATAACGGTGCCGCAAATTGTTTTGGTTTAAAAAAATAACAATAAATGACTATTCTGTTTTATAACTTACATTTTGCCGTGAAGTTTAACTGTCTTCTCACGGAATGACCGTGAAATTGGGTGGGAGACGGGACGGGTGCGCACTACGCACCGTGGTAGAAGAAGTCTGTAGAAGTTTATGATTTCGGTGTCTTGCGGTCCGTGTCAGTTTCATTGGTCATCCTAGTCTGTCCACACTACAATACCGTGACCCGTCGACCGTGAGATGACGATGGACGCAACGTCAAAGTTATAAACAGATAAAGATTTTTTGCTTCTGTTCTTAGTTAATTTGGGACCTAGTCCATTATATGGACTGTTCATTAACAACATCATCACTTTACTGCTGGGGTCGTGCCTCATGCTGACAAACTAAGTAGAGATAAAGAGATAGACGGACATAAAATAGATAGTACAGAAGTCAAACTCATGTATGTACTTCACTTTTCATACCTATTCTCGGCGACGCGACGCCGACGCGGCTATGGTCGCGCTAGGATTGTCAACTTGGGCTTTTATAAATTAAATATGCTTTTGTACTTATACAATATGTAAAAGCAAAAAATATAATTTGATTGACTCAAACAGACAAACTTACTTTTCCAAAGGGGTGCGCTCTTTTTCTCCGATGTATTTCAGGCCATGCAGGTTTGAGTTCGCGTTGTAATCTATTATATTGTCAACTTGGGTTTTTATGCCCAAAAAGATTATCGTGGTATAGCGGCACTCGTATCTAGTTGTTTTTAAATATTAAAAGCTTTTAAGCTTTAAATTTTGAAGCAGATATATTTATTGTAATGTCTTAAAAGTATAGTTTGGATGACAATGTATGGTTAGCTGTATGATGTCATTCTAAATCCAATATGGCGGAACACCTAATATGGCAGACTACATAGTTATTTTTTATGCTTTAATACCAAATGAATTAGGAATTTCTGAGAATATCCATCGAGAGCATCGCATAGCGTCGGATGATCCTAATGTGATTCTGATAGTAGAAAATAGTTTTAGTTTTGTATTGTTCACATTGCCTTACTGCAACAGTCTGCAAAAGAAGGATTTGTTAAGATATAAATTAAATATGCTTTTGTACTTATACAATTTGTAAAAGCAAAAAATATATTTTGATTGACTCTAACAATTATGTTAGAAATTTTTATTTTATTATAATAAAAGCCAGCAAGTTGCTCCTATTGAGCAATGTTCTATTGACATGACTCAAAATCATTATGCATGTATAAATTGAGCAATCAGACAAAAGATAATTCTTCTTGCATATTGTTAAATAATAATGCAAATAAAAATAATTATTTTGTTAATATAGATAAAAAAACCCATTCAAAAACATTGCAAAAAATATAAGCTGTGTCAACCTGGTGCATCTTATTATACAAGGAATGATGGGTAATATAAATTGAATTATTCATGAATTGTAATAATATAGATATTTTTTGTATTACATAACACTGGCTTACAAGGTATCAGAGTATATTTAATTTTAATAATCATCAGGTTGGTAGTTCATTCAATCGAGAAAATGCAATTCGAGGTGGCTCATTAATATTATTGAATAAAAAACTAAAATTTAAGGAACGAAGAGATATTGTGAGCCTCTCGGTTGAGCGAAAAATAGAGGCTACCTGTAATGGGGGATGACTTCTATGTACAAATGGAGGGCGTTGCAATGGGTTCCCCTGTCTCACCTTGTTGTCGCCGATATTTTCATGGAAGAGCTCTCAGCGTGGCACCTGTCCCACCCAGGCCATATAAACGGTACGTAGATGATACTTTCACAATCCTCCCAATAGATCAAACTGCCTTTTTAAATCACCTTAACTGTATACACCCCAACAAAGTAACTCATACTGATAGGTACCTCAATGGTGACTCACACCATCACCCGAAACAATTAACTGCCGTAGAGCACGGGGTGTCTGTGACAAAAAACACCTGACAGCTGAACTTCAGCATGTCGAGGGAGTACTGAAGGATAATAATCTGAATGTACCACGTCGCCGTCACAATCGCACCAAACCTAGCACAGTCAATGTAAACACATTTCCGTATAATTTCAAGCAGGTGAAAAAACAAACACATCACTGTTGTACCAAAATCTGCTTATCGTGTGGAACGTTTAAAAAATCAATTAGATAGAAAAATGTGTAATCTAAAATATAAAGACAGTCCAAATGATTTATATAATGATTTTTTGAATATAATGCACTGAATTCAATAATGTTTTTGTAGTTAAATTTTTTTTTAAGCATGTACTACTGCTTGATATTTAAATCCAAAGATAATATAACTAGAAAAACATCCACGCGGACCAGGCAGCACGGGACTCGAACCCGTATCCTTCGCTATCCGGGCGAATGCACTGACCAATTATGCTACTGCGGCCATGATGGCCACGTCGGAATTCTTCTAGCCATTCTTAAGCTACAAGGCAGCGCCATCTCTTCGTATTATAGGTAACCCACAATATGAAATAATAATAAATAAATATTTCCGACACTCACACCAATTAGCCTAGCCCCAAAGTAAGCACTATAAGGCTTGTGTTATGGGATGCTAGGGTAACGGATAGAACACATATACTGTACATATATAAGTATATTTATATAAATACACATTAAACATCCATGACTGGAGTACAAATGCTCCTATTCATCACACAAACATCTGCCCCCACCGGGATTCGAACCGGGACCTCTCGAGTCGGCGACAGCCATGAAACCCGGCGTACAAACCACTCGGCCACGGAGGTCGTCAATGAATACTTTTACAAGTATTAAATATTTGAAAGAAGTGATAGCGATTATATTTTTTTACGCATGTAACTGCTTGATGTTTAAATCTAAAGAAAATATAATTAGAAAAAAATCCACGCGGACCAGGCAGCAGACGGGACTCGAACCCGCATCCTTCGCTATCCGGGCGAATACGCTGACCAATTATGCTACCGCGGCCCTGATGGTCGCGTCGGAATTCTTCTAGCCATTCTTAAGCTGCAAAGCAATGTTTTTGTACCCAAAAAAATCTGTGTTAATGATGTGGTCACTTTTAGTAAGTGAGCTGAAATTCATAAAAGTAGAAGAACACTTTATGAACTTTATAATGAACGAAACTCTAACACTAGTGAAAAATTTAAAGAGCATGTTCGTAACTATACCAAATTGTTTAAAGTATGCCGCTTAGCAAAATCAAATTACTCAAGTTCAAAAATTAAGAACAGTAACGACAAAATCAATATGACATGAAATATTATAAACAATTAAAATGGAAAATCCAAAACTCGCAATAATAATTATAGCTTAAATATTGATAATAAAAAGTAAGTTACATCAGATATTGAAGTTGCTACATTATTCGAAAATTTCTTTACTGATATTCCAGTTTCAAATACATACTTAATCTTTGAACTCTTCTTGAATTTAAGCAACCACCACTAAACAGTAATAGTAGTAATAGTCGTTTCCCCATTTTCGCACAAAAAAGTTTACAGACGCATGTCTCAAGTCTCCGAGATATTGCATCCGGTGTCTATGTGTGCGGCGCGGCGTGTCGCTGGAGCGCGCTTTGTATATAGACAGATAGATTGATTTCTGTACTATTTTGTGTAACGGGGCATAACTCACTGGACCACTGGCCCAGTGTAAGTCAGTGAATGTCTACAGTCCAGGGACGCAGACACAAAGAAGCGAGCAAGCTTGAGATGATGAATTTTAGGTCACCCATCCTCTAATGAAAGTTACTTAACTTCCACAAGCACAGACCGATCGGTAACCACTATATTATCCAGCTCCTCCATGTACTGAGGTGATCTTTGTAAGACGTAATTAATATGTATTATTTCTTAGTTTTTTAGTGGTTTTAATTATTAAAGTCTTTCTAACGAAGGAGTCATGCATGAGGTTATCGTAATGCTATGGTCAAGGTTTAGATTACGTTAATATTTGGATGAAAAAAAAAACTGTTTTTGTTTAAGAAATTGGCGATATCTTTGACATTGAGTTTTAATTTATTTATTTTAGTTAATTACTTTTGCTTAAAGCAAAGCGTATGTTCCCAGTCAGTCATATTTATAACACTCTATATTTTATCATCAATAATTTTTATCCATAACACAAGTTTCTTAAAAGATTGTGCGAGAGCGGGAATTGAAATTGGCAAGGATCGTCTCGTCGTCTTGTTTTTTCACCCCGCTAGAATAAAATGCGGAGGGCGAACGATATTATAAAATATGTATGGAATATTGGCATAATCAATCGAGAAATAAGTTATCTACACTAATATTATAAAGAGGAAAGATTTGATTATTTGTTTGTTGTGTTGAATAGGCTCCGAAACTACTGGACCAATTTGAAAAATTCTTCCACATTTAGAATCCTACATTATCCCTGATGAACATAGGAACCGTATGAAAACTTCGATAATGTAACCCAATATGTGAAAAAAATACCAAAACATAAACCTTATATCGAGTACGCTGAGGAAGTCATTGACAATACAGCAAGGTGATGTAGGTACTTAAGTTTTATAGAGTTCATTTATATCTACAAAAATGTACGCGATGCTATGTCTAACTACAAAAGTTATGTCACAACTAGAGGTCCTCTGTGTTTAGGACCGCATAATTTGAGGAAAATAGTTGTAGTGAGTCAAACTTAAATGATGGACATACACACACCAAAAAAAGTTTGAGATCATTTTGAAAAATAGATTGATTTTTGTGTTACAGAAGACTTTATTGTAATTTCTTGTTCTGATAAGATTCTAAATTTTAAAATTAGAATTGGAACGTAAAACAATAAAATAATGCAATTGTTTTTCCATATAAAAAGACATTTTTAATTTAAACATTGAAAATAGAAATTTTACATCAGACATTGAATTTGCTACAGCATTTAAGAATTTTTTCACTGATATTCCAGTTTCAACCACAAAATCTTTGGACACCTCCCCCATTGCTGCTGAATCAATATTAAAAGAAAACATAAAACAAGGTACTAGTCAATTTAAATTTAAATATGTTAACTCTAAAGACATAATCAAATATATTAACCAATTGAATAAAAAGAAAACCGCGGATCTGTGGGGTAACTCCGTTGGTGTTTCTAGATCAGTAATTGAGACAATAGCTCCTATTCTGGCTAGCATTTTTAATCAATGTGTTGACTGTGGTGTTTTTCCTGATCTAATGAAACAGTAAAATAACTCCATTGCATAAATCGGGTATCACATCTGACCCCACAAATTTTAGACCCATATCCGTGCTACCCACCTTTAGTAAGATTTTTGAAAAGATTATGCTAGATCAAATGCAATCATATTTTTATAGTAATAACTTTCTGCATAGTGAACAATTTGGTTTCACAAGGGGTCGCTCAACAACCGATGCCGGTGTTGAGCTTGTACAGCAAATTTTTGATGCCTGGGAGAACTCGCATGCTGCACTTGGTGTGTTTTGCGACTTATCAAAGGCATTCGATTGCTTTTTTCATGAAACATTGATCATGAAACTACTACACTATGGATTTAGAGATACTACTCTGGATCTTATTGTATCATATTTGAGTGATAGGGTTCAGAGGGTTGACATCAATGGAGAAAAATCTTCTGGTTCTTCGGTTAAGATGGGAGTTCCGCAGGGCTCAATCCTTGGTCCTTTTTTATTTTTAATTTATATCAATGATTTGCCCTATTTTGTAAAGGATAACCATGAAATAGTATTGTTTGCGGATGACACTTCACTTTTGTTTAAAATTAAACGACTCGACAAATTGACGACGCGAACAAGTCTATTTCTAAGGTAGTCCACTGGTTTAATGTTAATAATTTACTGCTAAATGAAGGGAAAACTAAGTGTTTGAAATTTGTTTTACCTAATGTCAAACAGGTATAAACCAATGTAAATATAAAGGATCGAAATGTGAGCCTTGTAGATACCACAGTGTTCTTAGGAATCACACTAGATTCAAAGTTGCAATGGGGCCCACATATTGATAAATTGTCGAAGAGACTCAGTTCTGCAGCATGTGCTGTAATGAAAATACGGCAGTTAACGGATATAGAAACTGCCAGATTAGTCTACTTTAGTTATTTTCATAGTGTAAAGTCTTACGGTATTTTACTGTGGGGAAATGCCGCTGACATTCAAACAATATTTGTGTTGCAGAAGCGGGCCATTCGATCAATATATAATCTTAAAGTTAAGGACTGCTTAAGAGATAAGTTTAAAGAAATAGGCATAATGACGGTTTCATCACAATACATATATGAAAACTTAGTATAAGTCAAAAAAAATATTAGTTCATTTACTAAAAATAGTGAAATACATACACTTAATACTAGAAGTAAAAATAAGTTAACTTTACCTGCTACTAGGCTCCACAAAATTAATAATTCGTTTAGAGGTGTCTGTGTTCGCTTTTACAATTAAGTCCCAAGCAATATTCAAGAGTTAAGCCTGACTAAATTTAAATCGACTATTAAAAAATCTCTTGTTATGAAAACTTATTATAAAGTGTCTCATTATATTACAGACAAAAATGCTTGGGTTTGAACTGTTCCAACCATTCCAACGGGTATTTCTATATGATATATATTATGAATCATGTGTTGACGATACTACTATTAAAAAGCTGTATTTAAAGTTGATTACGTAAGGAAGAATATCAGACTATTTAAGAAGATTTGAAAGACAAAACGGCGTGGTCATGATTTCTCCATTGTTTTTGCTTTGTAATTGTTTGCAGTGTCCTACAGATAAATGACTTCAATTTTAAGTAAATATGTTGTGGTTGATATAGCTGGTTATGGGTAGTCATGCTCTCTTAAAAGTCTCTTCGGTGGTGTCGTGTGAGGCGGGTCGTTACGTTCCCTAAAATATGTTTGAGCGAAGCGATGGCTGGTTCATGCGTCATGCTCGTGAACGGGTGCTGCCAGCGGAGATGAGTCTGCCCTAACTACTTTGATATTTAAGATGTAAATGTTTAATTACACCTATTATAAATAACTCTGTTTGTATTTATACTGTGTGACACAGCAATCAAAATGCAGGTGAACAATTAATGTATAATTTCACATTATGTAATGAAAGGTGACTTCATGAATCATCTCTGAAGTCATTTTTCAACTTGACGACTCTGTAAATGATAAAACAGGGAGAAAAAAACAGCTCTTGCCGAGTTTCTTGCCGGTTCTTCTCAGTACAAGGTCTCCCGCCGTAGATTTACGAACCGATGGCGTAGCTTCTAGACATTCATATGTGCTTGTAACAGCCTAAACTGAATAAATGATTTTGATTGATTGATACCTCAGCATGCCCAGGAGGATCTCCGCATGTGTTCAAGCCAGAGGAGGAGTTATTTTGTATTAGTAAGGTAAACAACAATTTATTAATAAAATGTTTTTAAGGTTGGGTAAACTATCTTTTGAATTCTATTAAAGTTTTATTGCAATCGCCTTAGGATTGAATTATTAAATGTTTTTACTAAAAAATAAAATTAGTTTTATTTTTTTATTTCAGAAAGTAATACACTTTCTTCTTTCAAATAAAAAAAGATATAGCGTAAACATTTTCTCTTGATTAAGTTAAATTTTAAAAAATATCAGCTTTTGCAAGTGATCCAAATTTTTTTTGATGTGTTTATGCTGACTCGGACTTTTTTATAGAACTTTTAAAGAGAAACAATTCCATCATACATGATTTTTGTGTAACTTTAACCATTTACCCAGCGCACGCAATTGAAGCCCACAAATGGAATATTTGATTTTTATATTAGATTTGATTTTCTTTGCCTGTTTCACTATTCATAGCATAAATCAAAAAAATGACATTTTGTATAAAAATTAATTCCCAATCCTAAGCAAAAATACTGATTGGCGCGGATTGGTGGGTGATAACGGACGCAGCGCGAATTGGTGGGTGACAATGGACCCAGTGCGGATTGGTGGGTGATAACGGACCTAGCGCGGATTGGTGGGTGATATCGGAACCAGTGCGGAGTGGTGGATGATAACGGACCCAGCGCGGATTGGTGGGTGAAAACGGACCCAGTGCGCATTGCTGGGTGATAACGGTCCCAGCGCGAAAAATTCTCGTGTCACAGTGTGCATAATTGAACTCCTCCGAAACGACTCGACCGATTTTCGTGAAATTTTATATGCATATTCAGTAGGTCTGAGAATCGGACAACATCTTTTTTTCATCCCCCTAAATGTTAAGTGTTGGTCCACACTTAATTTTTTTTGGACATTTTTTATTTTTTTATGATACATCCTACAAAAATACATATAACCGAAATTTTCGAAGTTTGCTGGCTCAGCTAGTATCATAAGATAAAGACGATAATAGCTACCGAGAATTGATCTGAATATGCTATTTAAGTATATAACGAAACATAATCTTGTGATAACGATGGTAACTATTTATTTACCTTACCATAAGAAAAACGTAAAGTACACAAATATTATGCTCCTGTTCAGAAAATTAAGCAGTTAGTGATTTTTTGAGAACTTATTGATTACATGGGCGTGTAATATGTTCCATATTACACGCCCATTTCTAGAAATGAAAGTTAATAAATTCATCAATTGATAAAAATGGCATTTCGATGTATTCTTATTTCTAGCACTTGCCCCCTGCCCACACCAGCACCGGTGCATGGGCCGGTAACCTAGTAGAATTCAGCGGAAGCATAATAAAATCTTCCTACATAAAAGAGAGACCTTCATTATTATTCAACCTTCTACCTACGCATATAAAAATCGTTTTATTTTATTACTAGACATTTTAAGCCAAGGTTTTCTGATACCTAAGTAACGATCGAGCGAACATTTAGGCAAACGGACAGCCGCAGTCAGCCGCCCCGGTGGATGCCCGGTGCCGAGTGCGCGGCATGTATTTGCGTCGATTCATCGTCCCCCGCAACTTGATTACGAGTTTTACGAGAGGCGAGTGCCGCAAGGGAGCGCGCGCGGAGTGCGAAGGCACTGACTGTGCCCGTCACAACTAGTTAGTACTCCTTCGTAAGCGATCGCGAAAACCCGCATTGTGTCGTAAATCGACTAAAACGCATAGCCGACCTTTTTTTTTGGCGCGAATCACAGGGATGGCGGCCACGGAGGAACTAACTGGAATCCTATCAAGGAGACAAGAAATCAACGACAAATTAGAGGAAGGGCTCGAGGTCAAACCCAAATATAAATTCGTAAATGTGTACACGGAATTTCACGAGTTCTCCAGGAAGGAAATAAAACAATACGAGGAAACATTTAACAAGTAAGTGTTACCAAGTTAAAAATTGCAAAATCTTAATTTTAAAAAACGTAAAATAGACGAAAATAAGACTACGATGAAAGAGTGAAGCCTAAGTAGTATGTAACGAACATCTTAGTTTATTCTGATGATAAGGATTGCTAGTAAAGTCAACAAAACCTTAGTTGGAATCTACTAGGTAAGGTAAGAATAAACTAATATTTGTTTTGTTGTACTTTAATGCGATACACGCATGCCACTTAGTTGAAATTAACGTGACAACGAAAATTTTAAGCGAAGGTAGAACGGAATTAGTGAAAGTGTCGCAAATTACTCAATTCATATAAAATGTAACGTAATTAAATTATAACACAAGTGGATACCATTTATTAGGTGAAATGACAACATCGCATCGTCGTGGGAGACGAAAATGAATAGCAACACGACACGCTATGAATAACTTTAACTTTCCTGAACATAATGCGGAGTTAAACAATATTCACACGATGCTTTATGGTGATGAGTTTGTTCACTTTAGATATATAGGTTTTTTTTTGAGTTATTAATTAGGTACCAGTCGGTTAATTCGTTACCTACAATAAAACTATGAATATCGCGAACGTAATGCGTGAAGTCATTGATAAGATTACAAGTACTTAAATTATTCTGCGTATCTCTTTAGTTAACTAAAACTCGGATAAATTCGGCTGTTGAGTTCATGGAATTTCATAAAAACATACAAATAGTCATTTTGATTATATATGACTCCTAATCTCCTGACAACATTATCTATAGGTATCTAATACTATATTAATTTATATGACTTAAATCATAAATACACAAGACACATTTTAATATTTTATTACTTTTTAATTTAATGTTTCAGTGATAGTGGACAATGTTACATGTTCATTTTTAGCTAGCTAGCTATATTCTACAATACAATAACTTGCGACACAACACTATTGTGCAGAATCAATGGATCAAAACAACTGAAATCAGCGATAAAATAATAAATAATGTCTGTTCTTCAAAACTGAATATACCTATGTATTCATCGCATCCGCAAATGTAATTTGTTATTTTAATGCCGTTGTGAAAAATTGCGAGTGAACACTTTAAATTAAGAAATCTTAAATTAACAAGAATAAAAACTTCATCAACAGACATCATGAAAATGTAAATTCTTCAAATTTACTTTAAATGTACTTTAGTAAAGACTATGTATATTGATTTATACTTTTTAGTGCTTGCGTTATTTTTAAATCGGTTTTTATTTTTGTTAAAAATGTTTTTATTATCCACTTTTTATAAGCCCGAGCAATATCAACTAAAACTTCAACCACATAAAAGACGTAGGTGGGGCGGCGCCCGGCGCGAACAATGTCATTTTCATACAAAATGAAGAAGCGTTCTGTCTGGACTTTATTTTATTTTTCTATGTGACCACCTTGGGAGCATACCCTTGCGATGACAAAAAGAATCAGCCAATAATTGACAGAGAAAACGCGTAACAAACATTCAATAAAAAAACGAATTGAGAACCTCCTCCTTCTTGAAGGAGGTTGAAACTTAAATAAAGTACTTAAAACGAAATCTGAATTTTTAACTATAGCCAAATCTATTTTAATTCATGTAATATATAATAATGAAGCATTAAATAAATCATAATTATTGTTTGGAAGAAAAAAAATACCTAGTGTACAAGCTAGATATCGTATTATTATTGTATCAAAATATTGTGGTTTTCCTTTAAGTGGACATGACATTATATATACATATAATGTAAAATATAAAAATAAAATTAGTCACTGTACAATGAATAAGTAAGTTAAACATAAATTTACTTGTCAACTGAAGGTGATTCACGGCAGGTTGACTCGATTACTTATTAAATAGATACGGTCAAGTTCCTACGTGTTAAGTTTGATTTATTTATTTACTAAATCCTCCAAGCATACTGGAATATCGATATTTACTTCTCTTTCTGAGATTAAGCAGGGCTTCTAACAATTAAGAATAAATACATACAATCACGCCATATTTCCTAGCGGGGCTGGCAGCATTAAAACGTACGATGTTGTATGCACAAAGTACATAGACAAAGTATATATTTCTTTTTTGTTACAGAAAGTCAGATAAATAAACGGAATTGGAAGTATTTTCCTATTGCCATTGCCATATGCTTTTGAGTACCTATGTTGATTGCGCGGAAACTTTCTAATATTCCAAAACTGTTGTCGCAAACTTTGTATAAAATCAGAGACTAGGAGCGACAAGATGGAAGAAACAGGTAATTTTCTTACAAAACCCTATTTTAGGATTTTGTGGAATTACCAATCTAAAAACTTGTCAATTTATCTTGTTTATTATGAAACAATAAAATTGTCGATTTCCGCAAACGCACTGGTGAAGTGAGTGACTGATATTATCTTGTGACGTATAAACCAGTAGTTTATTGAATCATCGGGGTATCTGAGAGGAAGTCCGGCGAACGAGTGTGCGACAAAGTCAATGTTGGGTCATTGGGTGCGTGCGAGATTCTATGTGTCAGACAGACCAGTATGTTTATAGTACCACATCAACAATACTATAAAGACAATACAAACACAGAATATCAGAAAATAGTATTATTTTATAGGTACTACAATTCCAGAGCCGACACATTATACTTTGTAAAACAATGAAAACATGACTTTTCAAGTTTCTTAAAGCAGAAGAAATATTGAAAAGCCAATTGCTGGTATGATGAAATGAGCAGCTATGCAATCAACCTAATCGGAAAGGATACGAGTATCAAATCATTTAGTAATTTGCAAACAAAACGGATCTTCACTGTGTGTTGCAATCTTGAAAACTTTATAATGTGAACGTTCTCTTTATCAGAGCGTTGTGTTGTTTTGAATGGATGCGCGATCGTCATTTCACAAATCTATTTACGAATAAGAGTGATACTGACAAGTAATTTAAGTACCTAGTCTTGCCATAAATATTGTTACAACGAAAAATCAATTTTTTTGCTACATACATCATTTATTATTATGTTAGTTTACACAATTAATTATAATTAAAAAATATTAAAAAAAATATGAAGCTCATTCAAAATGATCTCTATTGGCTTCAATACAGTGCTTTAAACGTTGAGGCCGGTCATCAATAGAAACACGCACTCTCTCTATGGGAACATTCTCCACTGCCAATCTTATGGACAAGTTTAGGGACTACAAATTATCATGGCGTGTTGAAAATGACGTACTCTCTTAAACTGACCATAAATCATAAATCAGCGGATTAAGATCGGGACTAAATGACGGTCAGTCCTCAGCTCTGATAATGTCAGAAACGTTCGTTTCCAACCACATTTGGGTGGATCGAGCTTTATGACCCGGTGCTGAGTCTTTCTGAAACGACAATTCTTGGTTATGAAACATACTGTTGTTGAAAATGGTATACTTAGCACCATTTTTCATTGTCATAGTTTTCGTTTCAATATGACATAAATTTTACTTTACAAAAATATAGTACCATTCCTGAATTTCCAAAAAGTTCTAACGTGTGGCGAATATTGAGCAAATACCTGACGACCAAAAATTTTGCTGATACGCCATTGAAGTAGATATTCTTGAAATTTCATTTTTCTATATCTATTATCCTGATAAACTGGTTAAACCTTTTTTTATATTTGGTCTATTGCGGTAGTAATATCAATAATTTAATTTAGCTTAAACATAAAGATAAACTCTTTCATCGACTTTTAAGCGAACGAAATTCGCAGGATCTGCTACTACTTTATAAAAATAAACTTATATAAACATACAAGCAAACGTTTGTACTCGTTTTTTGTATGTAGTACGAATTGCAAAACTGCCTATAGCTCAAGTATATAGCTATGTTAACTTATCTGCATTTTGCGGTTGCTAAGACTGCAGTAGCTTGCTGCATAGTTACTCACCCGAATAATAAATACCTAGTTATTGTTTTTATAATATACAAACTCACTGTAAAACTTTAAGCTTTATACACGTTGTTTATACATATTAAGCATGAGGTGACTAAATAAAATATTTTATTAAAAAAATGATTTACTGAGGTTGGTAGTAAGTGTAAAATATTGTGAGATAAGTGTGTGTTTGGTGCCTAGCCAATAGTGCGCGTACCCAACCTATACTTATTGAATTCAATAGATTCGAAAAGGCCCTGTCCGTTGATTAACAACTGCTATAGAAAAAGTATTGTCAGTCAAAATATTAACGTAAAATATTAGGAATACCTACATGTGACGCATTTTTATTGCTTGCTTTTTAAATTATTAATATTTCGGTATCAAAAAGTATTATTAAACAACGAAAAAAAGACGCTATTTAACATAGTCAAATGCAGTAGTATGCTATGATTCTGGTTTAACGTAAGCTTTTTGGTCTAAAGTACTTTATTCTATTTTTCTTCAAACTTTATCATCAGAAGTGGCGAAGGCGCATTGCAACATCCTCCTAAGCTATAAATTTATCAAAGCTTAACCAGACACTAGTTTTAATTTGTAGGTCATCATCATTAGGTTTCGCTAGTTCCCAAGACTCTTAAATTGATATTGAACGACCAATAAAAATTCCCCTGATAATTTAGCGTTATTGTAATGAAATGCGAGTTGCCATTTCAGATCAAAGGTTTGGGGAACGTATTTTTTAACCTACTTTGGATTTCAGCATGATGCCGAGCCAACCGACTTCGACACTGTTTCACTGTCGACCTAGTTTTGCGCGCGTTAATAGTTTATTAAGAAGATTAACTTGACTTTTTACTATGGTGGTAATGTTGAATATATAATGACATTGTGAAAATAGGATATTCAAACTATGTATTATTGTAATCCTTATTAAAAAAAACTATGGCAGATTGTCAACTGTCTATTGTTACATTTTTAACCAACATATCACAAGCAATTTTACTGCTTAAAAGGATGTACCAACCTCAAATATTGTGTTGTAGGCTAAGTTACTGAAATAAAATTATTTGTATTTTGTAAATGGCATCATAAATGAGGTAAACTGATAATGTATGATCGTTTAAAGGTTTTTTTTAAATCGAATATTTTATTACTGTCAAGTATTCCTCAATTTCATGTTTTGCACTAAAAGGTGTAAAAATAAGTTAATTCTGTAATGACAAAGTGTAATTGTGTGTTTAGTATTTTAAGAAATTTCATATTAACCTTTTCATTTTCTTAAACAAAAATAAATCTTGTTTCTTCTTTGTGCTTCCAAAATCAACATAATAATATGTAGTCCTTAGATGCAGTCGTACGTAGGTTAGCACTACTGTTAGACTTAGCACCTACCATTCTGTACTGGGTCAGCCAGCGTGGTGGGTTATTTATGGTGGTTTCTTTACTATATTTGCTATTTCTTCTTTCAAATGTTTAATACTTGTAAAGGTATTCATTTGACATTGAGGTTTAGCTACAATGCTAAGAGAAGGCGCTGCCGTGCCTAAGAAATACTAGAGATAATTCGACACGGAAAATAAGGGGCACGGTAGCATAATGGTCAGTGGATCTGCCCTGATAGCGGAGGGTGCGAGTTCAAGTCCCGTCTGCTGCCTGGTCCGCGTGGATTATTTAATAGTTAAATTTTCTTTAGATTCCTATCTCTATTTGCAAATTAATATAATTATATAATTCTTTTTCCTATACTTTCTGTTGTTTTACAGAAAATTATGAAGTTTATTTATATTATCTACATTCATTCATACAATCTAATTAAGTTCATAATTACGTAGAGTGAATTTTTATAAACTTATTGTAAGAACATTAAAATAACTGACAATTAACTTGACGACGTAAGTAATGACATAATAGTTAATGTGTCTATGCGGAATTACCAAAATTATTGGGCAAAAAATTAATGAATTTTTTTTTTTCACAACTTGAAACTATTGTAGATCACGCGATTGTGAAATAGAAATGAAATGATATTTTAAATAGCAAATTGTTAACTGTTTTATAGAAAAATGAACGAACAAAAGAATAAATATTTTTAGCAGGAAGGATTGCACTTGTTGCGAATAAAGAAATTTTTTAAAGATTTGCAAGTCTTAAGTGGTAGTGGTAGTGGGCAGGGCACATTTCAAGGAGGACTGACGGCCGTTGGGGCGTAAATATTCTCGAGTGGCGGCCGCGTACCAGACGCAGCGTTAGTAAGCCCCCCACAAGGTGGACGGACCGACGACGGCGACGATCTGGTGAAGGTCGCGGGAAGCCGCTAGGTGCGGGCAGCGCCGGTTTTGAATTCCTTAGGGAAGGCCTATGTCCAGCAGTGGGCGTCTCTCGGCTGATATGATGATAGTGATGAAGTATTTTTTTAACAACGAACACCTTAAAAGAAGTCTAATAAAACAAATCCCTGCAGGAGGCGATATCGTTTTTAAAAGATGTTCTATACACAGAGAATGCATTTCGAGTTCTATAAATACTCTACTTACTTCGTTTTTAATTTTAGTATCATTACGTAGAATAAGTAAATGCCGCAAAACATAGATTTGTTTAAATGACAAAGCGATATACAAAATAACTATTTCCAGAATCTTACTACCGTAGGCACGGTAATAATATATAGATAATATTACCGTGCCGTAGGTAACCTATTATACGTAGGTACATTGATTTCATTAATTATTTAATTAATGATCTTCTCTAATGGCTTAACATACTGGATTTGCTCGCCCGATTTCATGTTATTTCAGTTCCAATGGAACATAATAACGATTTATTCGCTATCGTTTTACAATAAGCAATTTTTATAAATCGATAGGTAATGAAAAAACATTTATTGTTATTAGGATATGTCCACAGGGTTGAACAAAGAGTAAGTTTGGCCGTTGTAATGTTGTATAATTATCTGTACTCGTGTTCATTATTAATTATTGGTCTCAGATTATATTAAACACTGCGAATCGACGATTGTACATCAATTGATTGATGTAAGTATAATACAGTTATTGTTTTATCTTATGCTAGAGGTAATCGCCCGCCTGACTAACAGGCTTACCTTGCTTCACCTTGACAAAACCGGACTAGACAATGCAATTTATATTCCCTCCATTCACTAACATTAAGATGGTATTCAATGCATTTCAACGTATATAAAATTAAATATTAATATCCTTTCTATAGTTTAGGTACTGTTAAACACGTACGAGTACCTACATACTTGCGCATTTGTTGTTAATTGAAATTAACTAAAATGATGGTGGTCTAATGAAGTGGACCTTGCACCTAAAGCTAAAAAATTACATTTACATGGGATATCTTCTTCAACCTTTATCCACCCACTGCTGGGTACAGGTCTCCTCCATGGTTCCATTACACGGAATATGACTGATTTAAAAAAATCTCAAAATATTTTGCTAGATGGAATCAATATTTAAAAGATAATTCATTTCTTTCTATTAATTTACACGAGAAACGATCGAATTGATTCTCTAAGAGCTTCGATTAGTTTTTATAGCTCAATAAATATTGGCAGGTTAAAATAAAGCACTGAATAGAAATTATTGCATTTGGATACACTGAGTTATATATTTAGTACCAGATAAGACCAGATCACAAGATTATAATGTTCAGTATTACGGAGTTGTTTAACAAAAAAGAGTATCCTTTGATCCTGTTATATTACGTTCCGCTGGCCGAGCTCAGAAAATAATAATGATCACAAAGGCTGAGCGTTGCTTGTAACATTATCCACTATAACGTAGATTACATTTACCGATATTGTATGCCTGTTCTATAAATAGGTGGAATAGCTTGTGCTGTTCACTTCCTAGTAGGTGTGTAGTTATATATTTTCTTTGGTAAGGTTTCCAAATTACCCATAATCGGCCATAACTATCGAAGGAACGTAGGTATTGAATTTTTGAATTATATACTAATGTAGCTATAGGTACTTCTATCTCTATCAATTATTGAGACTCGAAAATTAACAAAGAATCGTACTCGTTACGCGAAAGTGGCATATTTAAAGAATATAATACAAGATAATTAGTATTCGGCGTGCAGAACTACCTACAAAGACATTCATAACTTTTGACGGACAACCGGACAACGGTGTTTCTTTCCAACTAAAGATTTGACCTGTATTGTAGGTAGGTAGGTACCTATTTATCGTGTGTAGTGTGTGTGTAACGTCACTGGGCTACTATCGAAATAATGAAAGTACCAATAACTATTTAAATCGTAGTAAGAAAACAGACGAAGGAGAGCACTACAGTTATAAAATTGCAGTAATACATAAAACATTTCATAATTAAGAACAATAAGTCTTGTCTGTTTGGGGTTCTTAAGAAACCCAAAAATTGTAAAATCAGAGGAAAGTAAAATTCGGGTAAAACTTAGATTAAGTCAGGATGTTTTTTTTAAAACTAAGAGTTAAATTCATGAACGTCCGCCCCATGGACCATGGATACAATAGCAAATTATGTCATTGATCCTAAACTTAGTATATTTGTCATCAGGTTTGACGAAGGACGAGATGGATTTCTTGACCTCACAGAGGTAAAACGAATGATGGAGAGGTTGGGCGCTCCACAGACGCACCTAGGACTGAAGGCGATGATCTCTGAAGTGGACGAGGATGGCGATAACAAAATTAGCTTTAGGGAATTTTTACTTATTTACAGGTAAGACCTATCATAGGTAACAAAAACTATTATGAATATATGATTATTGTAATGAAAAGTATGAAACCCTAAATAAAAGAAAAATAGTGTAAGTAAGTAATTACTTTTTGCTAACAAAATCACATTAATTGATGTTTCATTAAATAATTTTGACTGCGTCCGTGTCGTATACGTAGTATCGTATACATAGAGAGGCGATGTGAAAGACAGTTTCGGTGTTAAAATTAACAAAACTCTTCTTCTTGCTACGGGCGTTTTCGCAACTCGACGTCCTTATGGCGCCTGTTTTGCGTGAGGAGGGTGTATGGCCGGAATCACTCAAACAACAAAACTCACCTGCGACGATCCAAGTTGATCGCCGCAAAAAAGAGGACGAGTCGCAAGTGTGTATGAAAAGCATGAAAAGAGTAATGACTGTGAATGAAGCGAAAGATGTGTGTAGTGTCTTAGAGCATCTAAGGCGTAGTGTATGTATGGACCTTGGACAAAGATTTTCAGTAAGGACCATAGTAGGGATTTGGTACGGACCGGACGGTGTCTCTATAACTTTGTCTTTGCCTACACCATCCACCCGGGAATTGGTGTGACGAAAGACAGAAGATCATTAAATAATGTTTGCAATTTGGTTGAGTAGGGTGCTGTGGTTGAGCGTTGGGTGACAACAGAATTGCAAACATCTCTGTACAGACAGAAACATCATAAAGTTATTAACTAAATATCTATTGCAGGCTGTATGCAATCGCTACATTGTGCAGCCTGCAGTTGGCAGCGTGTTTTAAAATATAATTAGGTACAATAACTTTAAACAGAATCTAACAACAAACGTTTATTTACAGAAAAGCACGCGCTGGTGAGCTAGAAACAGATTCTGGCTTGGACGCGTTTGCGAGGTTAACCGAAATTAATGTCGACCAAGTTGGTGTGAACGGCGCTAAGAACTTTTTCGAGGCCAAGATCGAGGAGCTCGCTAAATCAAATAAATTCCATGATGAGATCATACAAGAACAAGAAGAAAAGCGCCGTGAAGCAGAGGAAAAAGCGCAGCGGCGGCTAAGGTTTAAGGAAAAAGCAGCTCTATTCCAACACTAAGAGAGCACAGTATTATAAAAAAAATCTAGTCTATAAGCTGTTACCATGGCTTAAGTAATATTGCCACAAGATTACATTTAACTTAAATCGAATCTCCTATGAACTATTCGCTATATCAGAGATGTAGCTGATGTAGGAATAAGTTTTAAGAACCACATAACAAGAGGAGTGTCAGAAACTAAAATTATTATCAACCTGCCTAAAGCATAAAACATCGAATTTACCATTATTAGCACATGCCAAAATAATGGGCTTCGCCTTTAATAGAGAAACTTATTTTTAGAATAAATTGTTTAGAGTTATTAAGAGAATAAAATACTATCCCAATATCCTACTTAAATTGAATGCTTAATTAAGAGCAACATTGATTTAAAAATTTTACAATTTAATTATTGCATTTAAACAAATAATGCAGTTATTATTTTGCAATAATAAAAATCAAACTTTGTAATAGGAAATTCCTAATAATTGAATTAATTTCTATTTAAAGAGACCCATAATTTGTAATACCTAAATGATTGTTAATATTATTAATTATTGTATAAATGTTTATCAGAACTTTTTTGAAACGCTGTGTTGCCTTCTATTATAATTGTTTAGTGAAAGTTTACAAGTTATTATACTTTTATGTGATGTTAATTATAATGATAATTATGTAAGTGAATTTTGAATAAAACATTATGTATAATATGATCAATTTATTTACGAATGTTTACCTTTATTTTATACTTAGCCACATTTTATATTTATCAGTTAGGTATTTGGATATCTCAGTTTAATTAGAATATCTATTTAAAAAGAAAAGAAATTCCTACAAAATTAAAATGATTGATGGCAATAGGGAATATGCATGTATTTTTTTTATATTTTTAATACATTTTTTCATCATTATAAAATAGTAAAAAAATATAAATACTGTTGGAAATGCTCAAATTAGTTTAAAAAAAATATATATAAAAAATTGCTTAAATTTGATCTGTTTGAACACTGCTGAAGTGAACAAACCAAATTGATAGACAATGATACAAGTTGAAGAATTATAATTTTTTAATAAAAGCAGAAAATTAAGCCAACAGAAAGAAATAGGTAAATAGAACAGACAATGTCAAAAAACAACCACGGAGTAAAAAACTACATCAGCTATCAAAATAGCAGAGGTCCGCAACAGCTGCCAAAAGCCTTGAATGACGACACAAGCCGCTACCAGTGTTTGTTCACTAGTTGAACAGTTACTTTTGGTTATTTTATTTTTAGTTTTAAAAACTATTCACACCATGGAAAAAATCTAAAAATCCATTTTATAGATATTGCCTGTACCAATGTACAAAAATACTGCTATAAGTATACCAGATAAAATGTTTTTTCCTGTTCATAAAGAAGCAAAAACACGAAAACAATGGTGTAAGATCACTTTAACATAAGTATACTATATTTGGATAGCTAACATGGGTAGAATTGATCAGATGTAGGTTTTGCTTATTTCGAAAAACAAGCGAACGTCCTTTGGAACTTTTGTTTTAAGAACTATACTAATCTTACCTGTCTTTTTGTTGGTATTTAACTAAAATTTTTATTTATTTCAGATAGAGGAAGATACAGCAAATTATGTTCAATACACACTACGTTACACTATGGTTAAAGGAAAAGGAAGGAGTTGTACCTTATCAATTCTAGTGCCAAAACCTAATATGCCACAACCACTTGGGAGAATAGGTGTTATTTAGAGACAAAGATTAGCAAACATTACTTTAATATCGGTATTATTTATCAACATATTTAAAATAAAATATTACTTAAGTTAAAATATATCCTGAATATAAAGCTTTTGCTAGGACGAAGCTAGGACTGAAGGCGATGATCTCTGAAGTGGACGAGGATGGCGATAACAAAATTAGCTTTAGGGAATTTTTACTTATTTACAGGTAAGACCTATCATAGGTAACAAAAACTATTATGAATATATGATTATTGTAATGAAAAGTATGAAACCCTAAATAAAAGAAAAATAGTGTAAGTAAGTAATTACTTTTTGCTAACAAAATCACATTAATTGATGTTTCATTAAATAATTTTGACTGCGTCCGTGTCGTATACGTAGTATCGTATACATAGAGAGGCGATGTGAAAGACAGTTTCGGTGTTAAAATTAACAAAACTCTTCTTCTTGCTACGGGCGTTTTCGCAACTCGACGTCCTTATGGCGCCTGTTTTGCGTGAGGAGGGTGTATGGCCGGAATCACTCAAACAACAAAACTCACCTGCGACGATCCAAGTTGATCGCCGCAAAAAAGAGGACGAGTCGCAAGTGTGTATGAAAAGCATGAAAAGAGTAATGACTGTGAATGAAGCGAAAGATGTGTGTAGTGTCTTAGAGCATCTAAGGCGTAGTGTATGTATGGACCTTGGACAAAGATTTTCAGTAAGGACCATAGTAGGGATTTGGTACGGACCGGACGGTGTCTCTATAACTTTGTCTTTGCCTACACCATCCACCCGGGAATTGGTGTGACGAAAGACAGAAGATCATTAAATAATGTTTGCAATTTGGTTGAGTAGGGTGCTGTGGTTGAGCGTTGGGTGACAACAGAATTGCAAACATCTCTGTACAGACAGAAACATCATAAAGTTATTAACTAAATATCTATTGCAGGCTGTATGCAATCGCTACATTGTGCAGCCTGCAGTTGGCAGCGTGTTTTAAAATATAATTAGGTACAATAACTTTAAACAGAATCTAACAACAAACGTTTATTTACAGAAAAGCACGCGCTGGTGAGCTAGAAACAGATTCTGGCTTGGACGCGTTTGCGAGGTTAACCGAAATTAATGTCGACCAAGTTGGTGTGAACGGCGCTAAGAACTTTTTCGAGGCCAAGATCGAGGAGCTCGCTAAATCAAATAAATTCCATGATGAGATCATACAAGAACAAGAAGAAAAGCGCCGTGAAGCAGAGGAAAAAGCGCAGCGGCGGCTAAGGTTTAAGGAAAAAGCAGCTCTATTCCAACACTAAGAGAGCACAGTATTATAAAAAAAATCTAGTCTATAAGCTGTTACCATGGCTTAAGTAATATTGCCACAAGATTACATTTAACTTAAATCGAATCTCCTATGAACTATTCGCTATATCAGAGATGTAGCTGATGTAGGAATAAGTTTTAAGAACCACATAACAAGAGGAGTGTCAGAAACTAAAATTATTATCAACCTGCCTAAAGCATAAAACATCGAATTTACCATTATTAGCACATGCCAAAATAATGGGCTTCGCCTTTAATAGAGAAACTTATTTTTAGAATAAATTGTTTAGAGTTATTAAGAGAATAAAATACTATCCCAATATCCTACTTAAATTGAATGCTTAATTAAGAGCAACATTGATTTAAAAATTTTACAATTTAATTATTGCATTTAAACAAATAATGCAGTTATTATTTTGCAATAATAAAAATCAAACTTTGTAATAGGAAATTCCTAATAATTGAATTAATTTCTATTTAAAGAGACCCATAATTTGTAATACCTAAATGATTGTTAATATTATTAATTATTGTATAAATGTTTATCAGAACTTTTTTGAAACGCTGTGTTGCCTTCTATTATAATTGTTTAGTGAAAGTTTACAAGTTATTATACTTTTATGTGATGTTAATTATAATGATAATTATGTAAGTGAATTTTGAATAAAACATTATGTATAATATGATCAATTTATTTACGAATGTTTACCTTTATTTTATACTTAGCCACATTTTATATTTATCAGTTAGGTATTTGGATATCTCAGTTTAATTAGAATATCTATTTAAAAAGAAAAGAAATTCCTACAAAATTAAAATGATTGATGGCAATAGGGAATATGCATGTATTTTTTTTATATTTTTAATACATTTTTTCATCATTATAAAATAGTAAAAAAATATAAATACTGTTGGAAATGCTCAAATTAGTTTAAAAAAAATATATATAAAAAATTGCTTAAATTTGATCTGTTTGAACACTGCTGAAGTGAACAAACCAAATTGATAGACAATGATACAAGTTGAAGAATTATAATTTTTTAATAAAAGCAGAAAATTAAGGCAACAGAAAGAAATAGGTAAATAGAACAGACAATGTCAAAAAACAACCACGGAGTAAAAAACTACATCAGCTATCAAAATAGCAGAGGTCCGCAACAGCTGCCAAAAGCCTTGAATGACGACACAAGCCGCTACCAGTGTTTGTTCACTAGTTGAACAGTTACTTTTGGTTATTTTATTTTTAGTTTTAAAAACTATTCACACCATGGAAAAAATCTAAAAATCCATTTTATAGATATTGCCTGTACCAATGTACAAAAATACTGCTATAAGTATACCAGATAAAATGTTTTTTCCTGTTCATAAAGAAGCAAAAACACGAAAACAATGGTGTAAGATCACTTTAACATAAGTATACTATATTTGGATAGCTAACATGGGTAGAATTGATCAGATGTAGGTTTTGCTTATTTCGAAAAACAAGCGAACGTCCTTTGGAACTTTTGTTTTAAGAACTATACTAATCTTACCTGTCTTTTTGTTGGTATTTAACTAAAATTTTTATTTATTTCAGATAGAGGAAGATACAGCAAATTATGTTCAATACACACTACGTTACACTATGGTTAAAGGAAAAGGAAGGAGTTGTACCTTATCAATTCTAGTGCCAAAACCTAATATGCCACAACCACTTGGGAGAATAGGTGTTATTTAGAGACAAAGATTAGCAAACATTACTTTAATATCGGTATTATTTATCAACATATTTAAAATAAAATATTACTTAAGTTAAAATATATCCTGAATATAAAGCTTTTGATTCATTGGCTCTGATCCATGTCTGATGCATTCTGGAAAGTTTCATGTTGTTCATAAGATTTATTTTGATCTATATGATTACTTAAATCAAATTGTTTTCACTGCATTGGAGGTAAATTTTCTAAGTTGACTTGCTGCATGTTGGCGAGTGTCTCAATTAATGTTGCGTTCTGACAAAAATATTATGATAATAAGTAAAAGTGTTTTATTAAAGCAATATATTTTAAATTAAGTATATAAAGTCTACTACTGTTATCAAGCAATATTTTTTTTAATAGTAGTTACTTACTTGTTTTATGTTATTTTCGAAGTCTCCACCACTACTTGTAAAATCTTTGATTTGTTGCAGTTCGATTGATCTGAAAAAAGTAAAAAAAAAAACGTATTTTCAGCCTTCTGTAGATTGTTCTGTTCTGACTGATATTTAAAACGTAATGCACATACATCAATCTCAAAAGATAATTTGCAGTAGTCAATTCCTTTTGTAAATCTTGTTGTAATTGTTGATTAACTTGCTCCACTGCAGACATACTCAGAAAAAAACTATAACTTCTCAAAATTAAAATAATCTGCTTCCGCTTGGCCGTTGCTTTAATTCTATTTTGATTTTGAACCAGTTTTTTTTGTTAAGTTCTCCCTTTTCAGGTAAGGCAAGGGGACCAATGCCCATACAGCCTAGTCTTAAGTTAAATTATTCTGTTTTTCTTTTTACATTAGAATGTCGGTGTGACGCATTGTAATGTTTCTTGAAGTGTTTGGCACGAAATATATCGAGCTGGCTTTTTCGATAAGCTTCTATGAGGTAGTCAATACTACAATAAAATTCTCACGTCCACTTGACCGGAATAGCGTATATTTTGACGATTATACTAATTCTTCAGTTACGAAGACAGTTGTAACACAAAATCACACCAATTTTATTTCACAATATCCACTATGAACGAATTTAAGAATAATTAAAATAAGACGCCAACCACACTCGATGAAATCCCGCCAAAAACTCATTTGAACCAGTGTTTGACAGAGTTGCCGTATTCGATACATAAGATCACATCGGATTGCCGTATTTTTAAATAAAAATCATGATATTGCCGTATTACTTATTTTTATTTATTAAAATTTATAGGTTGTAGAATAGTAACTATATTATAAAGGAAAAAAAATAACCTGCTCATTATTATCATCGCCATACAGATTTCTAATGGACTCAACTACTAGTCGAGTCAATGAAGCTTTTTTTATTTTATTTTATTTTTATTTTTTCTTTATTTGGGAAACAAACAATGAATTAATACTTATACCTAGATCTAATTAACAAACATACATCAATAAAGTTTCCACTATAATATAAAACATATAAAGGAGTTCAAGTTAAAATTGAGAAAGAAAAAAGACGTTAATGTTTTTACCAATAAAAAAAAAAAGAAAATAACAAGTCTGGTTGGTTACAATTAATGATTAAGAACCATATCGTGGATATATTTTTTACAATCTTTGAGTGAACAGTTAAATATGTCGATTGATGTGAACCTATAGTTATAATCAGTACAAGACCTTATCACGAAAGTATTAGCAGTATATTTGGTGCTAATTATAGGTAAACTAAATAAACTTTTTGAACGGGAGCCTGCCCGAGGGCATCTTAAACCAATGCTATTCAAAAGGAATGGAGAGTCAATGAGATTGTTCATAATTTTATAAAGAAAGACTTGATCACTCTCAACACGACGATCCGTTAAGGAAGAAACAATTATCACAGGTTGGTTACATAGATGTGCTCTGTAATTTAAATATTTCGAAAATTTATGATTGATTCTCTCTATTGAATTTATATGAACCTTATACTGTGGGTTCCATACAGTGGACGCATATTCTAAAATAGAACGGACAAAGGAGTTAAACAATAGCATTAATGTAGAAAAGTGCTTGAAGTCTTTTCCTATTCTAATTATAAACCCAAGCATACGCAACGCCCTAGTTGTAATATCATTAATATGCGTCTCAAACGTCAGTTTGCTATCTAGGGTCACACCCAAATCCTTGATTACTGTTACTCTGTTTATCCTTTTACCATTGAGATTGTAATTTAATTTTATTGCTTTAATTTTACGAGTAAAGGTGATAACACTACATTTATTCGGATTAAGATGGAGGCAATTATTATGACAGTAATTGCAAAGACTGTCAAGATCACTCTGGAGTAAAGCAGCATCCTGGGGAGATGTGACTTTTCTAAAGATCTTCATATCATCAGCATAAATTAAGATATTAGAATATTTAAGAACTGAAACTACATTATTAATGAACAAATTAAAGAAGAAAGGGCCGAGATGGGATCCCTGTGGCACACCCGATGTGACCGGGACAAAAGTTGAACAGTGCCCCTTTACAGTAACTGCCTGACTACGGTCTCTGAGGTAAGATTCTATCCACCGTAAAAGGTCACCATGTATACCAGCCTCACTAATCCTCTGCATTAAAATAGGGTGCTGAATTTTGTCGAAGGCCTTGGAGTAGTCAGTATACACCACATCCACCTGACTACCCTTATCCATATCCATGGTGACTCGATGCACAAACTCGCATAAATTGGTTTCGGTGGATCTCTTATTTATAAAACCATGTTGTTCATTCACAATTACATGCCGTAAAAATGGAAAAACTGAGTCATACACAATTTTTTCAAATAGCTTAGGTATGACACTAATTTTAGAAATAGGCCTGTAATTTTGAATATTGTGTTTATCGCCAGTTTTAAATACAGGGACAACATGGCACTGCTTCCAAATCAAAGGCATTTTTCCGGTTTCCAAAGAAAGCTTAAACAAAAGGTACAACGGCAGTGCTAAAGCTTTATGGCACATTTTTAAGAAAAATGGAGGAATACCATCTGGGCCACAACCTTTCACAATGTTAAGGCTCTTGAGATGTTTCTGAATTAATGATACAGTAATATTAACAGATCCTATGGAAATGACACCTAAATTAGTCGTCCCAGTCAATTGTGAGGAAATATCCAAACGAGGTTCAAAGGCGGAACAAAAGTAATCATTAAACATAGAGCAAATCTGCTCCCCATTGCTTGAAAACTGATCATTAAAAAACAAAGTGTCAGGCATATCAGAAGTAGCTTTTTTTGACTTAACAAAAGACCAAAAGTGTTTACTATTTC